ATGTCGAGAGGCGAACGTGGGATCTAGTGGATCTCGAAGCTTGTCTAGACGACGTCAGATTACCGGCCTGGAAACTGAGCATCCAGGAACTGTGCGTACCACGAGACATACGGGCAAAGCTGCTCGCTACATGGTATAATTTTTATCAACCCCTTTTGCTCAGGGGGTCCTCTCATCATGTACACGGAGTACTGGCGACCTTTGGACGACGCCCTTGTCACCACTTAGCGCCGGATTTGTCGAGTCAGATTCCCTGCGGCCCGGAACTTCCGTAACGAAGCTGGGTGCTGTCCCAACCGGAAGGTCGAGCGGTGATCTCGAACCGTACTCGTAGCTCCGTGGGGACGTCGAGCTCAATCGGCTAGGGGTCGTATGCGAGGAGGTGGGTGAGCTTTGTCCCACTACCGGCGGACTCGGGACAAGGAGGCTATCTGTGCGGGAATGGGTACGGTGGTGCTTGCTGGCACCGGACTCTTGCTGGACACTCGCATTTGCGAGGACTGACAGTTTATCGAGGGGGTTAGGCTCTGGCCTGCTCTGTCCGAGGACGAGTGCGGGCAAGACTGGTAAGGCTGGTGGTTGAGGTCGAGGTTGGAGGAGCGTTTGTCGTTCGATGGGTAAAAGTTGTGGCCCGCTGGAGCTGGACGAGCCCGACTTGTTGCCGTCCCTTCTGATTCCTACGATTGCGTCGACGACTTCGCGGGTGCTGCTATTTTCAGAGATTTGGGGAGGCATGTATGTTGACCGGATGGGATCTGCTGACGGCGGTCGAGACAGGGGTTGGAGAGCCATCTTGGGCGTTGTGCCGAGGGCAGGCGGCTGACCAGCGGCTGGCTGCGATAGGGTGGCCTTTGCGGCATCGGTGGCGGGTTGATCTGGGAAGCTCTGTAAGAACTTGTCGATGTCTTCGGCGGTGACGCCGTGGTAACCCAGCAGGATCCTCAAGCGCGAGTTCTCGACGGCGACATTGCGAGCGGCCTGCTGCATCTGAAGGGTGGCCTCGACTCCTTGACGCTCATAGTCTTGGAGCTTCTTCTGCAGGCCTTCGACATACTCCTTGTGACGTGCACGGGAGCGCCGCTGGTTGTCACGAATACGGATGGCGGATGGGTTGTTCGAACCCTCCTTCTGCAGGGCGACGAGTCAGAGTTGTGAGGAGGCCAGAAGACTTGCTCCCCGAGACCAAAGACTCACCTTTCCTCCCGTCATGACGGCACATGTGGTTCATTGATCCAGGTCTACACTACGAGACGGATGCAAAAGACATGGACAATCGGGATGAGATGTGAGCTCTTCTTGATGTACCTTTTGACCTGCCAAGTCTAGGACGCGCGTTGACGGCCGAGCTCCGAGTTCTTGGCAGAGATCCATGTCCTGGGAGGTGCAGATCCAGCTGCCGGACGAAAGACGCTAGCGCCAGGGAGGTTTTAAACATACATCCAAGCATGGCAACCCTATCACGACTTCGAGCTTGCATTGCTCAACGAGACGCCCTTGGCGCCAAGACTATGAGGGGCCTTTGAGACGCCGTCACTATCGGAAGCACTGGAACAGGACCTGCCTCGAAAACTCTTGTTATTGTCATGAGTAGTCGGCCGCCATGAGAACAGCAACGTTACGACAAGCAAGACAGCAGACAGTGGAGACATTGGTCGAGGTTTTCGCCCTAGCCTCCCTTAAAATGATAGCGAAATCCCGAGTTATTGCAGGGGACGAACGGTCTCTCTGGGCTCTGGGTCTCTGGGCCTTTGGTTGTGGGATGCCCAGCCGCCCAGACGCCCCATATTTTTCAGCGCATTGCTGGGCTGGCAACTGCTGCGCCACGGTCTGTCGGGCCAGCCGACTGCCAAGCCAGCCTCTCGGCTCTTTCTATCCGGTCGAGGTGCGATGCCGACTATCCAGGGCGATGAGTGTCTTGTAGTTTGGGTCCAATATGCTTGGGGCAGAGACGGTGACAGGTGGATTTGGCTTGACCTGTCTTGTCTGGGGTCGGTGAGCTCAGGGACCGGGGACAGTCTGGACCCGGAACATTTGCCAAGACCCTGCTCAAAGGTTCGCTTGCCGGCGAGTTGTCACTGACGGGACGCCTTTCGCTGGAGCAGGTCTGGTGAGTTGAGCTGGCTGACTACGCATGCCACAGAAAGTCTTGGCCGTTGAGGCAGGGCAAACAAGGATTGCTTGCCTGGTTGTTAGCCGTGACAGGCGACAGCAGCCCTGGAAGGTTGCTTACAACCAACTCCTTGCCTGCTTTGGTCTTGCTTGGGTCCTGTGCGGACGGAAGAACCCACTATCAGCGCAGCGACTCAGCGAGGTCCAGAGTCTCGACCTCAGCAGCCAAGGCTTGGCTCCAACTCATGGGACTATAGAGCAAGTCGTACGGAGAGATTAGTGTGCCGTGTTTCCCATATGCCCCCGCGATTGCGCTTGGCAGCGTCTCGCAAGGAGAGGAGACAGGCAGCGAGGGCCAAGACGAGCGTTTCGTGTAACAAGGCCAAGGTGAGAGAGTAAGCAGAATCCTGGAGCTTGCTCGCACAATGTCACAAAGGGCACCGAGGTTCAAGCAAGAAGAATCAGATCAGTCCACCACCTGTGACTGTGACTATGACCCGCGTATCCGCTCGCTTTGGTGTTTTTTACCGACTGACTAACTAGAGTAGATGGCCGTTTGCAACACGAAAAAAGAAGCAAATTGGGAGAGTTTAATTGGCAGCTTGACGATTTAGCCAACTCTGCCACATGGCAAGCCCATACCTGATTTGTATGTGATTTTCACAAGTACCGATAAACTCCCCGCGGTCACCGAATAACGGCACCAACAAGTGACACCACAGACACATACAGGCATTGGCGATGGATGCAAGACATTTCAGTTTGTAGAGTCAAAAAACATGCCCGATTCGGTATTATCTCGTCTGGCAGGGTATCGAGCCAGTATTTCCCGATCTGGCTAAGGGTATCATATTACGCTTTAAAGACCATTCATCCGCCGTCCCCCTTTCTTGCTTTCTTTCAACCTCTGCCCAGAGCTGCTCTGCCACGTTCACATCTTTCCAAGACAGGGTCGTAGCCATGTCTTGGCATGCTTGCTTCATGCATGGGCTCCCTCCTTGCCAGCCTCACTTGAAGAGCCGCTTTCCCGTGCGTGTCGAGAAGCGGTCGACACCATCGGCCTGTTGCGCATGCCAGAGCTGCTGCACGCCCACTCCGCGGCTCTCTCCCGACAGCCTGTAGCGACGCCATGCCTCACGCAGGTGGTCAGGACGCAGGGGCCCGCGCTTCAGGTCTACCTCTTCTTCCTCGGCAGCTGCGTCGTTGTTGGAGGGGGGCGGTGTTGGGAGCTCGCTCTGCTTCTCTCCTGTCGTTATCCACTCGGCCTGCACGTTGCGGGCGGCCTCGATGATCTCACCGGCAAAGAGCTTGGCAACGGCTTTGACGGCTGTGCTGACGTTTTGCGGAACGGATTGCGACACGGTCGCGTTGACCACCTGCCGTAGTTAGTAAAGGGAAATGCATCATTCGTAGGCTGTGGGTGTGCCATACTCGTTTGACGACAGAGTCTGCGAGCTTGGCTGCGCGCCAAAGCTCGTATCGGTTATACTGCTGGCTGTCGAAGGCCTCAACAAGCATTGCACGTAGACGAATCTCCTCCTGCTTCTGCTCCTGTGTCCTTGCAACCACATCCTCGAGCGCCATCTCTGCCTTTTCGTCATCCTCGTCGTCGTCTTCCTTATCTCCGCCCTGTCCGCTGACGGCTGTAGGAGCGCGGCCTCCTACGAGGCTGGGTGTCTGCTCACGCGCATCATCCTGCTTCGCGTTCTTTGCTTTCCGGCCGCGTTTCTTCTTTGGCGCGCCGCTGGCCGTGACGCTTACTGCGCTTCCGCTCACATGTGATGATGCGTCGACGGAAGGGGAGCGAGGGTACGGGGATCGGGCCTCTGGGGGGAAAGAAGTCTGGCGGAGAGGGTGGTTGACTGCGGCTGCAGAGTTGGAGGTTTGCGAGAGGTTCGAGGGCTTGCGGCGCTTTGAAGGGTTGTTTACGTCGAGGGTTGACGAGCGCTTCTTGTTGGGGATTTGCGCTGGTGATGGGTATGGAGGCGACATGGCTGAGGGGGAGGAGGCGTAGGGAGGAGAAGCCATGATTGATTCGAGTTGGGTTGATATGGAGATCTGGCTGGGTTTCGTGCTTGGTGCGCTGATGTTTCGATTGGAGAGAATGCGTAGTCGAGAAGAACCGCGAGAAACAGACTAATGCGACGAACCGACAGTCGAATGTACAGTTGATGAGCGAGGATCGATTTCGATATCGGCTTCGGGATCAAACGCCGAGATGAAAGATTGCTGCACACGGAGAAGGATCCGTTCGTTGCGCGTCCTCTCCCATGTTTCGGAGCGTGATTGTTGCGAGATCACGTGTGCTTACACATGACCGGAATGCGGCTCCATCTTCCGTTTTTCTGCTGACCTGGCCCCACTCTTTTCTGATTGAGCAATTGGATTGCTTGCAATTGACGACAAAGCGGGCTAACAATGGGGATTGTAGTTGACATGAGATGAAGTGTTTTCTAGCATTGGAAAACGAAGAGATGTTGTTTGTTTTGCTGTAAGAAATTAATTGTTGATGATTGTAGAAGCTGCTTCCATATTCGTCCAGTTTCATAACCCTTTGACAATACTTGATCAATTGTAAACAACAAAGTTTTGTACAAACCCGTGACGTCAAACGGTCTCTGATAAGATAAAGACTCTGTAGAAAAAAAAAAGTCCCGCTAGACCAAACACATCAAGCGTTTACCTACCCCCCCATGATCCTTGAATTTTGCTCCGCCCCGGCCGCCGATGGCCGGGACCTCTCCTCCAAACTCGAATGGACCCTGACTCGAGCGATACATCACTTCTCTTCTTTTAATCGCTTGCTCGTCCTCTTTTCCTTCTTTATCTTGTCATCATATCTCCTCACTCGACTCTTGCGCGACAACAACAATACACACTCAATCATAGCAATGGCTCCTTCAGAAGACGGCGTTCTCGTCGCAGCAAGCAACAAGAAGCGCCCCGCCAGCGTCTCGGGGTCTTCGACCGGTAGCAGCGATGATTCGAGCCGTCGCAAGAAGCGTCGCGATCGCAAGAACGGAAGCAGCAAGAAGCGAAGTAATGGTGACATATCTGTTCCAGGTGCTTTCGCGCAGCGCCGCAACAGCCTTGCCAAGGCCTCGCGGGATCCTCGCGATGAACCCCTCCCCAAGAAGAAGCGCGCCGTTGCAGAGGGCGCTGTCGTCAAGACGAGGTCGCCTAGTCCCGTGATTGACTTTGATGGTCTTAGTAGGCCAAGTACGTTTCTCCTTCTTCCATCTTATGTGTCTAGCTGACTTGAGGTAGGCCGCGGCACCCGAGAGAGACGAGAAGAGACAAAGGAACAAGCCGAGCAGCGCCTCGATCGCATGCGCGGTGCCGTGCGCACGCTCCTCGAGTGCGTCGGCGAAGATCCCGACCGTGAGGGTCTCCTCGACACGCCCTCGCGCTACGCCAAGGCTCTTCTCTTCTTGACTCAAGGATACCAGGTCAATGCTGAGGATATCGGTACGTTGATTACGCATTGGGGGCTAAAGTGTAAACTTGCTGACTAGAGGTGCAACAGTCAACAATGCTTTATTTAGGGAGGGGCATAGTGAGATGGTTGTTGTCAAGGATATTGAAGTCTTTGTAAGTTGACCAGCTCTTCTTGTCAAGATGTATACTTACAATCTGCAGTCTCTTTGCGAGCATCACCTCGTCCCCTTTACAGGCAAGGTAAGCACCCCATAAATCCCCCCAATGGTCTCATCTAACGCCTTCAGATGCACATCGGCTACATCCCCAACGAAACCGTCATCGGCCTCTCCAAGCTCCCCCGCATAGCCGAAATGTTTGCCCGCCGCCTTCAGATCCAGGAGCGCCTCACAAAGGAAGTCGCCAACGCCATCATGGAGATCCTGAAACCCCAGGGTGTAGCCGTCGTCATGGAGTCGAGCCACCTGTGCATGGTGATGCGCGGCGTCGAAAAGACCACCACTTCCACCATCACCAGCTGCGTCCTCGGATGCTTCGAGCGCAAGTCCAAGACGCGCAACGAGTTTCTCAACCTCATCGGTATCAACCGATAAAGAGACCGAAGACGAATAATTTTTTTGCATTTATCGGCGTTTGGGGAGATTGGATATTTACTTCATTTCAGGGACGTCCAGGGACAACAAAGAAAGAGCAGAAAAAAAAGAGCCCTTGTGTCTTCAACAATTGGACATGACGAAAAAGCGCCTCCTCAGTTGAGGCTATCTTGGCTAAATAAGATATGAAGGAGGGGAGGCGTTTAACAGCATTTATTGTTTGTTCCCTTTAACTTAGACGTCCGGGCTCAACGCCCTGGAAAAAGAAATTTGATAGGTAGATTGCTCCTTTCAACGAGAGCATCCATATTTTATGAACCAATACAATACCTACGTATTGCCAGATATCCCTTTTCTCCTTGTGAAACCAGACGCCTCCATTGATGCATTTCATATCATTTCAAAAAAGAAAAGAAAAAACTAACGAGTTAGAGCCCTTCTCACTCATTCGCATGCCTCCATCGCTGTAGAACATTCATTCATTCCCTCCAGCCAACTCCATTCCTTCCCATGCCATGTTTTGGTAGCCGATTAAAACGCCCTTCTACCTCGCTCGCTTCCGAGTCTGAATCTTGTACTCTTTGCATCCGTTGCGTCGCTTACGCGCCGTCTAGGAGCGCGTCCATGCCGTTTCTCTCCTTTTCTAGGGATGCCGTCGTCATATGAACATCACCACTTGCATCCTTCTTCTTGTCGTCCTCCTCGTCTTGGTTCGTCATCTCCTTGAACATCTGGTCCACGTTGCCGTCCTCTTGCTTCATCATATCGTCGTCCATGGGATTTGGAGTCATGCGTCTTCCTCCATCACCCATAGAGCCACGACGAGGTCCCCAAACGTCTGGTCCCCACATCTTTTCGGCTTGCTTTCTGCCCATCTCCGTCCTCGAGAGGATTTCAAGAGCCTTACTCTTTTCAGCCTCAGTGTGAAAGCTGATGCCGTCGTCTTGACCTTGCAGAAGCTTTTCCTCCAGAGACATGGAAGAGTTGCCAACAACCAACTGTGGACCGCCAGCTCCAAACAGACCAGGGTGTAGCCCACTACCCATGCTGACTGAATTATCCCTCGAGTGGTTTGAGCCAGACTGCGAGGGTCGACGCTCTGGGTGCCCGTGAGTCGGAGGACTACCGCTCAAAGTCGCCCCTGTCCTGGGAAAGAATGCTGGGCCTGCATACGCTCCAGAAGCCGTACTTGGAGGCAAGATCGGGGCGGATTGTGACTGCGCAGCAGCAGCAGCAGCCGCCTCTGCATTGGCCGCCTTTCGTCGCAGGCTGTTGGCCTTACCTTTGGCGTGCTCAGGGAGGTCGTCGGGGTTATCGACTCCATACTCGACAAGCATCTTCTGCAGCTTGGTGGGCCGAGGCTTTCGAGTGCTCAGTGACACCTCTAGTATTGGTGGAGCCTCAGGAGCCACGGGACACCATTTGTGGAGTTCTTGGCGGAAGAAGTTCGTCTCATACGCCAGCAAGACTTCGGCCCCTTCGATCTTTCGGAGGTAGAACCGTTGAGTCTCGGCCTCGGCTTCCGTCGACAAAAGTGGATTGCAGTACCTGGCAATGTGGTTGCGGAAGTTTTGCGCATTGTCAATGATCTTGCGTAGCACCTCTTCCTCTTCAGGCTGAAAAGGCAAAGAGGGCATCTCGTCCGATAGAGCCACTAGATCCTCCAGCTTTGGTCGTGAAGCATCTCGAGGAATCTTCATTCGCCAGTCACAGATAGGACAAGTGTACTTGTCGTCTTCCTTGACCTTGCCACGGGCAATCTTGAGGCACTTGTAGTGATACCTGGTCATGTTAGCGTTGTTCCACTTGTCCAAAACTCGACTCACCATTCGTGGCACAATTCGCACTCAATCATCATGCCTGCCTCAATCTTTCGGCAGATGCAAAAGACTTGCCGAGACCGCGGGTCTTCCCATCTACTCACCCCTGGTTCAGGGCTAACCTCTCTGGAGACTGGCTCCCCGGGCAGACGAGGCGTGTCGTTTTCGGTATCGAAGCAGTCCTGGTTGCGCTCCAGCACATATTCGAGGTGGCTCTTGAGGATGTGCAGTGGCGCATTCGACTTGCCAAACAGCTTCTTGCCCTTTCGCATCCAGTCCTCGTGGCGTTTTCGCTCGTTTTCGAGATCAATCGTTCCATTGGGCTTCGAGTTGAGATCCTCCAACTTCTTCTGGATTTCGACCACCTCCGAGTACTTAGGTCGTTGGCGAAAGTCGGGGTTCCGGCATCGTTCGGTAATGTCAAGGATCTGACGATGGGCTTCGCGTTGCTTGTGGAGGATGTTGTCGACAGCATTCAGAGTCTCCTGCGAGACGGGCAAGTAATTGACCTGCACTTGATGCGAGAGGGCCTCAAGCTGGGGATAGTGCACAAACTCGGCACCAATGAGCTCCTTTGCCTTCTTCTCCCAGGCTTGTCCAGCATGCATCTGCTCGCGGTAGTGAGTTAGGTGGTCGTTGTACGGCTGAATCTCGAGTCGATTTCCCTCTTCGATCAGATCCTGCACCTCCTTCAGCGTCATGATGACACTTCGGTTGGCTCGAGCCTTTGCATTCCAGCGCATTTGCTCCAGCACCCTGGAAAGCTGCTCGACCTCGGGCGTGTCCACATTAAAGCTGCGACCCTCTTCAAGAAGCTCCTCGATTGTGTCTTCTGGCACCGCTGCCGTGTTCTTCAGAGCTTGCATGGCACTTGTCTGAAAGCGCTTGATGGCTTCAGCGCGCTCTTGAAGTTGAGCGATTTCAGGGCAGTCGAAACCAATCCGCTCTGCCTCGTCGAGGAGTCTGTAAATGTTGGAGACATTTCGGGACTCTCTCTCCTTTTGATCATGCTCGGCGCTACCGATGGATTTTCGCATTCCAGACTGCCAGGCTTTTTCGTTCTTCCGTCGGTTTTGTTGCTTTCGGACAGTGTAGTTTGTCGCTTCCTCCACCCAGTCGTTGCATCGGTTGACAAACTCCTGTAGAATCGGTAGTGAAGGCAGCTCATATGGGATGCGCTCACCCTCATGAAGAATGGCTCGGAGGGTCTTGAGTGATGGCGTAGACTCCTCGTCTAGGATCTTCTCATACTTTTCTTCCCAAGCCTCGGGAGTCTGGGCCTTCTCCATAACCTTGTGGTAGGTTTCAGCCATGTCCTCTTCGGTCTTGCGATAAATGAGAACATGTCCATCGCCTCGGAAACGCGCTGGCTCGGGTTGATCACAGCAGGCATGATAGCCGGCATGTAGCAGACAGAGAACCTTGCCTGAGGCGAGGCACTTGAAGCGTGAAAGATAGGAAAACGCCTTGCAGTAACTGCAGCATTGCTCTTCCTCATCCTGGACGTCCTCATCGTCAACCTTGAAAGTCAAAGGGCAAGTGTCTTCGCTGCCCCCTGTGGCATGACATTGATGGGGTGATGTCTCGCCATGCTTGGACAAGAATTCCTCCCGCTGGGAAATCTCTCGCTTGTGAATGCGCTCAAGGGCTGGTGCTAGCCATTTCGCTGTCTGGATCGTGAGACCGGCTGCCGTGCTTCCTTCAGCAGCTGTCCAGAGCAGCTCATCGTGAGAAAAGCATGGCTGCCTTCGGAACAGCTGCAATCGCTCCACACCCGCAAGGCCGAAGGGCTCCCAATCACTAGGTGCAAAGTTGACGGCCTCGTTGAAGTTGAATCCGTGATTGAAACCAGCATGGTAGGCTTGAGGGAACGTAATGACAAACTGTCCAGCTCGCTGATCGAGGGCATACACGCGAACGCCCGCCTTCTTCAACTGTTCAGGAGTCAAGAGCGTCACCAGCTGGAAGAGGAGATCTGGCTGTGTCTCGAAAAGCTCGGGCACGGCTTCTCTCATGGCAGCCTCGAACTTTTCGGCATCTTCTCCTGGAATGCCGTACCAGGTCTTGGTCGCGCCGAGATGCTGGTAGTTGGCTGAGTAGGCGTAGTGATCCTCGTTGTGCCAGCAGAATGTCGAAAAGATCATCCCAACATAGACCCAGGGAACGGTCATACCAGAAATATCCGACTTGATGTGTCTAAACAGACTCTCGGGGTGGAATGGAAGGACATTCAGATTCCAAGGATCGGTCGCATACGGGTTGTTGGGGTGTCGTTCGGCAGTAGGGAACCCAGAGCCGTGGGTTGTGCAATGAATATCGGCTCCGTATTCGACTTCAACCGTCTCTTCAAGATCAGCAACCAATCGCCAAAACTCCGTCTCCACATCTTCCTCAGTGACGGGTCGATGACAGTTGAGTTCGTGGTCGAAGGGCATCTTCTTTTCAAAGTAGCCTTGCTTGAAGTCGTTTGCCTTTTGCTGGAATTGCTTCAGAGAGTACAAGCCTCCCTCTTCGAAGCCGAACTGGCCATCTCCAACGAGGCATCGGGGGCAATTCCACTCAGCATCCGGCTTTCGCTTCAAGGGTGGGTCTAGACAACCGGGATGATAGGAGTGATCGCAAGATTCGCAGACGAGAAGAGAGCCCGCATCTTCTCCTCTTGCACATGTTTCGCATTTCTATCCATGTCAGTAAACTTCTTGCCAATTGCAAGAACCACTCACCTCGCCTCCTGGTGTAGCTTCATCTCTAGGAATCCTCGGCACTGATGGACGGAATGGCGTCATGTGTGATCCAGCCACAGTGGGGACGGCATCTGCGAGCACAAAATGTTAGTTAAACTGCCAAGGGGCCAATGAGAAGCGGCATGGATCATCACAGCTGAAATCCCTGCGCATGGTACCACCAACGACAAAGACGGAAAATGCTCTGCGTACACCTTGCATGGAGCTGGGATCTGGAATCGCGTGCACATACCTTTCTTGAGACGCTTAGAACGACGACTACCCGCGTCGCCATCGTCTTTACCAGCGTCGGCGTCTTTTCTCGTCGAGTCTGATGAGCTGTCGCAGCTGAGCTGACGCTTCAGGGCTGTAGCCATGAGGCTCGACGCACGGTTGTCTGGGGTGTTCTTTGCCGAGGAGCTTGGGCTGTCGAATCGCTTAGATTCAGGAGTAAAGCTCTTCGAGTCACCATTGGTACTGCGGTTGACACTGGTGAATCCCGAATTAACCGCGGTAAAACCTCCAGAGTTGATCGCAGTGAAACCGCCAGAAGTTGGTGCTGGGGTCGTGGTCGGCGCATCGGTCATTGGAGTATCGCGATCCGTCTCCTTCTTCACCCCGTTGATGCTGGCCTGTAGAGCATCGGATGCGTTTCGCGCTGGCGAGTCGCCTCTACCGCTCGCTGGCGTGTTGACATTTGATCGCTTAATTGGCGTATGCGCTGGACTGGGAGTCAATGGGCCGCCGTATTCTTGTTCTAATTGCTGGTGGACTCCAGGTTTCGCCAGGCGCAAGTACTCCTCGTACGGGCAAAGCCATCGCTGGTACGAGTTTTTCAGGGACGTTGAGAGTGATGACATGATCTTGCCACTGTAGCCCAAATCACGGCCAATCTCCGCCCATTTCTTGTGTTTGCACACCTTTTCAAAGCCACCTCGCGACTCGACAGCTTTTTTGAGTCTGTAAAGATCAAGCGGCTTCTTATCCACATAGGGAAGGCGATGAAGGTTGTTGCCATGCTGCTTGTGGAATTTTGAGAGGCCATCGAGATAGGTCAGATTGGCGCGGGTACCTAGCTGGTCAGTTTCTTCCTGGTGCGAAAACAAGGTGAAACACGTACTCCCTTCCACCGAGTTCAACTCTTGTTTTCGGGTCCTGAAATGAAATTTCTAAACAAATTAGTATGAGCTCTGAGCGACACATTCACAATGCCGCATAGTTGTGGGGTGCACGCGGTCGTGCAAGGTCGGCATACCTCGGTGTCGATGGCAAAATCGGGATTCCAGGAATCTGGAGGAATAATCTTGCAGATGCCAAACTTCTTCGCTTCTGGTGTGATCTTGCGCATGTACTCGAAAGGATCTCGCCATTCCTCCTCGGTTGGACAGTAGGTGGGAGCTTCTTGGAGGCCATGCGGGCGGCTCGTCTTTGTCACGGGCTCTCGGATTGCGGTAGGTTGTCCTCGGCGTTCGACCGAGGTTAGATCTAGGGGAGCGCTCGACAAAGAACTGAGAGGCGTCTGCGGATTAATAGGGTGGTAACCATTTGAGTTGACCTTGGGCTTCGGTTTCGACGAGCCAGCGCCTACGGCAGGCGAACTTCGCGAGCTCGCACTGGCGCCGTGGGAATTTGACGCGGCGACGGCGCCGACAGTTGGTACTGATACCATGGTGAAGCGAAGGTCGAGGATAAACGGGAGCGATATTGAAGAGGGGGCGTATCGAAGTATCGGTCGACTTTACGGATGCGCGGCAGATGACGACTTCATACTCGAGAAGGGGCCGTTGTCGTTAGTTTACCAGCGGCATCGCAGGCTATCGGCGTCCCAATCGCGGCGAGAAACCAGACTCGTAAAAGGTGATGGCAGGAGAAGAAAAGACGAGCCGAGATTTATGTCTGCGCTACAAATGTTAACGTCAAGGTGGACTGTGGTGGAAAGGTTATTGTGGAAGGGAGAGCACGAGGATCCAGGTATGACCCAACTAACACGAGGAATATGATACTCACGTTGTAAGACGAGGAAGTAGACCAGGCTGAGGACCTGGAGAGTACAAGTCTTGAAAATAGAGATATTCGACTTCAATGGGCCTCGTGGTGATGATCGAGGCGATGGGCGAGGAACGAGTCATGCAAACCCATCAGAGTGGAAGGTTGATGGAGGAGTGAAAGAAGGAAGAGTGAGGAAGGAGTGGAGGGTGAAGGGTGTGAGTGGGAACTTGGGAAGGCGGGAATGGGTCGAGGGAATCCCAGATCTGGAGGCGCGAGCGTCGAGCCTACCTACCGGCGACCTTGGGCCATGGCACGCACACGCACCGCGCACAAAGGAAAGGGAAGGGACGAGGGTGTGAGGGAGGTTCCTGGTAAGGCGGCGCTGCGCCTAGGTGAGAGGTACCTCCGTTAGCACTGACTGGCGCCAGGTACAAAGGTACCTGCCGCCGCCGTGGGTGGCTTCCACAGGCCCCGTCGTCGCTGTCACGGCGGAAGGTCCGGTGGGATCTCGGACCCGCAGCGAGAATATGGCAGGAGCTTTTGGGAGTGATAACGGGAATTGAACGCGTCTAAAAGAACTAATTCTATGTCCTTGAGCATCTCTCATTCTGCCAGTCTTTTGCGTCGCCAATTCTTCTCGCGTTGGTCGGCGTAGCGCTGGAAAGCGCCGTCCTGATACAAGGACCCGAAGGCTCAGGTGCGGACCCACTGGCGACGACATCCGACCGGGCGCAAAACCACATTACCGAGACAGAGTACCCATCGACGGGCTCTACGGTGCTCAAGATGGTCACAAAGGGGTATGGGGTCAGCTTGGGGATTCATGCAAGCAATTATCTCGAATTTAGGAGCGACAACATCACCAACACTTCCGATCTCCCGGCTGATGCACACGCCGAGCCTTGCGACGATTGTCCGAAGGGAGAGGTTCAGGGATGCCGCCCCCACGATGCTTCTCCCAGCTTCTATTTCCGAGCCTCGTGAGGGACTTTGACATGGGTCAACACAGATATCAGAGCTCGACAGCTGCGCGTCAACGTTGATTGATGTGCTAGGCACGGCTCCGTGCATCTCACCAACGATCAAGCCGAGATTAATTCCACGGCCACGTCGTCATTGAGCAGAGCATCCGAATGCGGACAAGATGGTGACATGGACGTTCAGTCGAGTCACGCGCTGACAGGCATCATCATATTCCCTTGTGGGCGGTTGGTTTGTGTGGCTGGCATGTCCCGCTTCTCCCAGAACAGAACTCAGGTCGGCCCCTAAAAATCTTGAAAGGGCACCCGCTGAAAAAAAGCCCGGCCCCAGAAAAAAACCAATCTGATATCGAACTCTGAATGAGCAGGGGTCGGTTAATAATTGGCCGCTACCGAGCCAATCATGGCGAGATGACGTTCAGCACAAGGACGCCGCTCCGCCCGGGGGCCTGGTCAGCGACTCAGGGCTCGCGGGGAACCCCGGGGCAAAGCAAACACGACGTGACGAGATTGAGGTGCTTTGTGGGTTGACATGACGAGATCTCTGCTGGGGATCGTTGGAGGGTCTGAACACTGGCATTGATGCTTCGTCAATTATCAGGCCTGGAGAGTTACTCTCAGCCTGGAATATGCGCGGCATGGGTGTCAGAAACAACCTGTGTGAGGCTGACCAGCACGCCCCGTCTCACAGTTACAGGGGACACCGCATCCGAAACCACAGAGATTGACATGAGACTTGAGCAAAGTGCGGTACAAACAAAGAGCAATCCTCAAAGGGTATCTTTCCAAACGCCGATAATGCAACGCCAGACCCATGATCAAGATACAGCAGCCTTCCTTGTTCGCCGTGGCTTTTTCAGCAATTTTTCCACCTCCTTTGGTCCCCGTACCCGAAGTGTCAACTCCTTCATCATGTCACCCCATTGAATCTCGCTGTAGCAACTCGGACACGTGCATGACCGCGGTATCATAGCCCCCTCGTCTTCACCCTTGAGGGCGTGTTTACTCCAGCAGTCGAGATGGCCCATTGCTTCGCATCTACCGTTTGGACACATCGGATGAAGTCCTTTTCCCGATTCCAACTCTTCATGGCAATGCACGCATTTTCCTTCTCGCTCAAAAGAGACGACGTTGTGTGCCTTTTCAATGTACCCCTTCATAGGTGCATAATCCAGGGGTAAGGCGTAAATGCCCCACGGCGCAGGTGACGATTCCCTCTGAGTCTCCTTGGACGGTCCGAAATCTGTGAAAACATTCATGCCTTGTCTTGGCACTGCGTCAATCGACTGAAGCCACTTGTCCCAAGCCTTCTTGGGCTCGCTGGCAAAGAAGTGCACTGTCAATGGCCAACGGGCAAAGCTTGGGACATTAGTGAGCAAGTGAAGATTTGAAACAACAGAAGTGAGGGTATGGATAGGTTTTCGCGGCTTTTTCATTCCCTTTCGTTTCTCGGCGGCTTTTGTCAGTCGCTCTTCTGCCGAAATGTGTGTCGTCAAATGTGGGTTTGTCATTGCCCACCTAGAACGTCAATACAACATGATGCAATACAATACAACAAAACTTACTCAAATTTAAGGGCAGCAATCGAGCTGGGAAATCCAGTAACCAAGATCATGACCTCCCATGGCCGTAGCTTCTCCCGCGCCGTCCGCACAGCGCCTCCTCGTGCTTCACCATTGTGCTGCTTCAGGCGTCGTGGAGGGTTTGGCGTAGAACCTATGTAGATGGAGGCATGGCGCACGGTAGAGCGGAGAACGTAGACACCGTAGAGGGCTGGATGGGGTCTTGAAAGCTGCGACATGCCTGGCTGCAGGCGTCAGAAAAGGGTTTCTCGATGTGAGGATGTTTACTTGGCGTGAGCGAGTCGGAGGGGTGATGGGTCGGATGACTAATCTTGTGAGCATCAGTGCATCGCATCACCACTTCATACCAGCATCAAGTGGATATTCTGATAGCTCTCAGAGGCAAGTTAATGTGGTTTAAATCCAATACCATCCTTTATATGAAGTTGTTTTATGGTACCTATGTTACATGACCTGGACGCCAATTACAACCCAGCCTACAAGAGACCCTGCTTCTGCAAATCATAGTACACCTTCTCAGGCATGACGTTGCCCTCTCCATCCTCCATCTGCACCACACTGCCCTCATCGACCTTGTTGCGCTTCTTCTCCCTCTGGATCTTCTCCCACAGCTTGAGCGCCTCGTCGATACGCGTGATATCTCTGAACAGCGCCGTGTTGTTGACGCCAAGACACTTGAGACCGTAGATGTGTCGCGCCTCGTTGAAGTGCTTGTCGAAAGCTCTTCGGCCCATGTAGACAAAGTTTCCGCAGATCTCGCAGGGGAACTCGACGCCTAGACCGTGAAGTCGGTACAGCCAGAAGGGAATGGGCTTTCCGTCCCATGCGAGGGGGAGCTTGAGGGGGTTGTAGATCCTCTCCTCGCCGTCCTCATCCTCGCCATCGCCCTCGTCGGCTGCCTCCTGTTGACCTTCGGGGACGTTGAGGAGGTTCTCGAGCTCTTGTTGACGCTCGCGCTCCGTCATGCCCTGCTTGCGCTCGACGTTAACGCGTGTATCGCTACGCTCGGTGCTCATGGCGCTGGCCAGTCGCTTCACCCTGTGCTCTCGTTCTGCCACGGCGCGCTCCTTTAATCGTGTCGCTGAGACGGTTCCGTTGGTTGCGCCGCTGGTGGTCGATTCTTCCTGGTGCTGTTTCCTCTGCTCAGCCGCCTTGATATGTTTTCGTCCTGTGAGATGGTTCTTGTAGACATTTTCGTTCTTGAACTCCTTTTGACAGTCATCGCACCAGATAGCGTCTGCTGCGGAAGCCTGCTTGCCAGTATCTGTAGGCGTCTCCTTCTCCCAACCCTGAATCTCGTCCTTGTCCCACGCCGTCTCAAATTCCTGATCAAACGATGTGAGGACCTTATCCACATTCTCCAGAGGTCTCGTTCGTCGCATGAAGCTCTCGAGGTATTCTGCTAGTTTGCCGACGTACTTGAAGTACTGATCGGTCAGCTTGTTTGATCGACTGACGCCGCCGTGGCCAGGGGCAAAGTTGTCGAATGCTTCGAGGTATTGGAGATATGTCAATCGTCTAACGTTGGGAAGGTTGAGGTACGCTTCGTGGCAGGTAGTCAGATCAAAGAATCGTCCATAGGCTTCTTCTCCAGAGAACAGAGAGTCGACGATAGATGGCATGGGCTCTCCCTCGGTCGGTCTCTTGACCTTGTACCGCTGCTCCGAATTCTCGGCCTGTTCGTTGGGATATCGTGCGTGGTGATCGCGGACATCTTTGAGCTGCTTGTAAAACTCCTCGAACGGATCGCCGGTGCCAATCTGCTGAATCTCTTTTGATCGTACTCCGTTCTCGTCCTTGTAGATGTCGAGGAGGTTCTTTGATTGAACCTGAATCTGGTCTAGTAATTGAGAAATCTCGTGATCTCTGTTGAGGCGATCGCGAATCTATAGAGTCAGCATATCATAGTCAACATGTTGTATGCTTTCTTTGCTCACATGTTTGGGTTCGTCGCGAATGCGATCGGCGACGCCTTGCTCGAGGCGCTCTAGATCCTCATGGATGTACCGCTGCTCTTCAAGGACCAACATATCGTCTGAAATGAGTAAAAACCAGCTTCTCGAATACTTGTGTCGAATGCGCCTGATTCTCTACCTTGACGCGATGCAATATGTGAATGAAGTTGAGCTCGGGTTGCTCAAAAAATTGCGGAGCTTCACCAGTCGCGATTACAGTGGCGTTCCAGGCGCGCATTGTCATTCCGAAGTATTCCCGGCGCGTGCCACCTCTAAAGTTCCAAAACTTTGACCACCGACACCAACAACAAATCTCGTCGCAATCATCATCTCCCGACCCCATCGTATCCTTTTGAAACGAAACGGAAACTGTCTCTATCATGGCTGAAGGCTCAGGCTCAGGTGGAGGCGGAATTGACCGCAAGGCCGATGAGAGGATGGAGTTTTCCACCTCCAAGGAGGTTACTGTTCATCCGACTTTCGAGTCCATGTCGCTGAAGGGTATGTGAGGACAAACAGGCAAACAATGTAGCTAACATGGAGCAGAGAACCTTCTTCGCGGCATCTACGCTTACGGATACGAATCTCCCTCGGCCGTTCAGTCTCGAGCCATCGTCCAGGTCTGCAAGGGTCGCGACACCATCGCCCAGGCTCAGTCTGGTACCGGAAAGACGGCGACCTTTTCGATCAGCATGCTGCAAGTTATTAACATCGCAGTGCGAGAGACTCAGGCGCTTGTTCTTTCTCCCACGCGAGAGTTGGCGACTCAGATTCAGTCTGTTGTTATGGCCCTGGGTGACTACATGAACGTGCAATGTCACGCTTGTATCGGTGGAACCAACGTTGGCGAGGATATCCGCAAGCTCGACCACGGACAGCACATCGTCTCTGGTACTCCTGGTCGTGTGGCCGACATGATTAGAAGACGACATCTGCGCACCAGACACATCAAGATGCTTGTTCTCGACGAAGCGGACGAACTCCTCAACAAGGGTTTCCGAGAGCAGATCTACGATGTTTACCGATACCTTCCTCCTGCTACTCAGGTTGTGGTTGTCAGCGCTACTCTCCCCTACGATGTCCTCGACATGACGACCAAGTTCATGACGGACCCTGTTCGCATTCTTGTCAAGCGTGACGAGTTGACCCTCGAAGGTCTCAAGCAGTACTTTATCGCCGTCGAGAAGGAGGACTGGAAGTTTGATACTCTATGCGATCTCTACGACACCCTGACCATCACGCAAGCCGTCATCTTTTGCAACACACGCCGCAAGGTCGACTGGCTTACGGACAAGATGCGAGAGGCAAACTTTACCGTCAGCAGCATGCATGGTGACATGCCTCAGAAGGAACGAGACAGCATTATGCAGGACTTCCGTCAGGGTAACAGCCGAGTACTCATCTCGACCGATGTGTGGGCTCGTGGTATCGACGTGCAGCAGGTCAGCTTGGTTATCAACTACGATCTGCCTAGCAACCGTGAGAACTACATCCACCGTATCGGTCGTAGCGGTCGATTCGGTCGCAAGGGTGTTGCGATCAACTTTGTGACTACTGAGGATGTGCGCATTCTCCGAGACATTGAGTGTGAGTACCTATTATGATGTTTTTGATGAGCCTTACTGACTTTTGTAGTGTACTACTCGACCCAGATCGATGAGATGCCCATGAACGTTGCGGATCTCATCTCATAAGCGGCAGATGGGATTCTTGTGGAAAAGAAATGAAGAGCCGTGACAGGCTAAGAATTAAACGTGGAGGAAGGGGGCCCGGTATCGTACCGAGTAAGTGACATTACTGCCTCTTGATGGACTGATATTGACAGCAATGCAGACTTAAACGTAGATTGTCAGAACAACGGTGATGAGGATATTGCTGGACTACTGGTCGAGTCGGAACTCATTACGTGTACGCCTTGACAGTGGAGGGTATAATGAGCCTCAAACTACATGATAAAAAATGTCTCAAAAGCTATTCTAATTCTGCCTCTTGACTTGCAAATATCGGTATGATGACGGTGCTGTGACATGTCACATTGCGGGTATTCGATCCGATGCCGACCTCGAGATGAATGTCGAGTCACAAGATAACGGGAATCCCAATTTGGAAAGTTCATGCGACTCTGAAGCACGACCGGATCTGCGCCGGGTTCACCGTCGAGCCTCTGGCAATCCTCTTCCCCATGGGGTAACTAGATTGCAACACGGTGATTGTTGGCAAGGATGAACGATTGATGGTGGGGTCCACGGACAACAATGTTTGACCCATGCTGGATGCGTTTACTGTCTAGTATGCTCTCTGGAGTCCGTGGTTCTAGGGGCTTCTAGATGGTGTTGTGTAAGCCTTCATTCCATTACAAGGTCCAGGCTTTGCCACCAAGTTCCCTGGACAATGTGAGCCGTCTTGATAAAGCTGAGCTGAAGATAATATCCCCTGTAATTCACACATGAAACATTTGATAACAAACCCAGAAGCTCGGACTTTTACTCTGATGAATCTGTATCCTGCAGTTGACAAATGAGCCTGCAGCAATCTAATGCGGACCTGCCGCATCCGCCCGTCAAACTATCCCGGTTAGGGCGAATACTTTGCATTTTGAGAATGCGGAGATGGAGCTAGTTCAACGCCGCGGATCTGAAGAACCCTGTCGACGATATCGATTTGTGTAAGAGACGTTACACACAGAGATAACTCATAAGAACAAATTGAACAAGCTAATTAATATGTTATTGTCGGCATGCCCGCCGGCGATTGTTGCCGCCGGCCAGAGTGTCTGTTGGTGTCGGAGTCTTCCACACTATTGCTAAGAGGCGAATTCCCTTCAAGAGGCGTTTCCCCCGCAAGAACTTGACCCTAGTTTCTGTTTAAACTTTGAAGCACTTATAAGATCAAGAGATATCCCCCCAAGATTCACTCAATCCAACATCACCAAACACATACACCTCTCCGCCAGAGAATGCCCACAACCCTTCACTACCCCATCGTCGAGTCTTCCTCTGGAGTACCATGGAGAAACAACAACAGATGAACCAGGCCGAGCAGGACGCCCTCGACCTCGCGGCGTTTGGTCATGCAGAGGGCCTCACCCGCAAGTTTAGCGTGCTGAGCATGCTCTCCCTCGCCTTTTGCGTCCTCGGTACTTGGGCCGTCTGCGCGCAGGGTCTTGCTACTGCTATTGAGAATGGCGGGCCTGTTAGTTGTCTCTGGGGTCTTGTCCTCGTTGCGCTGTGCAATACTTGCATCGCCGTGTCTCTCGGTGAGCTATGCAGTAGCATGCCTACAGCCCTAGGTCAAGCCTTTTGGGTATCGCGACTATGGAGGTCACCTCTCGGACGATTCACATCATACATGACTGCTTGGCTTAACACTTTTGGGTGGCTTGCCCTCAGTGCCTCTCAGGTCGCCTTCATGGCCGAGTTTTGTCTGTCGATGAAACTCATGTTTGACCCCGAGTGGACTGGCAACAAGGGATGGGTCACGTTTCTCGTGTACACGGTCATCAACATCTTCTTCACCTTTGTCAACTACGTCGGATGTCGGTCTGAAAAGTTCCTGCCTTACTTTAACAACTTTGTAGCTGTTGGGTTTGTCGGGTTGTTTGTTACGTTCTGTATCGCCCTCCCTGCGGTGGTAGGAACAGAGCCCAACCTCGAATACCAGTCGGCCAAGTTTGTCTTTGGTGGTTGGGTCAACGAGACTGGCTGGAGCGATGGTGTTGTCTGGTTTCTAGGTCTTGTTCAAGCTGCGTACAGTCTTACGGCCTTTGACTCCGTCCTTCACATGGTGGAGGAACTGCCAGCTCCACGCCGCAACGCCCCGAGAACGATGGTGATGGCTGTTGTCCTTGGTGCCATCTCGGGATTCGTCTTCTTAGTGGCCAGTCTTTTCTGCATTCAAGATCTCAGTGCCGTTCTTGATCCCGCATCAGGCTTCCCCTTTATCGAGCTTGTCCAAAGCACGATTGGCCTGAAAGGAGCTGCGGCCTTGATCGCCTTGTTCATCTTCAACGGCTTCGGGCAAGGCATTTCGGTCGTCACTTCAACGTCAAGACTAACATGGAGTTTTGCCCGGGACCGAGGATTTCCATATGGAGCCTACTTTTCCTACGTCGACCCCTACTGGCAAGTCCCCGGTCGAGCATTGATTCTCCAGACGGTCATTATCAATCTCGTGGGCCTACTGTACCTCTTCTCCAGCACCACCCTCGAAGCTATCCTAAGCGTCAGCACAATCGCCCTAACAATTTCATACGCCATCCCCATCGCCGTGTTGATGGCGGTCGGTCGAGACAAGCTACCACCCGGAGGACAATTCGGCCTGGGCAAACTAGGACCTGTCCTTAACACCGTGTCCATCATATATGCTGCCATCACGACCGTCTTTTTCTTCTTCCCTTGGACTCCTAACCCGGCGCCCGTCGATATGAACTTTGCGATTGCAGTGTTTGGCATCATGTTGGTTATTGCGCTTGGGTTTTGGGTCGTCAAGGGACGCAAGTCGTTCTTGCAGATTGAAGATGTGTCAGAGGATGTTCTTTATGCTCAGGAGCAGGAGGTCCGATCTGAACAGGTGGAAAAGAGTTGAGCTCAAGGGGGTGTCTGGAGATGGATGTGTCGACGTCACGTGAGCCCCTGACAGACGACATTCGAACCATCATTGCGTTTAACCTGGGTCTGACGAGCTTAGATGATACTCTACTAGTAGCTCTTAAGTGCTTAAGAAGATCTAGATCCCATTCTTAGGGACATATCATGGCATAAAAATGAGACAGAATAATCAAATTGGTATAGACAGTTCTGGCTAGATCAACAGTACACAATCTTTCTTTGCCCAAGCCTCTCGCTAAGCGCCCCCATGCTTTTACAGAATGTAAATCCTTTCAACACTTAGAAAAACGCTCTAACCTCCGGGTCTGCGAGTGTTTTGTTCCTCGCAACGCCAGCTCGACACCAATCTCCAAACGCCTTGTCGTATTCGTCCTGAACATCCAGGACAACTTGATCCCAGTTTCCATCCCTCACATTGCCCTGTATTCCACGGTACCAGCCCACCATGTCTATTCTTCCGGTGACGTTACTCTTCTGAATCAAGGCGGCGATTCGCTCGCTCGATGTAGATGTGTCCCGTTGTTCTGCAGCTCGAAGAAGCTGCTTGAGAGTTGACATGTGGCGTAGCAAGTAGTGAGACAGCAAGTCGAAGTAGAGAGATATAAATTTTTGCTGCTCTTCCGGACTTGGTCGACGTAGAGGGCCAATGAGCTGCCAGTCCTCCGCCTCCAAACACCAACCCAGTTTGCCCAGGGGAGTGTGGCCATTGACGTCGCGCAGTCTAGGGTCAGCGAGTGTGAGATTCTGTTCTGCCAGATAACTGATCACTCCAAGATCAGCATAGTAAGCGGCCAAGTGAAGAGCATTTTCAGAGAATGCAGTTATTGTATTGAGCGATGCACCAGCATCAACAAGAGCGCGCAAGACTAGGGCGTTAGATTTTATGACTGTGTCAAGCAATGCCGTTCTGCCAAAGTTGTCTTGCGAATCTAGTTGGGTGTGTTGTCCTTGGAGGAGACGAATGATTTGCTGAGCTGTCTGTTGGTCTGCCTGGCTTCGAGGAAGGCGATGCAGTGGAGTCATGTTGATGAAGTCGCGTTTTTCCACAGACGCACCCGCCTCGAGCAACATGTGAACACACTCAGGAGATGCTGCTTGCACAGACTCGTGCAGCGCAGTCCTTCCAGTATCTGCTTGTAGATCAACATGACGACGGCATTGGTCATTCTGTAGAAGGATCTGCGCTGCCTCTTCACGACCATATCTTGCAGCGATCATGAGTGGAGTCCAACCATTGAAATCTCGTCTGATAGTGTCAGCCCCGGCAAGTATCAACTGCTCTAGCACGTCAATATTGTTGTGTATAGTAGCGTAATGAATCGGAGCGCTTCCACAACAGTCGAGCTCGTCTATGGCTTCCAGTTGCTCTCGCAGAACCTGCCGCATTTGAACAGTGTCGCCTTTCTTCGCTGCCTGGTGAATTCTGCGTACACGCCGACATACTTGTGTGAGGGACAGCACCTTTGTCAAAATATGCCTGGCCTTGTCATCGGTGACACTCCAAGAACGCTCCATAAGAGCGATGCTGGCAACATAGCCAACCCTCCTACAGACAAGGATTAGCCCAGCCTGAAATCTGGTTTCTGTATGATACAACCTTGGCAGTCCTTGTTGTGGGAGCACATTTTTCCACAGCTCGAGCAAAATCTCGACACTCTCATATGCTTGACCATCAATGGCTCTCTGCAAAATCCAGAGTCAGCACTGTTTCCCATATTCAGCTTTTTCCAACTACCTACTGTCATCAAGTCAAAGCTAAATTCGGCGGTATCATCTGGAAAAAGTGCCAACCCCTCACTAAGATGGTGTCGTAGCGATGAAGGTTTTCCTACGCACCTCCAAACTTGGTTGTCAAAAGGTATAATCCTCGGGGCGCGCAGTGAATAGGTCAGGGTCGGCTCTCCGCCTCGATACCCTCCAAAAGGTGCCACTCCAGCCCAGAGCCATTTTGGAGGTTGATATTCGAACTCTAACGCCATGCTTGGTCCGCATTGCTGCTCGCAAGTCCTGTCAATAGCTTGGTTTCTCACATGCCACGAGCCAAACACTGTTGACATCCACGAGTATTTGTCGTACTCTTCAATATTTCCGTGGCAGCGGCATTGGCAATCTTGTCCGCATTTGCGTGTTCCCAAAGGCTGAATCGTCGTCAAGCTCGTGTAGATTTCCTCCTTCATGGATATGGCACAGCCACCGCTCTCATCTGCGAGTGAAAGACTCTGAAACTCGCCCAACTGCAATGAAGCCGTCATGGACTGGGCGGAAGCCTCGCTGGTCTTCGAGCATGACTCGCCTTCTACCTCGATTTCTTCCACCTGCCTCTCGACAGGGCCAATGACTGAAGCCTGAATCGGGCCGGAGAGAGGTTCGTTGAGTCGTCCCGTTTGGCTTTGTTGACGGCCTTCCAGGTAATAGACCGTGCGCTGCTTGATTGAGTGCAGAATCCTAGACCATTATCAGCTTTGGAGTCAAAACGAACAAGCCATCATATCACAGACACTTCCTGCTGTGTTCCGATTTTATCGACAGACGACGAGGTCCTCAAAGTGATCGCCAAATGCAGGTTGAGCTTGGTGTTCTGGGCTTTCCGCGCAAGTCCCTCGATCTCGCTGCTCTCGGAGAGCCATTGCATCTTCCTTGCTATCCGCCTCGGGTCGTGCCATTTACGATCGTCTGAGTACTTTGAAACGATATGGTTGAGCGCCGCCAGGATCTCCTGAAGCTCCTGGACTGCAAGCGACACCATCGGGTGTTCCTCCGTGGTCCTCGGAGGGGGTTGTGGGCGTAACGGTAGGCCCGTCTGTCGCATAGCTTCGAAGATAAATCCGTCGATCGTAACGATCTACCACTATATTAGTCATGTCGCTAAGAAGATGAAAGTGGATGCTACCCGCCTCCTTCTTGAGGCCATCACATTGCTGTCGAATCTGACGGATCTCCCGCAGCAGGTTGACAGCCTTAATGGTTCCTTGCACGGCTTGCGCGAGGGCGATGGAGCTCGCCACGGCCCCAAGAATTTCGAGCCCCGACATTTCGTGAAGTACCAGTCGATCAGGTTGTCTCCTTGACCATAGCGACGTGACCAGGAGATGGAAGATGGAGAGATAGGGTGGGTTTGATCTATCTATCAGAAGCCCAACTGCCCAGAGCCTCGTCAGGCTGTGCTGAAATGCCTTGGCGACATGAGGAAAGCCTCACTATGCAGGACCAACCAATCAATATCTGATCTTGCAGCAGTACCGGGAGCTGAAATGCAGTCGAACCAACACAGCCACGACCTGCCAGTTGCTTCGGATGGCACAGCCTGATACAAAAGATGTTCTGTAAATGTGGCATTCCAAAATCCTATCGTCTAGTTCAGGTTGTAGCTTCACTGAAAATATCTTGGAAATGTGCAGAAGACATACTTGGGGTGTGTTGGTAGGCTTCCTTCAGGCCAGGCTGAGCATGTCAACAGATGTTGGGTCAGCCAGCCAGCGCCTGGCCTATACCTGTGTTTCTTTCTTGGGGCGTTGATCATATAGGATCTGATTAGTTCATGACTGTGGAATCATATCGCATGAGAAGGGGTTGTCTTTCATCATATGTCAGGTGCTATTCGCCAGTATTCTGTCAGGCTACATTGTTGCATGCCGAGGAATGGGAGAAGATATTCCGCACGATTTAAGAGCTGACACCACAGCATATTAATTAGCATGACTAAATGATGTTCTTGTCTTGTAGGAAAAGGGGAGGTACTGGTCTGATAAAGCTCATGTTGAAGTACTACACTGGATACTCTTGCCTAGAGTCAAGGCGAGTAACTATTGACGAGATAAATTGTCGTACGCAGATGCTTACAGCTAACACGACTAAATATTCAATCCATTGCTGGCATTGCACTTGGCCTCTCCTTAACCTCCAAGCCAACAACATATTTTACAACTAGAAATAAAGGCAGAGCATGGGTTAGTATGTCTGGCACAAGCGCTCGATACAGTTCGGTCAACTCGATCGCAATATGAACGGGTTGTCGTGAAGCATCGTGCCTCAATCAAGACAGCCTACCCTGAATCGGCCGAGATCTCGATTAAGCGGTATCTCGAGAAACAATGATAAGACAAGATCCTATATAAGACGGAAATGATTAAATCTAGGCGTACGCCCTTGTTTATCCTCTCGGCCGGGGACTTGTCTCATGCCATCCGAGTACCCGGTTGTCGTCGAGTCTGCCTATCATAGGCTCACCTTTCCTTCACACCGAGACACAAGTGACGCCATCAGACCTGCTCAATTACACCGACAATTGAGTGTCATCAAGCTAAACAGGCATCTAGCCGTAGTCTAATGCGCGTGCTCATTGTTTCAGCCAGCCTCGCCCGGAAACGATCAAGTCAAAACCCCAACAGACGAATCATTTCAAGAAACAGTCGAGAGAGGCTACAAGCTGCAAGCGATCTGCGTCAGCCCAAAAGCCACAGCTAGCTTCTAGAAAAAAAGCCTCTCCTTTGAGAAGTGGCAGTTCGTGTTCTGAAACCCAAGCGAGGAAGTCTAATCGACGAGAATGGGCTAGGTTACCGGCTCTGCGGTCAAAATGTTCTACGATGTAACGAAGATGACATGGAACTGGACGGGTCATCGGGGGGCAAGTCTGTTTCTGGCCATGGCTGAAACGGCGGGAGAAAGCCATGCCCTGAATCAGTTCCTACAGAAGCCCAGAGGGGAAGGCTGGCATGTGGCTTTTGGGTCGAGTGTTTTGAGCAAGGTCCATGATGCCAGAGGCTGAGTCGTAGAGCCCAGTGCAACCTCGGTATGGCATCATTAGCAAGGTGTCCGGTAAATAGGCGAGGGACGTCTCTAGGGATACACGCGCACAGATAGCGAATGGGCTGTGGCAGGTCATGGCAGCAAGGATTGTCTGATGGCAGGCTACGCATGCGTGCCAGTGGCACACAAGGCCCCGAAACGTGGAAAAACGTGGTAGTTGAGCAGGGGGATTGCTGTTGCCTTGAGACCCTGAATTGACTCCTTGGCCGTGCCTGTTGTTAACCTTTGCCCTCCGTCAGATCATGCTTCAAGTTCCTTGATCAAATCCCTTTTGACTAGTCTTGGCAGCCTTTGGATCTACCTTCTATCCATGGGGACAAGATGGAGCCCCAGAGCCCAAAGGTGCAAGAGTCATGCAAGACAAGGTCAACCACAGTCCGGGGGACGGCGTGGGCTCGGCGGTCGTGCCCAGGGCAGGCCTAGCGAAACCTAACGGGAGGAAGGCCAACGCCACCACATGGGACTGTTGGGCAGAACGGGAGTTTGTCAATCAAAAAGGCAGAGCTGGTGGTTGAATTGTAATGAGAGGGACGGCGGGTATGGCGGGTGGATGAGCCGGTGACAGGGGCTTGAGAAAAGACATGGGAACGTTGGTGGGAGAGACAATTTATTTGGGATGCAACCTATGAAAGCAACCTAGATTCATCTCGACTTTTGAGGCTTTCACCTTGATGATGCAAGGCTAGTTCACCGTGATGATCGCAATGGCGCCCGACTCAAATGCAAGATTGATGAGTGGTTGTAAACCAGCAACGCCAAGACGGGGGCTTGGCGGATAATGGAGAATATCAGCATGCCATCTTTCCTTTCGGGCAGTCGGGTATCCCACAGTCCGATCAACACCTCAATTGCTCAGCATCCATCCCCTAATCTCTTTTTCTAGAGGCTCCGCTTGAAAGGAACCGTGCTGGGATGGAGGATGTTCGCGAGGGGGACAACCCGGTGAGGCCCCAAAACGGCCTGGGTCCGCCGGGGGAAGACGATCCGGGCCGATGCTCTCAAGGGTTGAAGCCAGCCGCGGTCCCAAGCGTTTTGTTCCATTGTCAGCGAAGGAAGGTTCTTTTGCTTCTGTTTGGCGTGAGTGGTAGCGAGAGGTGGGTACCCAGTAGACCGTGGTGACGGATCGACGATGGATGTCGGGATAGTAGTAATTGTACGTGCTGTGTAGATGTGCCATGTGCTTAAGACGGCATGCTTATGTATGCTCCTAAGAGAAGTATGCTCTGTCTATGTGTGTGTGTGTATTGTGGTGTGTACGTGTGTTCGTGTATGCTGTCTACTCTCGTACATGAACCAGTCCAATTAATCTAGTCTCCAAACTACGTCGTAGACACCAATGCTCGTGCGTGCGGGTGAGGCGCGGATGGCGGGTGGATGATGGACGATGCACAACATTGAAAGACGGCTCCCAGCACAGACTCTTAGCAGAGGCGCTATTATGTGAAGAAGGCCAAAGGACGAAGGGGCAGAGACATTTTTACCCCTGACTTGTTTAGTCCCGGATGGATGATTCTGCTGGGCAACTAGGTTATTTCACTAGTTAGCGCCCTGTTACTCTGGACAGGACAGGAATCATATCAGGCAGGCCGACCGTAAGCTATTTACAAGAAGCGACGACGGTAGACCCGCGATTGTCGCTCCGGCGGCAGCGGTCGACCTGGCGGGTCGGGGTGCCAAGTTGATCAGCGACGGGACAAGGCCATGCAAAGAAGAGGGACCCTAGGTAAAAGGTAGATCGACGACGAGTCGATCAGGCTGGCTGTGCTACGGATACCTGTACCTGTGTACAGAGAGACGGAGTAATCTTGTAGACCCTCCGAGCCTCGGATCTAACCCCCGGATCAGGGCCATGCGAGATGCCAGGGGGATTATGTGACAAGTGTGACGGTGCCTGGACGGCTTGCATAGCATCGTGCAGACAGTACAAGTACCGTAGCAGTCGGGCTGACGAGAGTTTGGCCCAAGGCTGACAAGGATCGGTTGAATTGTGTCGCATACGGAGAGATGGATATCCGTGAGTACAACTCGAGATACTGACTCAAGTCACGTATTTTATCGTCTCGGTCGTACATAGGACTGTACAGAGTACGTACTGTAGTCTTCTCAGTAACCCATCCTGTCTTCACTTCCGGTCGGCACTGTCTGACTGCCACGTGCGATTCCGTCTCCATCCCATGCATCTCGAGATTGAAGTGGGCCCGTTGGCTTGGGACCGGCGAGAAGGGAAGAAGCAAAGAAAGGTGTTGATTGTTGGTAAAAAATGGCCAAGCAAACAATTGACGTGTCGTTTCACTTTAACTGTCACATTGCTGAATTGCTTGATGATGTGAATATCGTATTGTCCGCTTTTTCCGGTTTGGGCGGATGAGAATTTCTGCTTCGGGCGGCTCTCGGGCGGCTCCTTCCTTCTGCGCCGCTCTTTCCCTTCCAGAATCGGCTCATGCCCTCACTTACACATTGTCTAGATTTTATCTTTATTGCTTTTTCTTCATCCATTTTTTCCTTTTTCACAGTCTTTTTGTTTTACGCCCTTTTCCTTTTCTACCTAGCCCAGTCATCGTTTCTTTTGCTGCCATTTTCCTTCCTTTTTCGCCATTGATTCCGTCTCCGTCTCCCCTTGAACGGCTGGGGACCCGTCCGGTCTGTCTCCTTTCAGGCCCCCAAGTCCCCCCCAAGCCGGACTTTCAAGGGTTCGCTTGGTTGAATTGGTCTCTTCTCGCTTGCACCCAGTGACCGACGATTCTTTCGCCGTACGATATCCATTGTGGAGTTTAACCTCGTCCGACCGAAATGCGCGAGAGTGGACTTTGAAGAATTGTCTCGCTTTCTGTCTTGTCTTGCCGCGTCTTTGCTTCTTCGTCTCGCTTCCCGCCGATCCCTACGCGGTACCGCAGCGGCAGTCTACGAATAGCGTTGCAGTCGACTCCCGCTTGTCTTTCCATTGGGGTCCTCAGTCGGCCGTGTTAGCATCTGCTGCTTGGCTGGTCCGTCCCCCGCTAATAACCCAGGCGCCTCGGTCTATGCTGCTTTGTGCAATGTACCATGAGCTTAGCAGCTTGTCATGAGCATTCATGACTCGCCGCTTCATTTCCCTCTCCGCGCGACGAGACCATCTCCAATAGTCGGTCGCTTGCTGAACAAGGCTGTCGAGAATTGTTTGCTTCATTTTGTCGAGACGCCTGAGCCAACTTGACCTTCAGTGCCTTGGTAATTACTCAATTATTCATAACGAGCTTCACAACTCCGAGTACAAGGTCCCTGCAATACGTACCATACTTCGTTCCACGAGCTCCCGACCAACCAACAGCTTGGAAACCCTGTTCAACTGTGCGGCTCAGGACCACCCGTCAAAAGCACGGAATAAAAACAGAAGCGGAAGGCCAAGAAACTGCAGCACGCCAGCAACGCCCCTTTGACTCGCGAGCCCCATCCTTCAGCACCACTGGACAAGCTCAGCAACCGTCGAGTCGAGCACGACGCACGCACAGAGCTTCTCACTCCAGCAGCCAGCCGCAGGGACCAAGCGTGCCCTGTAGCGGCCAGCAGCGGCCAGCAGCCCGTCAGCCATCCCCCAGCACCCCTGCGAATCCCTGCTTCCTGGGCGTGATCGTCGACGGACCACGCGCCTTTCACGCTTTCAGGGGCCCTAAACGACGCTCGGGCGCCTCCCAACTCTCGTAGCCCTTCGCCTGGACCGCTGTTGGGCCTAGCTTCAACCCCCGAACCCCCGCAGAGGAGTCGAGGGTCCCCCCCTGACGCCTCTTTTCGCTCGTCCTCGACCTGTCGACGTCGCGACTCTGGACGGGGTGGATACGCCTCACGCTCTGCTCATCTGCTCCGAAATCCCCATCCCCAGGCCTGGGCCCTAGTCAGTCAGTTCACCTCAGTTGCTTGTTCCTTGGGTGTGGTCCGTCCTGGGTCCCTCAAAAGCGCCGCGCCCCGTCTTTTGACCCCCATCCCCTTCCTTCTTTACTGCTCTGTCTGTTGATTCTGCTTTTGCTTGAGGCGAGACTGACAGACCTCAACAGCAGACCCAATCCTCCCTTGCAGTCGCCGGCACGAGGACAACGCCCGCGCATCCTGCGCAGACAGCTCGTCGAATCGCTGCCTCGTTCGTTCTAACTTCGACGCACGACGCTCGTCCCTCGCTCGCCCCGTTCCCGTCGCTCACGGACCTTTCCCCTCCAGTCTTGTCTAGACGCCCCACCTCCTGAAGACATTCGTCTCGTCTTATCAGCCCAGACCAAAAACCGCAGACGCCAGATTTGATTCTACACTTGAATTGTAAACGATTCGATCAACGCCCGCCAAAATGGGCCTCTTTTCGCGCAAGGACAAGACGCCCAAGGGCGAACAGCCCATCAATACGTCCAAGTCCAATGTCAGCGTAAACTCGCACTCTTCAAGCCTGAGATCTCCTCCTGGAGTCTCTCGCAACCCGCTCAATCGAACTTCAGCTGCCAGCACCTCCCCCGGCACTCCCATGAGCCCAATGTCACCTATTAAGCTTCCTAAGATCGACCTTCCCCGACCCCCGGACCCTCAGCTCGACCCTGCTGGTTACCTTCGAAGTCTCGGCGCCGTAAGAGAGCGAAGCAAGATTGTCACCGACAAGGCGCTGCGGAATGAACTGAAGCACTTTGATGTTGACATGGGAAAGTTTCCTGATGTGGTTACTTTTGTTACTGGAATTATCAAGGTACGTGGGAGAATTGTTTGCGCGAATGCATCTAACAGCTCTCAGCGAGACTACGATGCCCCTTTTACTAGCATTCCCAGCCATGGTCGATACCAGCACTTTTGCGTAGGCGGTCGCGATCGCATTGCCCAGCTTTTGTCTACCTGGCCCGATAACGTCGATAACACGGAGCGATGCCGTCGTCTGATTGATCTTTTCCTGATTAGTGTGCTGCTCGACGCTGGTGCTGGCACCCAATGGAGCTACAAGAGCAACGAGAATGGCCGTATGTACAGGAGATCAGAGGGTATCGCAGTGGCCAGTTTGGAAATGTTCAAGACTGTGAGTAGGCCAATACGGTTTATGCGCGCAATTGCTGACTGTTTAGGGTCTCTTCTCTGGAAACCCCAACAACAAATTCCAGGTCGACAAGGATGGTCTAAAGGTCCTGACTGTTGAGAAGCTGGCCGCTGGTCTCCAGTCAAGGCCAGGCAACGAAATCGCTGGTGTCGAGGGCCGAGCTGACCTTCTTGTCCGCTTGGGTGAGGCTATGGCTGCCAAGGACGACTTCTTTGGTTTCGATGGTCGCCCTGGAAGCATTGTGGACCATCTTCTTGGCCACCCTTCAACACAAGCATCCTCGATGCTTATTGTTCCCCTCCCCGTTCTTTGGAACGTCCTCATGACTGGCCTCTCCCCTATCTGGCCCACGAACCGAACTGCCATCAATGGTGTCTCTCTCGGCGATGCTTGGCCTTGTCAGTCCATGCCTCAACAGGGCAACTCCCCCAAGGTCTCGGCTTTCCCCAACAGCTCCAACGCCGCTGCTTGGGAGTCTATTCTTCCCTTCCACAAGCTTACTCAGTGGCTCACCTACTCGCTCATGCAGCCCATGCAGCAACTGCTGAAAATGCATTTTGCTGGCACTGAGCTCCTGACTGGTCTCCCTGAGTACCGCAACGGTGGTCTTTTTGTCGACATGGGTGTCCTTAACCTGAAGAAGGATGATCTTGAGAGAGGTCTGGAGAACTACAACGATTGGGTACGACGGACAGGTGCCAAGGGTGTTGAAGTTGCCCCTATGTTTGAGCCCAGTGAGGATATCATTGTTGAGTGGAGAGGTGTCACGGTTGGCTTCCTCGACATGCTGTGCACGGAAGTGAACAAGGCACTCAAGTCTGAGCTGGGTGGAAACGAAATGACACTGGCACAGTTGCTGGAAGCCGGTAGCTGGAGGGTAAGTTCTTGACACTATACTGCAAACAAAGCTAACAACTTTAGGGTGGTCGTGAAATTGCCGAGATCAACAGGCCCAACACCAAGGAGCCACCGATCTTGATCGACAGTGACGGAACCGTATTCTAGGCTTTGCCCTTCTTGAATGTATTACTGAACAATGATTGGACGTGAGGACTGGGTATAGAGGAGCGGATGGTGGAGCTTCAAAGGCTTCTCATGGGAGAGCATCAGCATTATTTCCAAGTATCCATATTATCCTGAGAGGCCAAAAGGGCAGGGGTTTATTACAGTGGCAAAACAAGCTGCGGGCGGAAAAGGGCCAGGCAGGCTGCCTAGTTTATAATCGAGACGAGACGTACAAGACGTTAAAAGGAGGCGGCGTTTTTAATTGAGTAGTCGCTTCTTGGCAGCTGAGATTTGGTGTCTGTTTGAGGTTTTGATTCTCATGTTTAAAGTCTTGAAGTTTTCTATTATGTTTCAAGCGCAGTTCTCTTCCACGCCAAAGAGGAGATGCCCTCAATGCAGCCCATTGTCATCCCTCATGTACTCCCCATGCTTATTGTACAGTTTCCATACACGGCTATATTTACATCATACACGTCTGAGATTGTACTTTACTGCTTGTACTTTTTCTCAAACTCGTCCCGCTCAAGCTTTCGTCGCATATCCTCGAGCTTTTGCATCTGCTCTCGACGCTTCTTCTCTGCTCGCTCCTGCTCAGTACCAGCATACTGGCCAGTATAGTTGTTGACCTGATCAGACAGGCCCTTCTTCATATCGTTGAGGTTGTCGGTAAGACGCTCTCGAAGGCCAGAGACGCCTGAAGACTGTGTGACGCGAGGGGGCTCGTACTTGGGCTTCTCAACCTCGAGGATGGGAAGACCAAAGGCGACTCGGACGGTCTCGTTGTTAAGGATGAGGGCAGTGAGGAGAGTGGCGGAACCGGTTGACACCATCATGAGGTTCACACCGGCGGAGAGGAAGGTTGTACCGATGAAGCCGACGGTACCAAACACCCACATCATCTTCTTCATCATGGCCTTTTGCGAGGCGGGGGTGTACTTGGCATTGACCTGGGGGTGTCAGCACAAGATTCAATTAGAACGCGCAAATGAGAACTTACAGCCATGGCACCGAATAGAAGACTGGTACCCAGAGCAGGGAGGAGGAAATAGGGATCAGAGGCTGTGAGGTCGGTGAACCAGAGGAAACCAGCATTCTCCATAGACGGAACGGGAATGTGAACCATGCCGCTAATGATTCTGAAGAGACCGAAACTGAAGGGGATTTGAACAAAAGACCACAGCATGCCTGAGTTTTTGGCGCCGTATTGCTCTCGAACCATCTTGTTGAGAAACTGGCCCTTTTGCAGCATCTCCCTATCACCAGATTGGTATCCCTTCTTGACCAGATCCATGGCTTCTTGACCTCGGGGATCCTTCTTCATTTGTTGCATGGCGGCGTTGAATCGCAGACTGCGAACTTGAGGGTAGAACATGATTACGCGCAGGATGAGGGCTGTCGCGATGATGGAACCACCCCAGCCAAGACCAGAGTATACGTGGACGTGCTCGAGTGCCCACTGCATCATTGAAGTAGGTCCCCAGCCGTAGTCCAGACCGATCTCGTGTAGGAAACCGAGTTTTTCCTCCATGTTGAGAATGTTGGGGCTCGCGAGGTTGGCGATGGCCTCGAGGTCAAAGTCCGTAGTGACGGCGGTGGGTTCGGCTGTTGTCACATCCGCGACAGCCTCGGCGGGGATACCAGCAGCATCGTTGACAGTAGCTGAAGTAGCCTCTATCGTTTCTGAAGGAGTAACGGGCTCGGAGGTGATGGGTTCGGCGGTTGCGGCTGGCTCTTCGGTCTTTTTCTTTCCAAACGGCCAGAGGGAGAATGCCCTCGTTGTAGAAATTCCACCTAGAACAACAGGAGCGGCGACGTTCTTGACTCCGATCCTTGAGGGCGTAAGAGAAGCGCGAGGATTCCTCAGCGCTGTACCGAATTGCCGTGCATCTCCGAATTTTCTAGAAAGCGTCCTCTACTACTCATTAGCACATTCAAAGCCATTGGCAGATAGCGACATGGAAATATCGCACAGATTGACTTGGTAGTCGCCTTTGGAAGGCGCCCGAGGGCAGGGAGCGCACAATTCCTCGACTGGGAAGCATCGTGGGCTGTGGTTCGTGGGGTTGAGGTTAAGGATTGGCGGGCGCGGCTTTTGGCTGGGGAATTTTTTGGAGGTTTTTCGCTGGCCGGGGGGTTTGGTCGGCGGGTAAATGTCGGGAACCGGTGGTCCGTCGCCGGCGTCGGTCTCGGGATGTGGTCATCCGACATGAGCTTGTGACGGCTTGAGTGAAAGTGTATGAATCGCAGTTGGGAATGCATTTTGTAGTCGTGATAACAGTGTCTTCAGAGAAACTGCCTTACATGAGCCGTGTGGTATTTACATCTTGAGCCGCCTGTTTCCGCAACGTGATCGCTGCTCCATGTTCCCCGTCCCGTCTATGTAGTATCAAATTACGCAAAATGCCAATGCATTCATCCAACATTCGTAGAATGTGGGCATGCTCATGAGTTGTGATTGTTTTGGGTCCCGATAATCCCCTCACTCCAAGCTCGCAAGGTCGTTCAGTGAAGGACGAGGGCTGTATGACCTTTCTCGGACTTCGATACCGGGTCCGATGGGGTGAGCTCTTCGTCGGGATAGAGGAAAGACCTGAGTTGTTAGTGACTGAGATATACTACAGCGCATAGAGCTTACCTTGGTACCTCCCCATCCCAGTCTAAACGCAGCCTCGTGCGCAAACAGCTCTCCAAATCCCAGCATCATGCCGTTGATGAATGGTAGCAGCAGGTTGATGGCGGCTCCTCTTACCAGCGACCATACTGTAGGGGGCTTGTACAGAATAACGGGGGAATTTGATGAGGGCGGCGAAGAGAGTTCATCTCCGGCAGAGTATAGTTCGCTATCGGAGGGCATCGTGACGCCTGACTCGGCGAGGTGGTTGTGAGGATCGTCGGACATGGTGGGGGATGTATGTATATTGCAGTCGCGAAGAGTTGACCACCAGGAATGTCGTTGAAACTTTCAAAACTCGGGCTTCTGATCGCGGCAGAGTTGTCAAGCTAGCAACTGCTAACGCCGAGGGTGGTGTTGACGATCCCAACAGCTTCCCCAGCCTTACGTAAGGTGACCGGGGTCGGTGGATCACTGTTCCGGTGGGGTCAAGGTGGGGTATCAGCCACCACAGCCACCGCCGCTATTGAGCTTGCCCGCATAGCCACATGGAGCTTGGTGACGAAGCGGCAAGCTGCCTGCTTCCTTCATCTTCCAAGCAATCTTGCAAACAACTCTTGTCATTGTCTTTTCGCTTTGTTACGATCTGAGTGAATTCCTAGGGCTTTGGGATTTATTCGTTGAACAACCGCTGTCCGTGACAATTTCCCTCCAGATACCCCGCCTCAACCAACATGGCAGACCACGAGAGCCAGATCGTGGACTTTGTCGGCCTGACCGGCGGAAGCACAGAAGAGGTTGGTGTCTTGTGACCTTGAGAATGACAGATACTAACTTTCCCAGGCCAAGCAGTATCTTGAAGCTCACAACTGGGACATTGCCGAAGCCAGCAACGCTTGGTTCCGTGACGCCGAAGACGATGCCAACGACCCAGTTCCTGACAACTACACTGGACCACGAACTCTTGACGGTCGACCAGCTCCAGCTGCCGCCAGCAGCAGTAGCAGCCAGGCACGCAAGCCTGTGTCACAGCAGAAGAAGAAGGGCATCGCGACACTGGGATCGCTTGGAGGTGGATCGCACCAGCACGATCATGATGACGATGATGATGACATGGACGATGAAGACGATGATGGGCGTGGTAACTTGTTTGCTGGAGGCGAGAAGTCGGGTCTGGCTGTTCAGGATCCCCATCAGGAAGGGGGTCCCAAAAAGATCATCAGCGACATTCTCGCCAAGGCCAGAGCGTAAGTCAAGTGTCCTTGACCTGAACATGACTAATGGGAGCAGCAACGCCTCTCGCCCAGACACTGAAAACGAGTCTGGCCCATCTCAGCCTTCTCGTTTCCGGGGTACCGGAATGACTCTTGGTGGTGACGGAGTTGAAAGCCGAAGCATCCCCGATCCTCTCGGACCATCGCGACCTTCCAACGCTCAGCCCCAGGAGCGAGTCCTCCACATCTGGCAGGATGGATTCAGCATCGATGATGGAGAGCTCCGTCGCTTCGATGACCCTGCCAATCAGGTTGACCTGCAGATGATTCGCTCTGGTCGAGCACCCTTGCACCTTATGAACGTCCAGCACGACCAACCCGTTGATGTCAAGCTTCACCAGCATGACACTCCGTACCAGCCTCAGCCTAAGCAGTACAAGCCTTTTGGCGGCTCTGGACGACGACTGGGAGCTGTGGTGCCTGGTGCTGGCGAGGAGACCACCCCTGCTCCTGCGTCTGCCCCTGTGTCTGCCCCTACAGCATCTTCTTCTACTAACACTGGCCCTACTATTGACGAATCTCAACCAACTGTCATGATTCGCATTCAGATGCCTGATGGAACTCGTCTGCCTGCTCGATTCAACACCACCAACACCGTTGACGACGTCTATGGCTTTGTCCAGGGAGCTTCACCCGAAACTCGAACTCGATCATGGGTGCTGGCTACGACCTTTCCCAACAAGGACCACACCGACCGTAGCCTCGTCCTTGGAGAGATGCCCGAATTCAAGAAGGGCGGAACCGCTGTGGTCAAGTGGGCTTAGGCATAATTGGGATGGCGTTGGGGTTATGACTGAGATTTACGGTTACTCCAGTTCAACTGGCAACGACTTAGACAGGCCAATAGAGAATGGCAATTGCATTACGCTTTTTACGTGACAAAAACCCCCAGTCTAGCATGAATCCTAAACCCAACGCCCTCACCGTCATGACAGTGGTATCTAAACGCCGACGCCAAATCATTCGTAATTCATCAAGCAGCTGCAGTGATTGCGTTGGAAGCTGCCTGAGTGATTGGTCCATCTAGGAATTTGAAATGTTCAATGGCAATCTGGCAGTTGAGCATGGCAGCGTTGAACCGGGCCTCTCCTGGTGGAAGCACAACCATGAGGTACGTGTTTGTCGTGAACTTGAGGATGAACAGACTGAATCTTGGGCCCGCCTTGTGCTCCATCCTGATGAATTGCTCGGCGTTGCGGGGTGTTCCTGTGAATCGGGAGATGCTCTGCTTGAAATGCTTCATGATGTTGGACATGCGCTCTAGACGGTCTTCGGTGGGGTTTCGTTGACCTTCGGCAGATGTCCAGGATGATACGGCGAGGAAGGAGGTGCGCTCGAATAAGAGGAGTTCTTCAGCTTCGATGGCGAGTCCGAGGTTTGCGAGGTTGCGCTCGATAACGGCGAGGTTCGGCACGAGATCGTGAATGATGGATGCCCAAGCCTTGTATAAACTCTGATCCCAGATAGACGTCGCAAATGGCGTGAGCTCAACCGAAGACGGAGCAATCCCAACTGAATTCGCATACTCAAAAGTCTTTTGCCTCACAACCCGAATGCGCTCGTCGTAAACCTGCTCTCTCGCCGACGGAACCACGAGGTCCATCTTGTGTATGAGGATGTATATCTTTGCGGCGGGCGAATACTGCAAAAGAGCAGAGAGGATGGACACGTATGTAGCCAAATCGCGGTCGACGTCGCGCGATTCAATGTCGAAGACGTAGATGAGGACTCCGACGTTGGAAAAGACGTGGACGCGCTGCTGCGAGAGGTAGTTTTCCATAAAGGCTTCCTGGCCGCCGCAGTCCCAGAGGTTGAGGGTTAGGTTTCCGAGGAACTTGACGTGGGAGAGGTCTATATCGATGGTTGCGCCACTAGCAGACATTAGAGGGGTAGACAAAGTCAAGAGGGGGAGACGTACAGCCGACGTGTGTCTCGGGCAATGTAGTTGCTAAAGATGATGCTCCTCATGCTCGACTTTCCAGAACCAGACTTTCCCATTAGGAGGACCTTCTTCTTCTTTGGCTTCTTGACCTCTCCGAGTATCTCTGGTGCAGGCTGTGTAGCCGCATCCGAGAGGGGGTTCTCGATATAAGAGGCCATGTTTGCGTCTTGTCTCGTGAGTTTTTGGTGATGGTGTTGAAGGAGGGGGGAGATAGGTACAGGGAGCTTTGGGAGGGAAGGGTAGCTTGTGGCGCGTGGGGCTTAGCGCGTGGCTGGGTCCACCCCCGGGATCGGAAGATGCTTGGCTGTGGATTGGGAGGAAGAGAAATAATGTGTTTTCGGATTGTTTGAAGGATCTTTGACTCTGTTTTTGACTCTGAATAGTACGGGAAGAGGGGTATTGATCGAGTCAGTCAGATCATGAATACTGTGTCTTGGGAATTGTCATGATCAAGGTCTCACCTTATGTAAGCCAGCGCCTTGACTCAACACCTCGTGGTAGGTTGAAACGCAATAACTTCTCTCTTTCATCCATGATGTCTATGGACATCTTCTGCGCATCCTAGCAAATCGTTCTTTATTGCTTACCTTTGCGTTCCTGATACTGGCTCATACCCATGATCATACCCACCTCTGACCCTTGGCCTTGGCGCCAGTGACATCTAGACCCAACCCTAGCCCACAAACTCTGCCCACCGAAATATACCTCATTTGTGCCTCGACATCCAACAATAACCGGGCGAATGGTTTAGTGGTATAATACTCCCTTAGCATAATTCGTCCGAATCATCTGGGAGTGGTCCAGGGTTCGATTCCCTGTTCGTCCATCAGAGGTGGTTTGATTCCACCAAACATCCTTCTCTTTTGCCTTTTTGCCATTTGCTATTACTGAGTCAGGAGGTGACTGTCGCTTTTTGCTGTTCATATGGATTCCGTTACTTGTATCAATCATGATGATGTCTCCCGTGTGTTTGTGTGTTGTCGACAGAATGAGTGATGAGTGTCGGCCATCATGGTACCAAGTGACGGATGAACTGATGAGCAACACTTACTGTGAGTGTCTGCTTGCTTGAATGACTAGATGTCCTGGAAATGGGTATAAATACCGGCCTTCAAGACCAACTCCAGGATGGAGGCGGCCTCATACCATGGAGAATTCTCAGCTCACCAATACTGAACACCGTCTGGAAGACTATCACCATGCGCATCACAACTCTGGCTTCTGGCCTATCCATCTTGGTGGCCGGCACTTCTGGCCACATGCAAATGTCCAACCCCCCTCCTCTGAGATCCGAGTTCAACCCATACACCACCGGCCGCAACATTGACTACAGCATGGCCAACCCTCTCCGCAAGGATGGCTCCGACTTCCCCTGTAAGGGATACCATCTTCAACTTTCCACACCCTTGGGAGAGCCTGTGATCAAAATGAAGGGCGGCAAGTCATACAGGATGAGCTTCACCGGCGGGGCTTCTCCAGGTGGTTCATGTCAGGTTTCGTTGTCTGTCGATGGGGGAAATACCTTTTATGTCCTTCACAGCTACATCGGCAACTGTCCTGCCACGTCTGGCAACAACACTCTCCCTTTCCGAGTCCCCGCCGACGTCCCCTTAACTGAACGCGCGCTCTTTGCGTGGACGTGGTTCAACAAGCTCGGTAACCGCGAGATGTACATGAATTGCGCCTCAGTGACGACCCTGCACACCGGAGCAGATGAGATTGGCTTCTTCGACCGACCGCGCATGTTTGTAGCGAATATCGGAAATGGGTGCACAACGGAGGATTCGGAGGATGTGAGCTTTCCGGACCCCGGGCCTGAGTTGACTTTCAAGAATCTCGCAGCCGCGCCGCCGATCGGCTTGTGTGACCCTTCCAAGATAACAGCGCCGGTGAGGAAGGAGCCGGAGAGGAAGGAGGACACATGCGCTGGGCCAGTGAATAGGACGAGGGAGAAGACTGGAGAGCATTCTGTTACTCTTATCCCGGGGAGTTTCATCATCGGGGATGTGGATTGATTCCTCGTGCTTAGCGTTTGTTTAAGTGTGATTTGTTAGTTAGTTAGAGAGAATGTAAGGATGGATGCGTACCATATCGAGCCCCTCGTGGTAAGTGAATGCCAGATACTGATAGTACAAGAAGGCTTCCCCGAGGAATCGGGTACAGCAACAAGGCCATGTCTACTCGTGGTGAAAGTAACGGAAACTATAATCATGGGCTAACATCTGGCTCATGGCGAACGAAAAGATGTTCTCCTTCTCATGTTGAACCTTCATTCACATGTGATGGCTTCCCTAAGGCTCTTGCGACCTCGAGCACTGCCGCAGCTTTTCCCGCTCCTTGTCAAGGAGCTGGCCAAAGGTCTGGGCAAACGTCTCGCAATATGTCTTGTCAGTGTCTTCCTCAGGTAGCTCCTAGGAGTTTCATCATTGGAAGGGTGAATTGATTCCTTGTGCCTCAGCATGCGTCCGACTGTTATATGTTAGCCAACTAGGAGGGACTGAAAGACGGTTTTCATACCCGTTGTAATCGGTCTAATGGTCGCTGGCTGCTTGCCCCTTAAGGGGGTTCGGTGGCTAACTGACAGCCCTAAGGCTTCCTCCAACACCAGAAGAGCGTTCATGGCAGAGCGAAGGGCACACTCGCCGGTGCGTTCTCGGGTGACCTGAAGTAATTTCTTAGCCCATCCGGCTCGTTGGTAGTAGCGGGTAACATGGCTCTCTTCGTACCGCTCCAAGGGAGGATCCTGGTCGGTGCATCGGCGAGTATCGTGCCGGTTTCTCGTAAGGTTCGGTTCAGAATAATGTCCTAAAACTGTGAGAGCAAGTCAGTCGTGAGAGGAATCTTCTCCTTTGTTCACCTGTCGCCAAGTGGCGGCAACCACGAGGCAACAAGGTCAATCAAGCAGCCGCCGAGCTCTGGGCTGACTCGTTGGTCATGGTGGAGTTCCCTCTCAGGGTCTCCTTTCTCCCAGTTAGTGCAAGGCAAACCAGCTTCCATGTACGGATGTGTCCGTTCGTGCATGTGCCCTTAGGCAGAGCAACAAACATTGGACTTTGATGCCCTAAGGTAAGTGACCATTGATGCCATAAGGCAAGTGATCTTTGATGCCCTGAGGCAAGTCACAGACGTTGAACTCCAATGCCCTTAGGCAAACGAAGAACAATGAACTCATCACCACCCACGGTGCTCGTGAAGGCAAGGTTCGAGAAAGTGCAAGATAGATGCCTTTCAGGTGCTCCAGCAATGCTAGGCGTCTGATGTGGCATGGCGGCAACCTGTCTAGGCATCACCAATTGTGCCTAGGGGGGCGTTCATAGGCGACCTGGAAGGAGAGAGCCCGCTGTTCGTCATCACCGATGGTCTTCACCTGTATAAGGCGTTGAGGGTTCCTATGGTAAGAGCAACGGCAACGGCGGCCACCATCGCGAGCGCTTCTGCTGAGTCCCAGATTGAGGATGGATCCTAGACAGTAATGCCAATCCGGGGCGACTTCCTCAAAGAAGTGACGAAGCCGTTGGCGGGACTCGGGATTCGCGAGATAAGGGAGCAAGAATGCAACCATGTCAGAGTCTAACCCCCCATTATCACAGACAGGCATTTCAGCAAGCATGTCTGAGATCAGGTCAAGGGATTGCGATTCTGTGTCTCGTCCTTCAACTGGGGCCCCGATTTGCCTGCTCTGGGGCTCATCAGCCGAGCGGGATTGTCGTCGCTTAGAGCCCCGACGCTGCCGCTTCTGGCGCTGCTTCTCCTGCTCCTTTTTGCGGCGCTTGGCCAAAATCTCGGCAAACGTCTCGGAGTTTGGCTCGTTGGGATCCTCTTCTGGCCTCCCCCAAGGGTACGGGGGCAAGTGGTCTACGATCGAATAGACAGGATCGACTAGATGAGCACTGTTAGTAGGGAATGTCGTTCTGGTGAAGCAAACTTACACCATATGTACCAGTAGCTGCGGTCAACAGCCCATTCGAAGAGGGTGTTCTTCACCTCGGTCTTGCCCTCCTGGACAAACTTGTTGACGGCGTACTCCTCGGCTTTCCTCTGGACCCGTTGCTTGTCCTCGCCAGAGCCCTGGAGCATCCAGTCAAGGTAGAGGTCCATGTAGAAGCGCCTACTCTCTATGGTCGGGTTGTCGCCGACCCAGCGCGTGGGAAACTGCTTGTGTTTCCGATCCTCGAATGACTCCCACTCCCAGTGAGGGGGGATGCCTCTAGGTCGGCTTGGTGCCGGGTTGGCCGGCGGTGCTTCTCCTGACGACATGGTTGATGCGACGGGAGTTGTGACTCGACGGTAGTGTTGTGATGGGTTTTGAATGGTTTTTGTCGAAGATGCAAGGTTGAAAATGTGTGTGGTTGTGAATCAGAGAAGCACCTTCCTTTGGCAGTGCTCGACTGTTAAGGCTACCTGAGGCAACAGCCACCCACAAGACGACTCTGTGCTGCCAGCTGTCTGCTACTGCATTTAAGGGGAAAATTACCTCAAGCTAAGAGCTTGATTTAGATGGATCTGAACAATCGCTTTTGGGCATTTGTTGACGGTTCTCCCCTTCAAATTGATGTCAGTGCAAGTGCTTGTCATCAGGGATATTCCAGAGCGCGATGACGGCGTATTGCATTTTACAGGCGCACATGAACTCTTGAAATGGGTATTAATTAGATAAATGAGTCTCACAAAGAAAGGTAAATGAAGTGAATCAAAGGCTAGACCAGATCATTAGGAGATGCTGCCATGGTACCTGCCGTAAAAGCCGGCTTTTGGCATCTGAGGACAGTCACTTAGGTTGACAAGCTCAATGGGCAACATGGGGGCCAAAGTATTCATATTAAGCTAGCCCGTAGGAAGATCTGCTACCCTCAACACAGTTCATATCTTTGATCCTCTACCCCAGCTCTGCCGCTTCCCCCAAGCCGGAGCCATGACGCCTACCCAGGTTTTCATCAATGGGAGTTGCTGCCTTCCATGGCCGATAATGAACTATGAAACGTTAGTTGGTTCGGGGAGAACGTGAACACGGGTCTCATACCTGTCGTAAACAACCCACGCCGATGTTCCCAGCCCCGGAAACAATCATCTCGGCATATGGATACGCTTGAACCCCAACTTCCGTACTCCATGCTCGACGACGACACGCACAATCACTCGAGGGTTCCCGTGATAGGGACATTCGCATCCTCCAACTGTCCCCTTGCGGACCCCGTATCCTTCAGCGCAGATCGAGGCCAAACAGGCCCACATGCCGTTGTTGTGGTCGAGGAAGGAGAGAAGGCGGCGGCGAGCGTTGTCGTCGTTCAGGTGGGGGACTAGAAAAGCGACGAGCTCCGCATCGAAGTCTTTGTCTTCGACGCAGTGAATACGGGTGGCCAGGCCCGATAGAGTCTCGAGCGCTCTCGAGAGGCTGCTTCGGTACTGGATGCGAGACATGGTTGGCAGAGAGTCGAGGGAGGGTGGTGGATGATGTGTGTGCTTTTGCTTTGTAAAGGTCTGATCTTTTGTCAAGGAAAGTGGAAAATTAGAAATGCTTGAGTGTTTGTGAATCAGAAGAGCATTTCTGTTTGGCAGTGTTCGGTTGGTAGGGCTACCTGAGGCAACGACTCAAAGCGGGCTGCCAGCTGTTTGCCAGCTGCAAGAAAAACTCCCTCTAGAAATCAAGAGCCCTGGAGTTTGGATCATCTCAACTTACTCTTGTGTTGGAATTTAGTCCTTCCAAGCTCCTTCTGCTCACCATCCCGTGGAATCATCCCCTGATATCGGTCAGCATGTCGCAGTCCCAGCGTCAAGCCTCCTGGCGTCAAGGCCCTTCCGGACCGCCTAGAGCATACCGAGAAGGCAACAACAGACACCGAAATGACTTGGTCCTGGTCGACAGTATGGCCCTTCAGACAGTCAAGATAACCGGCAGCAACAAGGTTCCTGGCCTCTCCGTGCACAGCGACAGCAGCGGCGGAGGAAGACAGCTCAACATCTACACCAAGCTTGCTGAAGCGAAGAGCACCATTTGCTTCAAGGTCGACAGCGAAGATGCTGCTCTTCAGGCGTATCGTCAAGTCCGAGATATGAATCCCTCGGCGCCTGTGGGAGGCATCATTTTTAGCGTGGCTCCAAAGGCGGACAACCAGTTTGTTGATGTCAAGACCATTGACTGGTCATCTATGGTCGCCCCTCGCTCTGAAGAGGCCTCTGATGGCTGGTCGGACCTTGAGGAAACGCTCTTCCAGGCTCTTCGTAAGTTGCTCTGCCTAATGTGTGCCTCAGATTCACTGACAAGCGGTTCGCAGTTGCCAAACGTCCTGGTAAAGACGCAACCTCGACTCCCGCCAAGGATACCGAGTCCATCGACAGCGCTCGTTCCCTGTTTGGATCTACTCCTGTGAAGAACACCCGGGTTGCCGACAGTCCTCATTCCGCGTTTGGATCCATTCCTGCTGAGGACACCCAGTCCATCAGCAGCATTGGTTCCACGCTTGGGATTCCTTTGAGGCGCACACGTTGAAACAATGGAAACGAACGTCTCGGAAGCTCCTGGGTTACTCGGCTGCCCCATTGAAGGGAGTATATGCACTGTCACTCGTGTTTTTAGAGAAGGGCTGAGCAGTGATGGTGGCACTCATTGGAGATTATGGGAGCAAGAACAGAATCAAGGCTGGGACTAGAACTCTGGATCTGAACCTCTGGTAATACTGGGGATATCTGTAGGGAGTTTTCACTATTACCGGTCTTGGTATCAGTACCTCCTGTATTTGAGATTATCACGTTTGTCATAGAACAGCTAGATTCCATGAACTACAGTCTCGCACCTATTCTTCTATGAATACGTGACAGGACCACGGGCGCCAGATTACAAGAGCCTCATCCAGAGAGAACATGAATTCATGGTGTCAGCCCTGATAACTTGTGGGCTAGTAACAAGTCGAATTACACCTAAGTTTCCGTCGCCAACAAGATTCATCTCTCCCGGGGCAAATGGCGTATATCACTCTGTGTCCTGTTACCAGACCTCGGACTTTTTCGACGCGCTTTAGGCACGCCGTATTTAGCCCCTTTCATACAAACGTATCATGAAAAATCTTAGGCCTTATACGTACCTCACTCTGTTCCATACCAAGCTTGTATAGCGCCTCGATTAGCTCGCCTTAGAGCTCTCCATAGGTAGTTCGCTCCGGGAACCCATTTGATCTATCATATACATATTATGTAAACAGGGGATCAAGATCATGCCAAGAGCCACGTTCAGATATCCAAAGGGAGCTAAGTGGTTGCGTGTTTCTGTGACCCCATTATCAGCACGGTCGATCATGGTGCCCTTGATGGTGGATGCAGCGGGGACAAGACACACTGCCTGGTATTCACTCAGTTCGTGTCATCATAGTGATACCAGTGCGTGTATGACTTCCCAGCACTACCTGCGGGGGAGATTCCACGCAGGAGTGATTTCGACGGACCGCCTACGCCGCTCGGTCGGCCGTGGTCTTGACTGAGAATTTGCCTTCAGTCCTCCTCTTAGTCCCCCTCCAGACTCTAGTGGATCGACGCGGCTGCGATTCCTTCTCAGGCATGGGCTTAATCCCGCTGAATGATACACCTATTGCAATATAATTAGCTCCGGCTCCATCAATAGGGGTATTGGGCGTTGGAAAACCTCACCCGGGCTCTTTGCCAACCCACCATGGAGCGGCAGCCCCCTTTCCAGGCATCTCTCGCCAGCGAAAGAGTCCCAATGATGGACTGCTTCATCATCTTGGCCCTTCCATGCCATACCCTCTCAAGGGCGTCCACCAACTGCATCTAGCCACTGTGGTTCATGAAACGAAGACGTCTCACCGAATCGATAATCGTCACCATTACCGCCCGGCACGCCACACCATAACCACCGGGCGCCCGGCAGCAAAGGTTAGCGGTGATGGCGAATTTGTTCTCGCAGACGCGCGAAAGGCACAACCACTCATCAAGGGGCCCCACCGTTAAGAACTCATAGAGCCTTCCCCTGGGTTGGGCTTCGGCCAGGATGGCAACCAGGTCCGCCATGGTTCTGGCATCGTGAAACTCATCATCTTCGACGAACTGAAACCACTCTTTCCATCTTGTAATAGTGTCATGGGCTTGTGTGTACTCGCTAGCCTCAGTGAGAAGCTCAACCTCAGGCCCAGGCACAGTAGCAGCACCCTGAGTGCTTGAACGATGCATACCATCCTCATGGTCCTTGAGCATGTTCTGTAGGGCCTCGATCTGAGCAGTTTGCTCAGCAACCACCTCATTCGCCGATTGGAGCTCTGTCCTGGCCTGAGCAGCATCTTTCTTGGCCTCGGCTTCCTTTCCTTGGAGATCCTTAATGATGCGAACCGCCTTGCTTCTTAGGTCACTTCGAGCCTGTATCGCCGACTCGCGCTGTGCCTCGGCTGACCGGATCTTGCCGTTCTTCTGGGCAATGACCTGATCTTTCTCTTTCTCCAACCTCTTGTTGGCCTCGTTCATTTCAGCCAGAGTGCCACGCACCGACTCGAGCTCCTCCACTTTGCTCTGAAAGGCCTCGTTCTTCTCTGCCAGGGCACGGCGCAAGGACCTAACCTCTTCCTCTTTGCTCCGCAGAGCTTCGTCGCGTTGCCGGAGCTGTTCACGCAGATCTGATACCTCCATTTCAGATCTAGACAGCGCGGCCCCGTCCCTCTGCCGCCACTCTCGTGGGCGTGCTGCCAGTCACCTTGGCCTCCATTCTGGTTTCCATCGTAGCCCTCTTGGCCGTAGTCCTCCTCCTCGTAGTCCTCCTGGCCATAGCCTTGGCCATGGTTCTGCCCTAAGTGAGCAGCTGGGAAGCCTCCTCTGCCTCCCTGCCATCCCGCACCATGTCCACGTCGACGTCTTTGCCGACGCCCTCGTCCCCATCCTCCACCACGGCTTCCGCCTTCGCCGTAGAGGTCATAAGCGGGGCCAAAATATTGACCTCCGCGACCGTAGCCTCCTCCAGGAAACATCGTGATGCTGTTGCTGTTGCTTTCGCTGTTGCTGTTGCTTTCGCTGTTGCTGTTGCTGCTGATGTTGGTGAGTGTGGGGAATATGTTGGGTCAACGGAAGGTGAGAATTTTTACTAGAGGCATTGGGTCGGGAAGGTGCGTTGCCAGCTGTCGGGCACTGGCAAGATCGAAGCGAGGGGGGAGGTGCTGCCTCGCGTACCTCCCCAGACGGGAACAATGAGGGGCCGCTGATTGAGACTCATTCAAAATGTAGATTGGTCTAATGGCCTATAAGTATAGGCATTAACACAGTTTCAAAGGTGTATATTATGATTCCGGATTGAAAGTGTGTGATTTGCTCCCAAGATTCTCAATTACGGAGTTACCCCTTTTCCTTTGCCGGTGGTGCCCAGCCTGTGATTCTAGATGTTCGCCTCAGCAACACTGAGCCCAACTACCTTTAATTCAAGGTCATAGGAGGTCTATTTGTCGGATATGTAACCCGAGATATGGTGGCCAATTGCAGGCCGCTGCTGTCTCGGGTCTCTAGCATATATCCATATCTCCGGGTCACCTCCAGGCAAATACCACGGCCATCCAGGTGCTTGAGCACTATTTGCGAGGAAGTCGATACAGCTGCCCACGGATTCATCATCCCGTACGACCGAAATACCGTGCTGACCCGGTTGACATGGAATATCTTGTGGCTCCTTGGTTGGGGGATGTATTCGGAGCAGTCGGCCAAGGTGTTAGTGAACGCCAAAACTTGTTCTGTCTAATCATAAAGGTAGGAAGAGGGTTGAGCAAGAGTATGATAAATATTTGATAGAATATAATAAGAATTTACTAAAAAGAAAGCAACTATTATTAAATATCTACCTAAGTTTATACTAAATATTGCTTTCAAGACAGAACTCCAACAACCAAACCACAGCCAGTACCCAGGTCGGACATTGCAGAACTGACTCTACTGGAGACGCTTCTCTCAAATCCCCAGATACACGACTACAGTAATAACAGCCGTGACTATAAGCAAGGCATACGTTGCATGAAAGCCGTTGACGTACGCCTCCGTAACCATCTCCCTCACCTCGCCCGTGAGGTTCTTGACATAATCCAGAGATTCCATCGCTCTTTGGGCAATCTAAGACGGTCAACTTCATTCAAAAGACGTGTTGGAGCACCTACTTCATCGCCATCTACAAGACCATCAAGCTTGACTTTGAGAGAGTGTTGCAGAGTGGTCTGGAACAGAGCATTGTGTGCGCTCAAGCCAGCGACAGCACCAATGTTGCCACATAGATAATATCCGGTTCCCGCAATCGCCATGTCTGCTTTCTCAACACTAGCTGCGAGTCCGATGTACAAAGAAGCGTGAGCAAGACCGATACCGAAGCCCCCAGGGAAGAGAAACAGCGTCTGCCAGGTCGGGGTCGACCCACGCCAACAGACAAGCAATAGCGACCAAGCGATAGAAGAGCAGAGTCCGGAGACGATGCACGGAATCTTGTACCGACCGGTTCTAACTTGTTAGCTTTGCCTTGACTGCGGGGATCAACTCACTTCTTGATGTAAGCGCCAGTGAGCAAAGCACCGAGGGTGTTGCCCAGAACAGATGGGATGAGGGATGCACCGGCAGTCGTGGGAGAAACGTTACTTGTAACTTGAAAGTATAGAGGAACAAACATCATCATACCAGCCAGTGTAGAGCAGCAAAGTATCATGACCGAGTAAAAGGTGGCCACATGTCCGTTCGCCAGGAGGTGAAGTGGGAAGACGGGCTCAGTTGCCCAAAACTTTTCAACGACGCAGAACAGAGCGCCGAATAAAACTCCCAGAACGGCGAGTGAGACAAGGGTGGGCGACGACCAGGACCGTTTGTTCCCTCCCATGTCGAGAACCAGCAGCAGGCAAAGGATGGCACAACTCATGGTCGCAGCGCCAGAAAAGTCGACACGCTTGAGAGAGGCTCTCCATGTTTTCGTGGTAGTAACGTGCGTGTCGGGCAGCTTGAAGGCGACGAGTGCTATGGCGATAATGGTTAAGGGGGCCTGGCATAGGAAAGCCCATCGCCAGCCGATCGTCTGAGTGAGGGAGCCGCCGATAACTCCGCCCGACGAGCGGCCCGCGGTCTGGGCGATGTTGACATAGCTTCGATAGGTTGCGACGTCTCTCAGGGGTACAAGATCTGGCACAGTTAGTAACTGTTCCGTCTACATCATGGGGTTGACCTACCTGTGATCAAGATGGAGACCAGAGAGACCATGCCCGCCCCTCCAATCCCCTGGATGACTCGGCCGAAAATTATCTGCGACGTCGAAGTTCCCACACCACTGCTCAATTAGCGAGGTCACTTATAGAATGCCTAGTTGACTGACCAGATGATGCTGCCTCCTGAAAAGAAGACATAAGAGGTCTGAAGCATCGCTTTGCGACCAAAGATGTCGCTCAGCTTGCCGTACAGGGGCTGCCCAACACAGGTGGCGAGCATATAGCTAGAGAACAGCCAGCTTGCATTCTTGAGGTCATTAAACTCGGCTGTAATGGAACCGTATGCTGCGAGAACGAGGAAAGTGTCGGTCTGCGAGACGAAGACGCCTACTGGTTGTCAGTGTCGATCATGACGGGGATTAGGAAGAGCGTACCGATGAGAAGCACCGAGAGGATGCCAGAAATGGGCCTTTTAGTTTTAGACTTGTTCAATTTGTTAATTAGAGATCATTCTACTGCAACCCAAGATGAGTTTACTCACGTGGCAGTTGTCAGGGGTGGACGAGATCAAGGGGGAGGCTTCGCCGACCTCTGAAGGGGTGGGAACTTCGACTTGTTTGGTTGTAGGATAAGTCATTTTGTCTTCTTGGTTGATTTGAAAGTTTTTATTCTCTGAGATCTTGGGCATTCAAGCATCTGAGGAACTCCTACTTATATCCAGCATCCGCCGGCATCTCGCCCCCTTCTCTTCCAGTTTACAACACCATCTTCCAGCCGACCTACTCAACCGAGCCTCGCGAGATATTGCTACATACTTGATAGCCGTTGGTGGCTTGAGACAACAAGGCCTCGGCTCTGGTAAAGAAGGCTCTGATACGTCCCCAAGCCCTCGCAGGAGCGGGATCAAGTCGCCAAGGAGGCCCAGGCCGCTGATGATGGGCCTCCTGCTGGAAGAGCATCAAAATCTCTCATCTTGGCCGCGATTTGGGTGTGATGGAGGTGGATCTGTATGGCTCCTTGGTGGACTCTCTGCAGCTGCAATAGGTTTCGGCTGTGGTCAACAGGTCTCGGATGAAGCACCAAGTGGCGAGGCACAGTTGAGGGGGAGAACTACACAGTATGAAGAGTTGACAGTATGGAAGAATACTGGTTTCCAGATAAGACGTCGCGTTGATTGTGCTTCTCGAGGTCGAAGTGACAACAGCCTCTGTTCATGCTGAGCTGATGCCTCTCACCTGTGAGGGGGAAAACGAGACACGACGAGAGACGTTTTAGCTGATTCTCCCCTAAATATGGTCACTAAAATGTAACAAAAGTAGACGAAGATCTTCTAGACTACTATACTATTTTATGACAATTTTATAGATTAATTTATTATACTTACGTTTGAGCAGTTAGGTAACCCTCTTATTACTCTGACGTCTCGTTCATTTCTGTACCACCCCTTGGCTGTGAACGGGCTTGGGCCAGATTGCCACCTCTGGACCGATGCTAAGTAATGTGATTCTGCAACTGATCGGAGAAGGCTCGAGCCGCTCCTTAGCTGGTGTAACCAGGCATCTGGTATCCAATCCTCTGTCAATGAGATGATTCTGCAAACACTAGGGCAGCAAACATTGTCATCGGCTAGATGCGTGGACCTTTCGTCAACTTGGCAAAGCAAGCAGCATTAGCTCTGCATGTGTGATCTTTTGTGACCCAAAATAAGAAAGACATGCCGATTAGCAAGGAATTCAAGTAACACAAGGAACCAACATGCAGTTGAACATCTCCACGAGAGGTCGACGTGGTTGTCCAGGGTAAGCCAAGCCCCGGCCCCACAACCCGCCGATGGTGCCGTGCCCCTCCGCAAGCCTCCACATGCATTGTTTACTTTACATCAGCCTTATTTGCACGCCGCCTTTTGGGCCTCGGACCAATATCTCTACGACAAACTGCATAACCACGGCGCTTAAGACATCACCATCAAACCTTTTCTTCATGCCGATTCACTAAAGAGGCCATCATGGCTGCCGTCCAGCCCACACGCACTCGGTCGGCCCGGTTGATGGCTGGCTTCACCAACAAGTCGGCCCAACATGCACCTCCACCACCACCACCAGCAGCTCACACCGTCAGCCAAGGACCCTCTGCACTTTCGCTGTTCTTGACCAACCTGCATCTTCTTGATCTCGATAAGCTTCCAGATTGGCCGGGAATATGCGTCGAGACCTTTGTGACGGGCGGTTCAAGTGCGCAGGGTCAAAAGAAGAGGGTGCAATGCGTCGAGTGGGCTCTCTTTCAGCTCTTTGCCCTGTGGGATCCTGAAGAGACCAAGAAGGTGAGTGATCAGGCTTGAATACAGTTACAAAGCTAACCGAATGCAGAAGTTGAAGCCCTTCTTTCCTCCCCTCGATCAGGTCCAATCGATCAACCTCCGAGCCGCCCTACTACGATCACTCGAGCTTGCCAAGAAGAGCGGTGTCCTTGGAAGAGATGCCATTGTACGAAAGACTATGCTGGATGAATGCAGGGGTGAGAGACTCGAGGAGGTTCTTGCTGCCTTTTCTTCTGCCGTCTTGAAGCATGTCATCGCTGAAGAGTTGGCAACAAGCGGTGAACATTCCGCCCTGGCCCTCGGACTGGCCCTTGAGGATCGCGATTACAAGAGCGCCAATACGGACCTCAACATTATGGTTTTGGCTCACAAGGCCTCTGTCGGTCGAATTTTAAGGAGCAAGAAAGCCGCCAACAGCAGATTCCGCGATTTCGCCAGCTTATTGACCGACAAAGAGAAGGACATCGCAAAGAGGACCGAAGCGCTGCAGGCCCTGGAACAAGAGGGCAAGACAATCTCTGACGATGCAAGGCTGGAAATGTGGCGCACCATCCGAAACAACTGGTCCGGAAACGAGCGATGGATGGAGACTCTGTTGTATGGCGACGCAAGTTCCAAGAAGGATGCTCTGCTGGGAATGCCCTTTGATCGAGTCTGGAGACGAGTCCAGCAAGGTCGACTGGGAGAAGTCGAAGAGCATGGAAGCGGTCTTTTGGAGCAACTCGACAGCCGGGTTCGAGTTCAAAAGGAACGACTCGAGAAGTGGCAGAGTTTCCGCAGACAACTATCCCAACACCAGCCCATGCCATCTCCTTCAAAGGTTAAGCGACGAGAGAATCGAGAGAAGGGTATCGACTTTGGATTTGGCGCCCACGAGGCTTTGCATTCTGGGAGAGCCAGCCCTAGAAAGGCTACCATTGGACAGAAGAGAGCCTTGGGCGAGGAGTATGACAGTTTACTCCGTGGTTTGGACGAGCAACTTGAGAACGCAAAGCCTCAAAAGTCTTCTGCTCTGGCATTTTTGCAACGACCTGCTGCACTGAATGCGCCTGAGATCAACATTCCTGCTCCAGCTGTGGAGGAAGAAGAGGGAGAGATCAGTGAGCTGGAGGAAGAGGACCCATTCACCGAGTCACCGATCAAGTCGTTTAAGACGAGGCTGGATATGACTAGGAGAATGCCAGTCCGGCCAAAACTCGTCCACCGCGACGACTCGTTCGCTTCCATTTCGTCGAGCACGAGAAACCTTCGCAAGCCATCCGAAGACGAGGCCCGTATTCTGCGTGCCTCGTCAGTTGAGCGCACCAGCTCTCCCGAGCCCGAGGAGGAGCCTGATGACGATCCCACTATTGCAGTGCCTCCTCCACGACCCGAACATGATGTTTCGCCTGAGTTGTCTCCCGAACCATCTCCTGAGCCCTCGCCAAACCAGGAAATGGCTGATCAGATCCTCGAGTCAATGGAGCAAGCGTCTCCTTCGCCAAAGAAGCGACCTCGGCCTCGACACACACTCTCAATTGCTGAGCGCACTCGCCTTTCCATGGCCCACGGATCATTCGCTTTCCCTGATCTTGACGAGCCTGAGCTACCCATTGCCCCGACACCCACAGATTCGGCCCCCACTCCGGATGAAAACAGCCAAACTCTCGTGAATGATGAGTTTGAGGATCTCAGTGCTCGAACTCGAAAGAGCATGGCTGGCTTCGAAAAGGCGAGACAAAAAGCTCAAATTGAGAGAAGACGCTCTCTCAGGAAGTCCCGAGTGCCACCAAGAAAGGAGGGAAGCTATTTCCCCAGAGTTGAAGAAGAGGACAAGACGGTCTTGACTGAGGAACTCATGGCAGAGGAGGATATGGAGGCTGTTTTCCGATCCCGACCCAAGATTAAGGCGAGCCCCCTACCGAGTCCTACTCGCGATTGGGAGGACGATGAGTACATGTAATTTCACGATAACGAACCCACCAATGTAGATTGATCATACCTCGTAAGGTTGCTTCATACATGCTCACATCTATTGTACATGTTTTTTCAATACTATACACTCTACCATCCTTGCTTCTTCAGCTCAATAACTCGGCTGACAGTCGCCTTGAAGCCGTGCTTGAATCGTGCCCGCCATCTCTGACTCCTCAACCTCTTCTTCTTGAGACCCTTGCGCTCGTGGAACTTTTGGCTGTGGTACTTGTTCTTGACCTGGTCCTCTCGGATCATCCTGCCTAGCACTCGCAGGGCGACCATGGGAGTAGGTCCGCTTGTCCGGGTTATTCGCTCCTTGACAAAGACGGTACGACCTGTGACGGCCTTGGCGCGGATCTGAGGGCGGTCCATGGGGTTTGTGGCGATTGCCTCGCCGTATGCCATGGCCTTGTTGGCGATGAGGTTCGAGACAATGTCGAAGGTGTCAGAGGCGGACGAGTAAGGGTGCTTCTGAGCGGGCTTGGACTCCTCGGCGGCAGCGGTAGTAGGAGGGGGAGGGGGAGGGAGATCGGAGGGAGTGGCCTTGGTCGCTTGAACTGGGGTCTTTGTGACCTCAGGTTTCGGTGTCTCGGGGGCCTTCTCGGGAGCCTTGGGCTGGGGGGTCGAAAGACGGGTGACGTTACCCACGAGAGGGTTCATTCGGACCGGGGCAGCCTCAGGCTTCTTGGGATCGGCTCGGAAAGCGAGAGAGGTCGAGAAAGCTCTTGTGGTGAGTAGTGTCGAGGGTGTAGCTACCCTCGACAGCATTGCGCCGCCAAATCTGCATGGAGCAGCCCTGAGAAAAATGAGCAACTGATCCAATTGAGTATCAATACCGTACGTACATCTTGCGGACAATCTCCAAGGTAATCGGCCAATTGGCTGTCGTCGAGAGCTGTTGAATCTCGACATGCAATGGCAGCAGAAAAGTCGCGATGATGCGGAAAAACGTTGATGCGATAAGGCCCGCGGTCAAACCAAAGTTGTGGGGCTCGGTCGTGCATCGGCCCCACCTTGCAGAACAAGTCGTTCAGCCTCGTGCCTGGGGGGAATTTCACAGTCAACACCACGATTGCGACTGGAACGACAAAAAGATTGCGCATCTGACGACACCGGAAGCTTTGTCGCGCGTCATCAAACAGCATCTATACGGGACGCGGCCGACATCGGAGATTGAGGCTTTCGTTCTGCGCTTGCGACGCGACGGCGTGCGCCCGCCATGGCTTACAATCCGTACGGAAGTGAGTTGCGCGATGGTTGCTCTGTGATGAGGTGCTAACTGTAGCTAGATAACCCTTATGGCGCGCCTCCTGCCTATGGAGGATACCCCGGATCTCACAATGCCCCCCCAGGCATGGCCCCTCCACCTGGTCTAGGTGCGATCACCCTCGAGACTCCAACGATAACCCGCTAACACGATGTAGGACCTCCTCCAGGCATGTCTTCTGCTCCGGGAATGGCACCTCCAGGTGTCCAGCAGTCTAGCGCCACGCAAGCTAATCGTCCAAGCGGCCTCCCGTCCAACTTCCAAGCACCGGCCAACATGCCCAACATCAACTTCAACGCCCCCGTGATTCGACTCGGTACATCGACCGGCAAGCCTGGCGGGTCGAATGCAGGCGGCAGAGGCGACATGCCCGGCCCCGGTGCTGGTGGGCGACCCGGCTTGGGGATGGAGAGGGGGGCTGACCAGGGCAGAGGAGCGAGGGAGGCGCCGCAGGTGCTTGTGCCCCCAACGAACGAGGAGAAGCTACGGACGATCTTTATACATCAGATTCCCGACGGTGTAGGCGGCGATCAGGGTATGGAGCGGTTGCTCGGGGCTGTTGGAAAGCTGCGCAAGTGGGATTCTGCGGCTAGTGTGACGGATGACCACAAGGGCGTCAAGTTTGGATTCGCCTTGTTCGAGGACCCTTGGTCGCTTTCAACTGCGATCAAACTTCTGCACGAGAACGAGGTGGAAGTCCCTGTGAAGCGACAACAGGCGACTGCGGAAGCTCCCAAGGATGACTCTTACGAGGGCATTGAGAAGGTGAAGCTCCAGGTGGCTGTCGACGAAAGCTCGCTTAAGTACATCGAGTCATACGAGGAGAGTCAGGATGGTTCTCTCGGGACGGAGAAGCTGGAGGCAGCCAAGGCGGCGCTCAAGGACGTTATCCACGATCTGTTTTACCCCAACAGCAACACGAGCGAATCCCAGGACGTCACGATGGGCAACACCGAGTCCGGCGACAACGTCGAAGTCGTAAACATTCCCCTCGCGCAGGACGATGAGCTTGCGGACATTCCGGCTGAGATGCGAGAAGTCGTGGCTCAGGAGATTGCGGCATTCCGCGAGCGTAGTAATCAGCGGGATCTGGAACGTTTGAGAAGAGAGGAGGAGATGGAGGAGATGGAAAGACGACGAAACGGACCTTCTCGGCCATCTCGACTTGACTCGCCACCTGCGAGCGCCAACAACATTCCCCTTGGTCCTCGTGGAAGCATCCCGAATGCGCCTTCAGGACCCAAGGGACAGAACGGACAGGGTCGCATTGCTTTTGTCAATGGTGGCATTTCCAACACAGACCTGTCTATCAACCAGGAGGACGAAGATACAGACGCTAGTGACGCAGAGCTGAACCGCCGTCAGCAGTCCAAGAAGCAGGCCGAAGAGGAAAAGTCATACCTCGAAGCTGAGCGGAAGTGGAGTAACCGAGAACGATCGAGACAAGCAGCAATAGAACGAGAGCGAGAGCGTGAACGCCAGGACACCGAATCTTTGGAACGAAGAAAGGAAGAGCAGCTTGAGAGGGAGAAGTCCTGGGACGATGAGAAGGAGGCAAGTCGTAAGGCGCACTCGTACTATCGAGATCACAGTGGATGGGCCCGTAAGAGGTCAGGCGATCGAGCAGATGAGGAGGGACGAGATGAAGCAGACCGGAGAGCAGAGCATGACGAGCAACGTCGTGAGAAGGTCGAGATGGAGAGAGCGCGTGGCCAGGCAGATTCATTCCTCGACAAGCAGGCCGAAGAGATGGAGCAGCGACAAGTTCCCTCGGTGGCAGCACCTCAGCCATTCAAGCTGTCCCTTGGTGCCGCAGCTCAGAAGGCTCAGGCATCTAGGGCGGCTCCTCAACGGCGCACCATCGCCGAGGTGGAGGGTCTTTTGGACGACGAGGAGGGTGACGAATCCACTAAGCGACAGCTGATCCCGATCCAGTTCGAGCCCACATCCGCGACGGCTTCAATGACGGAAGAAGAGATCTCTCAGGCTGTTCGTGCTCTTGCGCAGGAGATTCCCTCGGATAAGGAGGGCCTGTGGAGCTGGGAAGTCAAGTGGGATTACATGGACGATGGCATCGTGCGGGATAAGCTCCGGCCGTTTGTGGAGAAGAAGATTGTCGAGTATCTTGGCGTGCAGGAGGAGATGCTCGTCGAGGCTGTGGAGGAGCATCTCCGAGCTCACGGGACTGCGACGGCATTGGTGGAGGAACTGGAGGGGGTATGTTTACCAGCTTTACTTTGTGACTATTGCTAACTGTTTTACTAGGCACTCGACGACGAGGCAGAGGATCTTGTCAAGAAGCTTTGGCGTATGGTCATCTTCTTTACCGAGAGCGAGAAGCGAGGACTTCCAGGATGATATTTGTATACGAGTAGATGACTTGTTGGAGGGGGATGAGAGGGCTCAAAAATGTATTACTATTCGATCAGACTATCTGGATGTTTAATACCAATAACCAAGGCGAGGATGGCGTTTCTATGGATTTTTTTTACTCTCCCAGTTGAAGTTCCGGTTATAACGTGAGGGGGATCGTCTTAAGGTTTCCCCTCTTGATGGGGGAGCTTCCGAGGTGCCGAGGTTCCCCACAAAAAGCTACGGCTGGGGAATCTGGGGTAATGCTCTTTAATTGAGGAGCTCTCTCGTCGTAGCTTTTCTACTTTGTTTTACGTTTCTTTGTTAATGGGATCAATTGCTGTCGAGTCAATAAGTTATTAGAGTAAAGTAGGTTTACTGTGTCATCATCATCATCAACACCATCGACATCATCACCACGACTGAAACAGTCATCGTCACCATCAACCATCACCTCTACGACTGGCCATCATAGTCAATGCCCAGCTATTATCATACTCACCACGGCGCTCACTTCTTCACCATATCCCATACAATATTCCCCCAATCCATCACAATGTCTCAGCAATTCTCGTCTCCTCCCCCCTCCATCCCCGGCGTCTTGCTCTCATCTCCAAGGCCTCACGTCCTTCTCGTCACCCTCAACCGTCCAGACCAGCTCAACGCGTTTCGACGTCAGATGCACATTGATCTCGACAAGCTGTGGAACTGGTACGATGCCGAGCCATCACTGCGATGCGCCGTCATCACCGGTAAGGGACGGGCGTTTAGTGCGGGAGCGGATTTGAAGGAGTGGCATGATAAGAATAGCGAAGGGAAGAGGAGTGATGACCTGGAAGGGGAGAAGTGGGCGGATAATGGCTTTGGAGGGTTGAGTAATCGACGAGGAAAGAAGCCAGTCATCGCAGCTGTCAATGGTATCTGCTTGGGAGGCGGCATGGAGATGGTTCTCAACGTGGATATCATCATCGCCAGCGACAAGGCCAAATTTGGACTTCCAGAGGTCACTCGTGGCGTCGTCGCCATCGCTGGTGCACTCCCAAGACTCATCCGAATCGTGGGACGTCAACGGGCATCCGAGATGGCGCTGCTAGGTCGCATGTACACGGCTCAGCAGCTCGTCGAATGGGGCATCGTGAACAAGGTGGTGGCGCCCGACCAAGTCGTTGAAGAGGCGCTTCAGTGGGCGGTCGACATGGCAAACAACTCACCCGACTCGGTCATTGTTTCGCGCGAGGGATTGTTGGGGGGATGGGATGGCGAGGATCCAAAGATGAGCACTAAGAGGGTCGATCAAGGGATATATCGGGGGCTGGATGGCGGGGAGAATATGAAGGAGGGCGTGCTGAGCTTTGTCGAGAAGCGTAAGCCAGTGTGGAAGAATAGTAAGCTGTGAGATTGGCGAGTCTTTGTTTACAGCCGATCTTGTTATGTATCCAAGACAATGACAGACAGACCTTGACATGCATTCTTGCTCCATCTCTTTTTATCTGCCACCAACGTCGATGGCTTCACTAGTGACAAACTTCATCGGCACCGGCATCCAACGTCCAATTCCGCTTTGTAACGAATGACTCGGCGGGAAAAGGGGGCGTCTTTAGCTTTCTCTAGGGACGGCCCTCGATAGCGTCCGCGATGGGGCTAAATAAACGCCTCGACCTCCGATTGGCATCATCCGAGACACTGCTTGAGGCCAGGTAGGTCGGTCAATGACAGCTGCAAACATGTCAGCGGGCGAATAAAGAACCGTGGCGAGGGAGTGTCTCGAGACCCTGAACTCGACGCCAAGATGAGGACAAATCCAAGGACGCGTCGCTGGGAACAATGTAGACAATCCCAATGTCTCCGGTAGTTGCTGACGATCAACTGGCGCTGGTTGGCGAAATAAAGACCCGCAGAGTAAAATGTCATCCTTGTCAGGCGGTGGAGTTGACAGCTTGACGTGGAAAAGCTCGACAGCTGGTTCGACGCTGAGGTGAACAATGTCTTGGCCCAAGCCAATACAGGCCTTGGCCGTGAGACCCATTGAGTCGCCCTGCGACGCCCATGACGGCAGAGATCGTCGGATCTCCATTGCGGCTGGGCTTTTTCAGATAGCCACATGCGAGAGCCCTTTACCTCGTTCGTCCACTAGCATCCACAGGCTTTACCCTCAATAGGCCTTCCAGCTGAGACATGCTTACCAGCTTTGCTCGGCCCGCGCTCGAGATGCAGTCTAGGGCTGTCCGTATTGGTCAATCATGTCTGCGGGGATGGGATTGGCAAGACCGGAATGAATAGGTTGTACACCGCATTGGCCTTGGGATCATCGCATCGACAAGAGGTCATCTTCTACGGCCCGCCCGGCGTGCGGTCGCTGCGGTGCCTTGTCGAGCTTTGAGACAAGCTTCAAGACTAGGCTAGGCCATGTTCCGTAGAGAAGAGATAAGATGTCGTGCCCCGGCCTCCTCATCCTTTCTGGCAGCTGGTGAACTGCTGGTTGCTCGTTTCTCTCGTGTGCATTCTGCAGTGCATCGATAAATGCAGCCACCCAAAAATCCGACGGGGTATCACATCGAGTGAAGTACAGCTCACCCGTGTAACCATGGACTGGACTCACCTTGCGCCGAGTGCCGCCCAGAATGGGTCTCCCAAGGACTCCCTCAAGGATCCTCTCGACACCTCCCATGGTTTCCAGAGCAGACCATCAACGCCTGCCATGGGTCCCGTCGTTCCAGGTGTTGAGCCCGGTCGAAAGCCGCGGAAGCTCGTCCTCTGCTTCGATGGAACTGGAAACAAGTTTCATGGCGACGACAGCGACAGCAATATCCTCAAGATCTTTCGAATGCTCGATCGGACAGCGAATGATCAGTACCACTACTACCAACGTGAGTCTCCCGCCACCGTCAAATTCGTAGCTGACATTATGGAGCGGGTATTGGCACATATGTCGTCTCCGGCTCACTCACTCATACCGGCCTTCGCGCTCGAATAAGTTCTTGGTATCAGAAAGCCAAGGACTCGGCCATTGGTTCTTCTTTCGATCAGCACGTCGTTGGTGGATACCGCTTCCTCATGCGGTTCTACAACCCCGGCGATGAGATCTACATGTTTGGCTTCAGTCGAGGAGCCTACATCGCACGATTCTTGGCCGAGATGTTGGACTATATCGGTCTCTTGTCCCATGGCAACGAAGAGATGGTCAAGTTTGCCTGGAAAGCGTTTGCCCAATGGCAAGGACGAGAACAGACCACTGGTGAAGATAAAGAGGCCGAAGAGGCGCGAAAGAAGCGAGATGAGATGTTTCGATTCATGAAGGGATTCCGCGAGACCTTCTCGAGGCCCGTCGGCCGCATTCGGTTCCTTGGACTGTTCGACACTGTTAATTCAGTCCCGCGATTCGAGACGGCTTGGATGCAGCGAAGCAAGTTTCCCTACACGGCGCGAAGTAGTGCCAAAGTGATCCGCCATGCCGTCAGCATCGACGAGCGGCGAGCCAAGTTCCGTCAGGATCTGATGTATCAGGATCTTCCAAACAAGAAGCATGACAAGCATCATCATTTTGATCAGGTACTCGACGACTTGCGCGAAGGCGTTCATGGGCACGATGACCGAGGAAGACGTGAGAGTCACATTGCAGAGGAGAGAAAGCGAAAGGGGTCAACTTATGCCCCTTATCGTGCTCGTTCCAAGTCTTGCCAGAGGGGGCGCTCGAAGCAGCGTTGCGATGCAGACACACTGTCTAACATTTCTGGTTTGCCGCCGTCTGAGATGAATTACGGCGATGAGGACGAGTCGGGCCAAGATATCGACGAGGTTTGGTTCTCTGGAGGACATGCTGATGTGGGTGGAGGTTGGGAGATGCTAGAGAACACCAAGAGTACCAGCCATATACCACTTGCTTGGATGGTGAGAGAAGCGCAAAGGGCTGGACTTCCCTTTGACGCGGAAAAGGTTGCCGAGATGGGATGCTGTGCTGCCCATGAATGGAACGAAGAGAAGGAGGATCGTGGACGATTGACTTCGATTCCCGATCTTCGAGTTTCCAGTACCAACGGAGGGCCAAGCCGTACGCCGACTATGCCAACCGATGAGAAGACGGAGAAGGACTCGCAAGGGTGTTTCCACGATATTATGCACGGCGCTTGCAGTGCTCGGATACACGATTCACTTGAATACGGTCAAGGACTTGGTGCCATGGCTGTCACAGCGTGGAAGATCATGGAGTTTCTCCCTTTTCGAAGGATGGATCTTCAGTCTGATGGATCATGGAAGCCGATCCGATGGCCACTTCCATGTGGTGAAGTGCGAGACGTTCCGGACGGGGTACGCATCCACGGAAGTGTTCTTCGTCGAATGAAGATGGACGAGAACTACCGTCCAGGTAACTTGATCATTGGAGGCGGTGGTCGAGGCATTAGAAGGGCCTCGGCTGAGCATGGCATGGGAGATTGGGTGTGTGTCGCTGACGAGGGAGATCCGGTTGGAGAGATTTGGGTGAGGAAGAAGAAGGACGACAGACTGCATGATTAATTCACTTTGTTATAGTTTGAAGCAGAAGAAGAGGCAGTAGTAAATTAATAATAGCCCTTTTCTTGATGTTGTGTGTTCGTGAAGTTGAAGGTTCAAGTGAAGGAGGAAGGAGTTTAGAGGATGTAAGACGTCACGTGCAACTTGGACTTTGAGTGTCAGGGCCACGACATCAAAAACTCCAGCTAAACACTTTCAACCAACACATTGCGCAGCGTCGGCGACCGTTGATCGGATTTCCCGGAATGCGCTGTACTATAATCATCTTTTGAATTCCTCTCGCCTACCGGCTCCGCCACAATGCCTCTCGTTCTTGTGATGGGCGTCATCGAAAATGGCATCCCTGAGCCAGTTCGACAACATGGCCGCGCCATTATCTACACCATCCTCTCCCTGGCCTTCCTCACCCTTCTCAAGGTGTACATGTCCGGTCGAAAGAATCCCTCAGAACGTCTACTCCACGGCAAAGTCGTCCTATTAACAGGCGGAACATCGGGCATCGGTGCCCAAACGGCTATCCAACTCGCCTCTCGTGGTGCGCAGCTGGTTCTGCTCACGCAAACTCCCGCCTCCGATCCGTTCCTCGTCGAATACATTCAAGACCTACGCGAAAGGACCAAGAACCAGCTTATCTACGCCGAGCAGGTCGATCTGTCGAGTTTTTATAGCATTCGCAAGTTTGCGACGAAATGGATCGACAATGCGCCGCCGCGACGACTGGACATGGTCATTCTGTGCGCTGCTGCCATGACGGCGCCAGGTGGCAAGAGAAAGGAGTCTGAGGAGGGTATTGAGGAGACGTGGATGGTCAACTTCTTGGCCAACTTTCACCTACTGGGCATTCTCAGCCCTGCACTTCGAGCGCAACCTATCGATCGAGACGTCCGAGTTATTATCCCGACATGCTCCTCCTACATCGGTTCGCCCTCGTTGAAGACGACAGTTTCAAAGGAGAACTGGACCCCTGGAACTGCGTACGCCCGCAGCAAGCTCGCCATGAACGTCTTTGGCCAGGCCTTCCAGAAGCACCTCGACGCATACGAACGACCCGATAAGCTTCCTAACAACACTCGAGTGATCTTTGTCGATCCTGGACTTGCTCGCACACCAAGCACTCGCCGTTGGTTGACACGTGGTTCCCTCTGGGGCCTTGCTATCTACCTTGCCGGCTACATTGTGCCCTGGTTCTTCCTCAAGTCTCCTCAAATGGCCGCCCAGTCCATCCTTTATGCTGCTATGGATAACCAATTTGCTCGAGGCCCCGGTGGAAAGCTCATCAAGGAATGCATGGAAGTGGATTTTGCGCGCAGTGAAGTCAAGGATGAGGAAGTGGCCAAGAAGCTTTGGGAGGAGAGTGATGGCCTGATTGAAAAGGTGGAGAAGATTCAGGCCAAGAAGAGGGCTGCCCAGAAGGCGGCAGACGAGAAGAAGGCAAAGGAGAAGACTGAAAAGGAAAAGGAGGCTGAGATTGAGGAGTTGGTGGATGCTATTAAGAAGGGCAAAGAGAAGGAGAAAAAGACAGCTGGGAAGAAAAAGAACAAGTCAAAATAGATGAATGACCTACATGAAGGGATCGGGCATGGGATATAGACGGAGTTTTCGGACTTGGAGGAATGTATAAAGCACATCCGACGGTTTATGCAGATGAAAGATGTACAATTCATGGTATCCGACGGCATAGAAGAATATATAGACGTTAAAGCAATGGCGTCCGACGGTGAATGAAGAAATTTACTGGCCTCCCCTTCAAACTCCGATGCTTCCCCCTTGTCCGTGTCCGATCGTCCCGCTCTATATAAAAACCGTTCGCCCCGGCGGCCTCCCACGCAAATTCAGGTATATCTAACGCCTTGGAACTCATGATTCTCTAGAACTGATGGTCTCCTAGGAACTCGAATGGCCCTGTATACAAAAAGTTGTTCATTCCAATCTCGGTATCGAAATCCGCCAAGAGATTCGTCGTCCACGAGTCGTCTGGTTCGCCCGTTACTTGCAGACTCGGTACCATACTACTCGGTTCTCCGAATGATGATGGTGTAAGGCCGAGATCTTGAGCGGAAAGGGCATTGGCTGGTGAGGATACGGAGGAGTTAAAGAGGCTGGCAACATCTGGTGAGTCGGTTGGGCCGCAGCGTTCGAGATACCACTGTTCTATGCGTCTTGCTCGTCGCGAGAGGCCATAGAATGGATCCTTTTCTCCATCGCCGGCATCTGGACCTGAAGCTGCTTCCATTCGGAGCACGATTTGTCGGAGAGTATGAGGCATGTCGAGAATACGACGAAGATGGCCTGTCGTCTGAGCATTCTCTGCTTGCGCAGCCACAAGATCGAGTCGAACCGCGAGAGATACAGCGCAATAGAGCATGATCCATCCAGTGTTTGGCATTGCGCCCTCTTCGCCTTGAGGTAGGACGAGGACGACGCTGATAAGAGACTTGGCGGCCGAGATGCTTTGAGATAGCCAGTCCAAGAGACGGTTTTGGTCGCCTGCTGCTTGAAGGCTTTGGAAGCCGTTGGGGCCGTATGAGACGCCGTCTGGTGACGGTTGGCAGATGAGAAGATCAAGGACGTGTAGTTGCAAGAGGATGGTTGCTGCTTCTGTTAGCGATGCGATGGAAAATTGGAGGGATGTACTCACGGCTTTCACTCAGAGGGAAAGGTAGTGACGCCTTTGTCGTCATGTATCGCTCTCTTATCCGGTGGAGTTCAGCTGGAAGTTGTTGTGTTGTTGTTGATTGTGAAGAAGTGGCCCCCGTTACTGCGTCGTCGACTTCTTCGGTGAGTTTCTGGAGGTAGATGATGTATGGGAGGTGTTTATCGGTTGATTGGTTTGTTCTTGCTGTGAGTTGATGACAGCACTCGAGGATATAAGGTGTGTATCTGAAGTGATGGGATTTTTGCAGCAAAACTGCAGAACTGCCAAGAGTTAGGATCTAGTCAGGTAACATCTATAGTCTTGCATACCTTGACGAGAGATAATATGTCCCTGCCAGCGCTCTCATCTCATCGTGGTTCAGACTGCCAACAGCTTGCTTCGTTTCCCTGCTCAACGCCCAGAGACTGGCCACTCGTGGTCTATCCAGCCTCATGTCCGAGACAATACTACCAGCTAGTGACAAATGCTGAGAGTACTTCATCCTCCCTTGTTGATAATGTGCCCTGTAACTGTCAGCACCTAAAGAAGACAACCGAGCGTGTGGACCTACCATGCCAAGTGCACCAGCAGCCCCTGCAACATGTCGAGGGTGGCAAAAGGGCCCTTGATTAATCGAACGGCCACGATCTCATTGAACATTTGACCCAGAGCGCGTTGAAGCTTAGGATCTCCGTGTGAAGCTGCTGAGAGTATCGCCACGCAGAGTGCTGACTTCTCCCGTACGAGATCCTGAATAGTCACATTCTCCTGAACCACTACAAACGGAAAATGAGGCGTCATCTTGGTCCTAAACACGTCCAAAAGATCTTGACCATGTTCAAATGATAGCAGACCGCGGGCAAACGGACTTGAAGTCGCGTCCGTGTCAATGCTGCCCGGCGTGTTGGAGAAAGCCGGTGAGCTGCCAGCGGCATCCTTCGAAGTAGAAGCCGCATTTGCAGACGTGATTGATGGTGATCTCGACCTTGTAGGGCTTGCATCGAGATTCTTTGGTGGTCTATCGAAAACCGTCAGCGGTCAAAATTGTAGTTTTCACGGCTTCTCCGTTCCATCCTTACCCCGGCCGTAGGGCCTTGCGGCGCCGAGACGGGTTAAAGACGCATGTCTTTCCGAGCCGCAGGCATCTATCGCACTTGCCCGAGTCCTGCGACTTTTCGCATCGGATCTTGGCGTGGAAGCACGTCTGGCACGTCTTGAGGAGAGGAACTCCAGAATCTGATCGCGAAGCCATTGTGTATTTCCGTGTCCGTAGAGAAGTTTTACAGTAATGAGTTTACTACCAGCGGGAAATTCCTGCGGGGGTGAAGGGGTCATTTAGTTCACGGACGCAGAAACCGGGCCACGTAGATTTGGCTCATCTTTTTGTCTCGTCTCTCACAAATGATCAACGGAGCAGGAGTTTTGCAATCATCACCGTGCCCGTAGGTCATAGAATTAGTCGAACGCGAGAACGAAGTGAAATCTTGCCGCCTTGGGTTTGGGGACGCGTAGTGGAGGACGCAACTGCTACAGACTTGAGTGTGGCTGTGGTTGCGGAGCAAAGAAGATTCGGACTCGGACAAAGGAAATGGGACACAAGGGCAGAACGACTAGGGGCTCGTAATAGGCTGTGAGGGGGCTTTCGATTAGGCTTTACAGGGTGTGTTTGATGCTTACGGGGCGAAGCTGTCGTTGAGATTGGCTCGATGGAACGCTATTTATGGGCACGGTCGTCAACAGAGTGGCTTAGATATGGCGGGTTTGAACTTGTATCAACTCCGATTCCGTATGAGCATGGGCTGAATTATGTCTCTCGGATCGATGAAGGAGTCGAATTCCCCTGAAGAAGCAGGGATGGTATCACATTGGATGACGTGGTTTCAAAGGGGGGGAAAGAAACTCGAGTTTGACACTCGCCGTTCTCCACCCCTGCTCTACGCTTAAATAGCCCTATAAGGCTTTCCAGAAACGCATTAATTTCTTTCTACCCGCGCTGGCAATTCCCTCATACGTCAGCGTTTGTTATGCATGTAAGATACCAAGCCATGCTTTAAGTGATTGAAGCTCACTTTCGGCCAACCAGCCCGCGCCGATGACGACGTGAAGTCTTCTCAGCTTAGTTGCAGGACGAGGCAGAATGGCAGAACGGATATGTTGAACGAAGGCCGTGCTGAGATAATATTGAGCCTGCATGACGATCGTCTTGAAGAGCTGAACATGATAACTCGGCTTCTTTACGTTGTTTCATAAAATACACGGGCATGATGAATAAACATTAAAATACATGGAGCGGAGTGTAGCACAGCCTACCTCTTCACTCAACACTCATCGTCTCCAATCTCCTCATCCACCTTGACCAACACCTTACCTCGAGCATGAAGCCCACCAAGCTTCCTATACGCCTCCTTCGTCTCTGCAAATGACCACACACTATCCCTCACAAGACGAATGTCGCCTCGTCCAAGCATGTCGACAACAGCCTGACGATCCTCTAGTGTAGGGCTCATCATCGATGTGCCTAGCCATCGTCGTCCGACTCCGCCGAGCCATCGTGAGACTGGCCACCATTCGTTGAGCTTCATTTGGAGTACTGCCCGGAGAAAGTCGGGGACGAAGAATGTTGGTGGTTTGATGCCGACAGAGGAGTAGTTTCCTTCTGGAACGAGGTATGCGGGGGATGCGATGTATAGTGATTGGTGACCGAGGGTGTCGATGATGGTGTTGAAAGGACTGGTAGAGAAGCAAGTGGTAAGATGTCCAGGAAGATCCTTGTGTTGAGTGTAGTCGATGACCTACAAAGTCAGAGATGCAACCTCCAAGGGCTCGCTCACTCACCTCATCAGCTCCAATACCCTTGACCATCTCGGCATTCTTCCCACTACAGATACCCACGATGTATCCCTCCTTTCCAACAACCTTTCGAAGCATTTGTACGACATTCGTTCCGATTCCTCCACTGGCTGCGTTCACCAGCACCCTATCTCCAGCCTTGGCGCCAGACTCATTCACCAGCTGTCGTGCCGTCAAGCCGGGGAGCAAACATCCCGCACCGTCGCCAAAGCTCACATTTTCGGGCTTGTGAACTGCATATCGGGCCGGAATACGGACGTGTTGCGCCAGAGCACCAGTGCCTGTTGGAAGGGTGTGACTGGCGGGTAGCATGGCGAGAATCTTGTCACCCTTCTTGAACCGTTTGCTTGCCTCTCCTGTGTTTTCATCGGGATGCCATACATCAATCACGGTACCGGAAAAATCCATTTCAGGCACACATGATGGTTGTCGGATGAAAGGCGGGACAAGAGTCATCTGAAAGATGGCACCGGGGTTGAGGCCAACGAAGGCGACCTTGACGAGAATCCATTCTTCTGGCTTCGGTACGTCGCTGGGAAGTGGGAGAGGCGGTGGTAGGGTTGGGATCGGGCGATTTGTGAGGTTGAGAACGTCCCAGGGAAGGCCACGCTGGGAAAACACCCAGGCTTGTGACTCTGTCATTGTGCGTCGTGATAGTGGGTCCGCTGTGGTTTGTGGTGTTGTGTGCAAACACTCCAAGGGTCTCTCAAAGATGCAAGACTCCAAACACTTGTTTGATGTTTCTTTTACGGTAAGTGTCTTCATATAAACTTCTTTTACAAAAAAAAAAGAAACCATCTGCCTGGGAGCTGAATGTCGGGTCGTCGGAGCTGAAAACAAGCTTACGTGCCCCCTCGTTTCGTTCTGGCGCCAAGTCCGCATGTGGCTTGCCATCTGCGAGACCACGTTTCCTCTCACAGGTTAGTTAATGGGCGACACTGCATGTGCGCTCTCGTGTAAATATTTGCGGAGGGGTTCTCGGGGTAATATTCGTCCTTTTTGCATATGATCAAAGATATTGTTTGGATGATCCTGAACCGATGAACCCACGGAACAACCCATGGAACAACCAATGGGATATCGCCGTCTAATGCCCAACTCGACGTTGAAAGCCGCGATAGCTTCACCGTCAGGTTCTGCCTTCCTCAGCACTTTCCTCGCGTGGTTTCAGCCCTACCTGTCATCATAATGCGGGTTTGTCATCATTAAGGTTAATTTTAGAGCCTAGAAGGTTAATGAGTCTATCGCAACCTCATTTCTCCAGGGTAGGTGTGCTGCAATGAATGCCTCTAGGTCAAGGCGAGGTCTTAATTACACACGAATAATGATGTACGACCAAATAGCGAAGAGGCTAGAATACACAATGGAACAACATTTAATCTTTGCCTTCCATCATTCGGTTTGAGACGCTCTGTTACACGACGTACCGTAGGGGGGTGACGTGTTTAAACCACCATCAAGTGTCAGGAAGCTTAGTCTCAGTCAACGCTTATGAAGACATCCTCAAAGAATTTATTCATGAGGCCCTTATCCTAGTCTAAAAAACTGTGCCGATATGCCACGAGACTTAGGTCTTGCAATCCTTCCAGACGAAGCAGGGCGGCCTTGTCAGTGGATTGGGCACAGGTAGACATGTCCGTTGCCCACCACGGCCTGATCGCGACACATGGACATGGACAACTGCATGTATACAACCCGAAAGCACTTTTCCCATCCCAAGTTGTCATGTATGTGGTGATAGATCGCCTTGGTCTTTTGAGGACAGCTGTAATTTGCGTCTACTTCTTCGCCAGTCTATTATTTAACAAATTTTGCATCTCGTACCGATCAGGGCACACACCACCTTAATGAACATAAAGAAGCAGTCTAGAGTAAGTTGTTTCACAGTGAGACTTTTAGCCCTAACTTACGCACAGTAGACTGCGAAGTCGCCATCTTTGGACCCTTGGTTGGTACACGCAACCCGAGACTGAGCGTCATCAATCAACGTCAAGTTGGCAACCAAAATTGAGGCACAAGTGAGATTACACAGCCAAGCTTCTGATGATGCGATACTGTACCACGGAGAAGGGGGATCATGAGAAACCCACAGAGACAGGTTTGCACCGACGTCTCTAAAGCAAACACTCAGCTGTGTTTCCTTACATCTACGAGCTGGCCGTGAGATGCATACCCTGTACCACCATAGACATTCTGGCATTATCGTCCTCACAACCGTGTGGCGTTCAGCAAAGTGTTGTTGCATACACCAATGGCCACCCAGCATATGGGCAGTTGTGACGTAGTCGTCCAGTCTCGAAAGGGATGGACGTGCATATCCTCAACTGGCAAGGCGATAATGACATGAGAGCGAAGAAAACCCGAGACGTCAGTACAAGAGATTAATTAGCTTGTCCCTCCTTAAGGATAGCTAATAAGAGACAATAAAAATTGGAATAGAGCAAATAAAAGAGCTCTAAAACTTTACCGGTTATTATAATGTTGTTTCATGAGGTCTGTCTAAATCGAGAGCAATTAGATATCTTGCCGTTCTGGTGTCTCGTTGACTTCTCAGCGTGCATGATTTCGATGGCACGACGAATCTTTCCCAATTAAGCCGCATACGAGAACGTCCTTTGACAAAGCGGCGACTTGCATTGGCCATAGCACTCATAAGCCTGCAAGGAGTCACCGATGGATGCATGGCTGGACGGCCCGCCAGGTTGTAGATGTATTTCGAAGGGCGTGAGAGACATGTGTAGTCGTAACATGGCATTTTCCCCGATTGGAGAGTTTTCCGTGATTCCGCATTAAAGGTCTGCTAGTCAATTTCCCGTCCCCTCTTTTTAGCGAGGAGGTGCAACAGAAAGAAGGAGTCATTGAGTTCCCTGTACCATGCATTTCAATGGATGTACATGGGACCGTAAATGAGTCTTCTGCTTCAGAAGGGCGTCAATTGTAGATATTTACATGCAAGAATCCGATACCGGATGTCCAACCAGAAAAGCTGCATTTGGTGCGTACATGCAGCCTATTAAATCCCTGCCATAAGTCATGTCGCGGGGCGGCAGACTCTACATCAGCTCACCCGCAATTCAACACTAGAAGGGCAAGTACCGAATTCGGCACTCACGGCAGACGCGAGACGGCCCGCTCGGGGCCGAAAAGCGTGACTCTCGCGCGGGGGCGGTACCGGAGCGGCAATCCACGGCCTCTTCAAAACTCTGACTCGGGAGGAGGGGGGTGACTCAGCTTGGAATCTTTTTTCGACCCCGCCTCCATCAATCTTGTCGCGAAACCCATCAATCGTCTTTTCCTACTTTTAGATTGATCTGGGATCTTGATCTGAGATTTTATTTTACTTGAGATCTTGATCTTTACTCTTGCCCGCACGGATTTCGTTACTTCCTCATTGGTATCACGCAACCCCGCGGTGGCGACTTGAACCCTTCATACCAACACAACCACGAGAACGATCGCGCAAATTGCGCCAGAACCACTTTCAAGATGCCTATGTAAGTTGCTGTGGCCTCTGTTTACACTGGTGCGCCGTGTTTGAAGATATAAACTAACACTGTGCCCCAAATACAGGCTCAAGGAACCATGGAAGAAATACAAGCCCTTCCCTCGCATGAACCTTTCCGATCGCCAATGGCCCTCGAAATCGATTGAAAAGGCCCCTCGATGGCTGGAGACCAGTCTCCGAGACGGAAACCAGAGCAACCCAGACCCAATGGTGCGTATATCTCGTTGGCGGTATAGTGGGGGTGCTCCAGTGGGAGCACATTGTTTGGACAGCAGACTTACAACTTGGACAGAACGGAGAGGAGAAGTGGAGATTCTTCAAGATGCTCTGCGATATTGGATTCAAGGAAATTGAGGTTTCCTTCCCTTCTGCGTCTCAAACCGACTTCGACTTTACAAGACGCCTGGTCGACACCCCTGGAGCTATCCCCGACGATGTTGCGATCCAAGTGCTGTCGCCATGCCGACCCGACCTGATCAAGCGCACAGTCGAGGCTGTCTCCGGTGCCAAGAATGCCATTATTCACATCTATCTCGCCACCAGCGAGTGTTTCCGGAGAATCGTCTTCAACCACTCCGAGGAGCAAACCCTGGAACTCGCCGTGCGTTGCGCCAAGGTTGTCAGATCCCTTACAAAGGACGATCCCGCTCAATCAGGCACAAACTGGCAGTTTGAGTTCAGTCCTGAGTGTTTTTCTGATACCTCGCCTGAGTTTGCCGTCAAGGTCTGCAATGCTGTCCGGGAGGCCTGGGGACCCACGGTCGAGACACCCATGATTGTCAACCTACCCGCCACAGTCGAGAACGCATCTTGCAATGTTTTTGCTGATCAAGTGGAGTTTTTCTGCAGAAATATCTCTGAGCGCGAGACGGTTTGCGTCAGTGTCCACAACCACAACGATAGGGGTACCGCAGCAGCCGCAGCAGAGTTGGCCCAGATGGCCGGAGCCGACCGCGTAGAGGGATGCCTCTTTGGAAACGGCGAGCGTACTGGAAACGTCGATCTGGTTACGCTGGCGCTGAATCTTTATACCCAAGGAGTTCCACCCAACTTGGACTTTTCCAACTTGACCCAGATCATCGACCTGGTTGAGGACTGCAACAAGATCCCCGTTCACCCTCGCGCTCCCTACGCAGGCTCCTTAGTAGTTTGTGCCTTTTCCGGGAGCCACCAAGATGCTATCAAAAAGAGCGTTAACCCTAACCCTTATTTATTTCATAGTTTTGCTAACATCCTTACAGGGCGAGCAGAATCAACCCCGAAATCCCCAACCCATTTGACCACTTACTGACACATTACAGGGCATGCAAATCCGCTCTCGCGACGGAAAATCATACGAGGATTACTGGGAAGTTCCTTATCTACCCCTGGATCCCGAGGATGTTGGGCGTACCTACGAGGCCATCATCCGTGTCAACTCCCAGAGCGGCAAGGGCGGCGCCGCATGGATTATTCTGCGGAAACTTTCACTGGACATCCCTCGAGGTCTGCAAGTTGCGTTCTCTAGTGTTGTTCAGAAGCAGGCTGATGGTCTTGGCCGTGAGCTTCGACCCGAGGAAATCACCGACCTCTTCGAGACGACCTACTTCCTTAACGAGAACCCTCGATTCAGCCTGGTCGACTACTCTATTACTCCCGACCGCTCACAATCTCCCGCGCCCCCTGCGCCGGGCAAGACACAGGAAACCAAGAACCTGAACCGAGTTTTTGAGGGTGTGGTATCAGTCGATGGTAGGGAGATCAAGCTCCGTGGACGCGGCAATGGACCCATCTCCAGCATGGCGAATGCTCTGAAGGACGTTGGCGTCGACCTGGATGTCAATGACTACAAGGAGCATGCCATTGGTGAGGGTCGTGGCGTCAAGGCTGCCTCTTACATTGAGTGCAAGATTGGAAACACCAAGCAGACGGTGTGGGGAGTTGGCATCCACGAGGATGTGGTTCAGAGCTCTCTGATTGCTCTGCTGAGCGCTGCCAGCAACGTAAGTCATTGCGTTACTTATTGCCAATCTACCCCTTTTCCTGGTTCGACTAACGCGCGCTATAGTTCATCACCAGCAGACCTGGAAGCCCCGTTCTGAAGCCTGTTGCATCTCGTCCCAAGACTCTGGACCCCAGCAGTGCCAATGGCGCACCCACGCAGCCTGCTCAGGAGACTCCCAGTGTGGTTTCTATCCTGGAGGAGAAGGCGAATGGCATGTAAAGTAGTGTGTGAGTTTGTGTTGGGGGACGAAGCTTTTGCCTCCTCCTTATTGTCTACCGTTAGTGTGTCGTCAACTACGGACATTGGAGCTCTGGGGGTGAATTCATACGAAAAAAGGCCTAAAATGAATCGAGGCCAGGGAGAATCTTGAAATAGGCAGACAGATTCAACCTAAAAGCAACACCTGTTTTCTTGTAACATTCATTGACAATCGGAGCTTTCATCAGACAACAATCGTGACAGGGACATGGATTAAGATGTTTCAAAGCACCAGTAATGACAATATCTGAGTTATGTTCTAGCTTCCCCTGAGACCTCACGGTTCCACGTGGAGGAGGAGGCATGAGCAAAAAGCAAGACACCCGCATCCATGTATTACGCGTGGATAGACAGCTTTTCCATGTCGCCGCTGACAACCCTGAACCTTCTTTTCTCAAGGGGGTGATATGCAGTAAAGTAATCCACGTACACCATGTCCTCAGCATCAACCTCATACGCGCGCAAATCAGGAAACCGGCGGAATAGAGTACCAAGTGTGACATACAGCTCGCACCAAGCGAGGTCATGGCCGATGCACATGCGACGGCCGCGAGAGAAGGGAACAAGACACTTGTCGCGCTCATGGAATGTTGAAGGATCTGTCAAGCGGGTGGGATCAAAGACTTCGGGGTTTGGGAAGGCTTCGGAGTTGTGATGCATCATCCACGCGGACATGCTTGTGACCGTCTATTTACTATTAGTGAGTGAATGGGTGTGTAGAGGAGCAAGGACCTACGCCTTCGGGGAGGTAGTAACCTTCCAACTCGACGCCCCCTTTTGGAGCGACGCGGGGAAGACGGCTCAGAACGCCATAAGAGAGTCTTGAGATGAATTTTGGTCAGTTGGGTCAAAAAAGGGGTAGGGCCTGGACTCACCTTTGACCCTCCTTGATAACGCCTGTCAAATACGGGAGTTTCTCCAGCTCGGAGGAGCTCAATCGGGCATCTGGATCAGGGAATGCCTCTTGGAGTTCCTTCTTAAGGGTATCGTAGATGGTGGGGTTCGTGACGACATGGAAAGCAGCCATACTCATGGCGTTGCCAGTTGTGTCAGCAGCAGCTGTACAGATGCCAAACGCCTCGTCGACCAGTTCGTTGATAGTAGGTACGACATGGCCTTCGGTAGCGTTGGGGTCGAGGAGTTGATGCCAGATGGTGGTGCGCTTGGGTTGAACGCCTTGGTTGATGCGAGCTTGGACGTCTTGGACTTGCTTTCTCGTTCGCTGGAAATGTTAGTATCAGGGACATGGTGAACTAGGATACTCACGTCTTTGCAAGCCACAAAGTCGGCGACGGATGGGCTCATGTGCTTGGCGACACTGTCGGGTAGACTCTGAATGGGGACTCTGAGTGAAGCAAAGGCTTGGAAGGTCCAGAACATGGATGCTGAGCTTCGAATCATGTTACTGAACCATTCTCCAAGATCCTCATCATCCAGCTGGTTCCACGAATCGTCAAAAGCATAATCAGTAATGACGTCGACACTGATGGCACGGAACGCTGCATGTAAGTTGGTAGGTCGTCCGGCAGCACGGTCAGTAGAGACCATACGACACAGCTTCTCGACCTTGTCGTGAATGACGTCAAATGACTCAAGCTCGAGGACCTTGCGGCGGGAGAAGAAGGGGTTCAGGGCGGTGCGACGTCGGCGATGGACATCGTTGGAGATGGTGGTGAAGGTTGCAGACTCTATCCCGAGAGCGCCGTAGAAGCCGGGATCTTTGTAAAAGTCGGACTTTACGCCAAAGATTGTATCATAGTGCTTTGGGTCGGTGAGATGGACTTCATTTGGAGAGATGCGCACGATTGGACCTGTAGCGGTCAGTGTCTTGGTTGTGTGTGTTTGTATGAGACAACTCACCGTAGACGTCGTGTAACCGCTCAATCTCTTTGTAGAACTTGCCACCACAAGGCACATTAAAGTACCAGGCATACTTTTTAGTCACAGCTGGAAGGAAAGGGCCTGGAACTTTGGCTAAAGGATGAAAGAAACGGCGGTAGATGATCGTGGCGATGGTGTAGAATGCGCCGCCTACGACAACTGTCCGCCACCACTGAGCGACAAGATGGCAAAGGGAGCCAAGATTCGGGAAGATGACAGCCATGACGATAAAGAGAACTCAGCCAGGTATCATGTTTGAAAAAAAAGAGAGAAATATCTTGCAACGTAGTAAAGGAGGTGGTCAGCTTCTTTTATACGGATGAGATGTCGTCAACCTTGGGTAGTCAACTTACCCCAAAATAAGCAGCCGCTTTGATCCCCGCAGTCCTACGTAACTGTTCAGTAGAGGCTCTAGCGGGATCGGATCGACAAACTTACAGGCATCCTCATCCATTCAGAGCCTCTGGGTTTCATTTGTCCCGGTAGATCGTCTGACATGGCGTCCGAGATTCGTTAACGGGCCGGACCCTATTGGACGCGCAATGGCATGTACTCGTACAAGGACAAGACACCAAACCAGTCCTATCTACCATAAATCCAATAAATAAGATATAAGAGAATGTTAGAAGTAACTGAATAGAACCTTCAAAGATTCGTAAGATTATTTCTTATTTTATGTCTCTTTTAGCTCATAGTTAGGCTATAAAGTGAACAGGTACCCAGCAAGCGCAGTTCTCCTGGTGTCTGAAGTCTTTTTGGGACTGGGTGAATGCCCTTGCTGGACGAATGCTAGGATAATAACCTCTTGGCACCAACCTTGAACATTTCGGCAAATTCCTCTATGGGATTAGCCCTCTTAATTGTGGGCGCTTGACAAGGCAACCGCAACAGGTTGTTCTCAGACTGAGTTAGGCGGTCAAGTACTGCCAACGCTTTCCTCTTTACTTGGCTTATTCACAACACCTCAATCAGCTCTCAACACCATCAACCTCGCCACCATGGTGCGAACAAAGACGCGAGCCCGAACCCTTTCGGAGGTATGGCCAAATGGTCCCCCCGATATTAAGCTTCGACCCGCGTACAGAATTGTGTACAACAATCGCATCTTCAAAGACCACACCGGTGCACCAGCTCTCATGTCATGGAACAGCCATGAGGTTCTGCGTTCATTGCCTCCTCTCGCCTCCTGGATCTTCTACATGACCCATCCTGATGTGCCACGCGACTTTGACGGCCATCTACTCTATAGTGACCTTGAGTACGACCACCAGTTGTGCAGAGGTGGCGAGTTTCGGTACGAGTTCTTCTTTCTTCCCGGCGCTACGGTTGAGGAGTGTCATGCGCACTTTCTTGGGGAGATGAAGGCTCGAGGGACCATTTGGCGTCAGATCCGCAAGGTGAAGAGAGTCATGAAACAAAAGAAACAGGAACAAGGTGAAGAAGTGGAGGAGGTTCAACAGGCCGCCTCTAATCAGGAGCCCGCTTCTGATGAAGAGTCCCCTTATGTACCAGAGTCCTCTTCCGATGAAGAGACCGCTTCCGATCAAGATGCCGCCACGGACAGTCAACTCCCCGGCCTACCCTGGCCAAAGAACGATCGCGATTGCGGGTACTCATCTTATCGGGGCTGGTTCTTCATCTATCCAGACGCAGACATCGAGTGCCGCACTCCTGAGCAAAAGGCGCGTCAACTCTGCCTCGTCCAGTTTGACCCCATCCCTCCTGATTGGGAATGGGACGAGAAAGAGGAGGGGGGCAACTCTAACCCGATGGAACGTCCCATCGTTTCACGGTGGATGAAGGCCGATAACCAAGAAGAAGGGTTTGAAAGTGGGCTTTTTGGTTGGATGGAATCGTTGAAAAGGGCACTTTGGGAGGAAGCGGCGGATGAAGCTACAGAAAACGCTCTGAAGCTGGGCTGGGAGTCTTGGTGATGTGGGAAGGATTGATTCGACTGCTTTGTATATCATACCACACGAGAAAGAAGTTGTAGCCCGGGCATCATATCTTGTGTTGAGCGTCGTGACACCTATTGACCTAATACCCTGTCTCCGCCAAGTCTAACCCTCCATGTTTCTGCCCATCACACCAACCTTGAACGACCAATGTTTCTCACCCGGTCATGTGTACAGATCTTGGTCCGTTGGGAGGGCATGGAAGTTGAAGTATCGATGTAGTAGCGAATTGAGGCCTGCATCTAGATAACACTGTTAGCGTTGCACACTCCTCGGATGTATCGGTACCTACCATCTGCCATCGCAAGGACTTCGAGTGTTTTTGCCCTGATACTCCTCTGCATCAGGCAGATCAACCTTCTCCGGGTTCCCCGGCCTTTCGGCACAATTCCAACATCTCGTTGTTCCTTTTCTCGGGAGCCTGAATCTTGGGCCTTTTCACATCGGGCCACGATATACAATTGACACCTTTAGGTGCACGTTCAATGACTTCCTGTAGCTCCTTCTCAGTCAATGTGAGGTAAACAGGCCCGCCATCACGGTCCCTCAACTCTTGGAGCGCCCTGTCAACCCTCGACAAGGGGGCGCAAGGAGTGGCTAGGGGTATGTAGGCCTGGGGAATAGGCGGCCTGGGGGCCCGGAAAAGAGGTGTCCCGTGAGAATGGAGATGGGGCAGCACGTAGGCCTGGGCAGGCTGCCCATAGACCCAGGGAGGAGGAGGCCCGTAGGCGGGGAGAAAAGGCGGTCCGCAGACCTGAGGAGGGGGTCGGTAGACCTGGGGAGGTGGTCCGTAGACCCGAGGAGGCGGTCCGTAGACTTGGGCAGGCGGTTCGTTAGTAGGAACGTGGCCTTGCTGCCTAGAGGCAGAGTGATGGCGATGACCTCGGTCTCGATGATCTCGACGGCGTCGATGGTGGCGGTTTGCTCGAGTTCGGGCCATGTTGCTGCGGTTGGTGATGCTGCGCTGCGGATGGTGCTGTGACCCTTGGTCTCGGTGGTGGTGTTTGGAGAATGCTTCTTTTTGCTTAAGCTACGAGAAGTAAGAAAAACCTGACGGCTGTTCAAATGTTGAGTGCGCTCGAGGTGTGGTGGATTTTCTCGCCAGTGCTTGCCACTGGCAAACACTGGCATGGCGATATCTCTTCTGTTCGTCTTGCAGGGCCCTTCTTTGTTTGGCTAGAAGACACATAGCACTCTCTACCTGAGAGAGATAAGATTGTGGCAGTCTTAATCTCATCACCATGTAAAGACAGAGGTTTGTGGTGATCGTGGCAATGTATCATTCTGCTAAGTCTAACGCAAACATATGGCTTAGCCGCAAGTCTACACGGCGGGAGAAGCCCCTGTGGACGTCTCAACTACCTCTCAATAGATGCATTGCGCGAAAGGATGTATAAGGCGGCATCTGTATACTGCTCAGTTGCGGTGTCATGGCCGTCTTCGTCCTCGAAATAACCGAGACCACCGTCATACCCAATGACTTCCACCTCTTCCTGAATGCGAACTTTGAGGCCGGTCCGATCCTTCCCTCGGGATGAGAATTCAGAATCGAATGCCCGGCGTCGTCTCAGAATGGACTTCTCATCGGGTTGCCAATTGGTAGGGCGAGATTGAGAGTCTGGATAGAGAGGCCCGTAGAGCCAGGTGACGTCGCAATCCTTGAGCCTAGTAATTATTAGAGATGGAAAGCAAGTGAAAATTGCTTGGGTACCCACCAGTTCAGTTCCTCTGGCGATATTGTTGACAAGTTGTTCTTGAACTTTGTCCATGCTCTCCAGATGACATTCTCCAGACGATCCTTGTTGTTGAGCGATTTCATCGAGCTGACTGCCTTCCAGGATGGACCAACATCCTTATCGGACCACTCGTGTGATAGATAATCAACAGAGCTGCTGGAAGCGATTGGTACCTCCGAGTCGTCTTTGCACCTGGGTGGAGTATCGGGAGCTAGGAGGTCGGAAGCATAGGCTCTTCGAGACTCTAACCACGACTCGGCGTAAGTCGGTGGCTCCACTGACTCCATTTCTTCAACCCAAAAGCTTGATGCATCGCTGTAGCTTGGTAAGATAAAGTGAGACTCCTCATCAGGCTCATCATATCCGACCAATAGAGAACTCAAGTCAGTTGGCTGTACAAATGGGGGAGCGACAGCCACGACTGCCTGTGATGATATTTGGCCAGCAGCAAGAAGAGACTGGGATGCCTGTGAGCTATCTTCGGTACTGGGAGTGGCTCCTTGCGAAATTTGGGGTCTGAGGCGCGACGGCGTCATTGATAACGACAATATGTTGATTGCGTGGTTGTAATATGGCCTGGGGAGTACCCTCGCTGGATCGTTCTCCCAAAAGGGACGTTCATCCGCCCAAGTCAGTAGTCTTGGAGGGCAGATGAATAGACTGTCTGTTCTGATAAGCTGCCGATCATCCATACGGATTCCGAGCGTAGCGGCCAGCCGTCTGCCGAAGTATTCTGCTTTCGAGATGGTATCCATTTGACCTCCCCTGACAATACGACGAATAACGTCGTTGTAAATGTGCTGGACTGATTTTGCATAGTTAACGTCGACGACATCGCTTGAGAGTCCGAGCATGCCGTAGACTTTGTCGCGCCTGTCTCTGCATTCGAAGTTGCCGAATGACAGTAGTAAGTCGGAGATCGGGGCGCCTTGGTTCTTGAGTTGCGGGTTAGTCTCAAGGAACGCCTTTTCCTTGACCAGGATATACCCTGGCGCGTTCATTATTTTTGAAGCCCGTTGAGATCCGTGGAACTGGCTTCCTGACTGGAGCATGGAGAACTCCATGCCACCGAAGAAGCTATTCAGCTTGTTCCAGTTCATACATCTTGGGCCGCAGACTATTCTTATTTCTTTCGCCAGCAGCACTTCTTGGATGATCCAAATTCTCCTCCAGTATACCCGGCTGAAGAGGCTGAAGATTGCGTCGCCAATCTTTGCGTCAAGGACCATTCGTAGAGCACCGGGATCCCCTTGATAGGAGTAACCAATCTTATTTGGGGTTTGGCCGTAAAGAACTCTTGATTCAGATAGAACCCGCGACGTTTTCTTGGTCGACTTGCCTAAAACTTGGTGGGTGAGGGATGCTAAGCTGTCCATGGCGAGGTCGGATTTTGCAGTTGGCCTACCAAGCCAGACAAGAACCACCGTCGCTGACGAATAGATCTTTCGCATGAGTTTGACTTGGTGATTTCTCTCGGCAGTGTTGCTTTGGTTGATGCATATCGAATCAATCCACACGAACTCTAGTCGAGGATCGCAGTCCATGTCCAAGGACGGGAGCTCTTTAAGCAGATCCCACGCCGCTTTCCGAACAAGAAATGAGCGCCCATTGATGCGAATTGGCTCCGCTGAGCGGGAGTCTCCCCAAGTATACGAAATTGCGGCGAAATGGGGACATGATTCGTTGAGAGGGAAGACGCCAAGGTCGTATTCTGTTGGAGAGTCGTGTAACCTCAACAGACGCACCTCGCCAGCCGGGTCGGCCAAGGTTGTGTACTCAAAGCGAGACATGGCTTAGAGAATCTTAACGAGGTCATTGCGCAAATTATTATACAGTCATTGGCGAGTTGAAACACCAATAGGTACCCTTGAGCGAGTTTTGCAGAGTGAGGAGCTAATCGCGGCGCAGGGTCAGCCTGATATGCAGCCCTGCCCAACCTGACACTCTGATTGAACAGCACACACAGCCCTGTGACCCGTTTCCTGTGGCGAAGCTGAGAGTAGCCACATGAGAGGCATCCTCTGAGGAGGTTGTTTTTACGGTTTCCAGACTGCTGCTGTGCGGAATGGTTCGGAAGCAGCGTCGCAGTTGTTTGTGTTGGTGTTTGGAAGATGGTGAATTTTATCTCCAACTCTACAACGAGTATGAAGATCTCGGCAAGCATTTGGCTATTATTTATGCCCATGGTGTGGCCATTTCCTCTGCCGGCTATTAACACTAGCAAGCAACTGGCATCTCGTTATCTCTTCTGTGATTTATTGGCCCTTTCTGGTAACCAAGAAAGGTCAATGCGAGGCTTTATTAGAAAGATCGAGATGGTTTATATCGCTTTAATTTTCTTCTCAGGTGACTTGATTCCGCCAAGGTTGAGTGAGGTGTTTGGCCATGGCCCATCTGGTAGGAGACATGCTGCCTTGGCACACTACAATAAACAACAAAGGGGGCTCTACCTCCCGGTCTTATGAATGCAGAAAGCGTCAAAGGTATGAGACGTTGAAGCATCCAAAGGGATGCCTTGAACGTTTGAGATCTCGTGCTTCATTGCATGGCTTGATGACCGATAACGCTCATCCACAATGACACACTCTCAGGCCCATCGCGAGTTACCAAGGCGTTCAGGCCAGAAGATAAGCTATCGAGCTCGCAAGATGCCAAAGATACTTCATGGCCATTATGTGCGGCTTTAGGCCTGTCGCCAAGTCCTGAAGCACCCAACAAACCACCCCGTCACCCCTGGATTTGAGGGCAGAGGCTGTCCATGCAGATTTCCCCTTGATTTTTTTCACCCAATGCGCAAGTTACGAGAAACTGACGGCCTTGCTGGCATCTTTCTATTTGGAGGTACGTGAATCAATGACGCGACGGGCAAAAAGGTCTGGCAGCTGCGCAACACTGTCAATAACCGTAAACACTTCTGCTTCTTCCCCTCTTTCTGTCTCTTTCTCTCTCAATCAACATCATCAACATTTTCATGGAAAGAAACAATAACATCACAAGTACCAGATCAAGTCTTGATTTCTCCCTTGTCGCTAACAGGAAGCCAGATGAATAACCCCGATGCTCTCACCAACTGGGTGCTGGGCCCACCACCACCGCGACCGAACGATGCCCCGACCGGGACGCACCCCGACGTCGCCTTTGCCCACTTCGAAGGGCCGCAAGCCACCAACAAGAGTCGCTGGCTTCCAGAGGCCCTCTGGACCTCTTTCGTTTCGGGTGGCCGATCCGAAACCTCGATTGTCCATGTCGTGGCCAAGTCCAAGCTGAGGCGCCTCTCACGAGTACGGGCCGAGCATGTTGCAGAGGAAACTGCGAGAGGAGTGATTCCGGTGAAGACCGTGGATTACCAAGAACTTTTGAGGGAGCTGAGGGCATCCCGTCAAAACGGGAGATGGCATCTCCGGGCCACGGGACCATTGGCCCACAGATCCGTCTTCATCATTGAGGTCGATCCCGATTTTTCGGCCGACTTCTTCCTTGCCCTTTACGCGGCAGTGGAATTCTCGCTTTCCGTTACGGAAGAGCAACCTCAAGCCGCCATGAGACTGGCAACAATGTCATGGGAGCCAGCCGATGAGCTGTACTCCCGCTTGGTCCAACAGACAGAGCATGGGATCATCACCTTTGTCCTCCCCGGCAATTCCGAGCCCTATATCTCTTTTGGTGTTGGCAGTGGAGAGGAGGAGCCATTCCAGGCAATCATCTCTAAACTGGACCAGCTTGGCTCGGACGATCTGCATACTGTCGTCTATTTCCAGGACGAGGATAGGCCACCGCCTCGGTGGAAGGAAGATGAGTGGGAAGGTTGGGGGTGGACCCGTGAGGTGTTTGAGCTGGATCCCCATGGGAGATTCCCTGTCCAAGACGAACCAACAGGCTCTGTCATGCTGCGTGTTCCTTGCGACACACGAGGGTTCGGCAGGCTGGAAACGGATGGGTATGTTCACATCATCCCGTCCAGGACTCGGCAACGGCCCATCTTCGACATGCAAACTCGACAGGTGGTTCGTGTTGAGCTCCGTGTCTCCCAATCCGAGAGATTCCAACAACTCTCCTGGGTAGACAGGACAACATGCCCCCGGTCGAGAGTGTGTGCCTACCCCGACGTGGAGAGCCCTATAGGGCACCCTCGTCGAAAGGACATCCTTAACAGCCAGCTGGCTGGCCTCATCGCAGGGCTTGTACAGTTTGAGGGATGGCCCAGCAGGATCAGGTCTCTGCCACGACTCATCGCAGTCCTTGTGCAGGAAGATGAGACCATAAGGGGCATTTTTGATCAGACTGCGCAACGCCTGGTTTTCCAAGGCTTGCTACAGATGGAGGGGCCTGAATCGGGCCCGATCATCTCCCTTAAAGGTGGCATTCCAAACATCTTTTCCGCCCTTCTCCCCCTTGTCGACTACGACACTCGATTGGCCTACTTACTGGTCCAGCCTTCTGATCGCCTAACTACTTTGTTCAAAACCCAAGTAGCTGCAATGGTCACCATAGGTCAGGACAAGGTGGTTGACTTCTCGCTCGGGGTGCGTAACGAAGTAGACAAGGCCTATGTCAAAATCGCGATGGCGCTTGGCTATGGTAAGAACCTTGCATCCTTTGGGACACTGTGGATGGTACTTGGCCTTGTGAAGAGGGGCAAACAAGAGATGGTATACAAACACGGCTCTCGCCCTTTTGTGGATGATAAGGTATGGCTCTACTACGATGTATGCCAGGCATGGGAGACACGGTGTCATGAGATACACGATGTGCTCTCACCTACACTACAAGCACCTGAGGCCCTGGATGAGACCGAGATTCTCACGGATGATCAGGTCGAGGCACTCTATTGGGATTGCTTGCGAGCATTTGCCTTCCAGATTGGTGTCGTCACCTTCCCCAGTGATGGCGGATATGCCAGGGTTCATGATTTCGTGTCGGGGGTGGAACTGACATGGGACTGGGGCTTCCTTTTGATCGACTTTGACGCTATCAAAAAGAATGATCCCGAGTGTACGGTTGGGTTCTACACCACTCTTTTCCGGTCCAAGGGCGAGGAAAAGGCGGCAATCAAGGACTGGAACTGGATTCCATCATCCATTTGGCGGCGATGGAGGGAGCACCTTGAAGCAGATGGTTCGGACCACTGGGCCTCACTGGCCAATAGGTACGACTTGTGTCGCAATAGCGACGAGTTTGAATCCGCGTGAGCAGTGAGATCGGCCTTTCCTCGAATGCTACTTCTCCTCACCCTCCTCGCAAGACCGACCCTGATCCACCTGGGATCTAGGTCAAGTATGGGTATGCTCACGCCGCCTGGGCTGGGAGCAACCCGAACATGGCTGAGTAGTCAGAAGTCTCCTCTAAAGGAGACAGCACTACCTGAATCAAGCCGACATGGCTTGTTTCCAACTCTGCTCACCGAAGGCTCTGTTGTTCCTGATCGATGACTGCAACACTCCGCTCATGGGCTGGAAGAACCGGCACAAACTGATTGACCGGGAGCCAGCAGGCTGCGGTTATATCGATCAAGCCTGCGTCATAGTATTGACATGACGCTTGGGTGTTACTGTCTTTGTGAGCCCCCAGAAGGCGCTCATTACTAACATGGTCCATCTTTGATGAGGCAGCCAGAGGATTCGCCAACTCATCAGGCGAACCATGAAAGTCGGTCTGTGGACTTTCAGCGCACGGAATACGATTGAGAATATCGTTTTTCCGGTTCAGAGACGCATGGAGTCGGTCGATGGCGCGAGGAGTGAAGTCTCCAACTCACAAAGCGTACGAGAAGGGGAATCCACGAGGGCCTCCCATGGAGAGGACTCCTCACGAGCCTTGCGAGAGGAGACGGCCTCCTACCGGGCCTCACAACGAGAAGCCTCCTCACAGGCCTCACAAGGACAACAATCGAAACAAGCGACATGGCGGTACGCCGGCCTCGGGGGTTAACGTAGCTCCGGTTAGGCCTCGCTAACCGCCCATGATCAATTGGGAACACATCACCCTCCCATAGTGTTTCCCCTCAACATGGTAAATGGCCCCGAGAGCGACACAGCGACGCTGGCATCGGCCCAATACTCATTGCAACACCCGTGTTGACTGCCAGTTGTTGAGCGGCAAGTGGCCAGAATCGACTTGCCCGGGAGGTAGTCTGATCACTGGGGTGTGCGTACTCATCCCTGTAATACCGGTTCGTTTCCCCCGAGAGGTGGCATATTCCAAGTTTTACTGACTTCTTTGATAGTGAACCCGAGCCCTTTAGCACCTATGTTCCGTATTTATCTCCGAGTTTGCATAGGAGATAAAGGGAAGACTGGGAAATCATTGGTTTTGGGGTTCTGGAAATCATGTCGCATGTCAAAGAGGGTGATTAGATGGACTGGTTTACGCACAGGGGCAATGACTTGAACCGATTGGAGAAGATTTGTCAAAATCGCGGTCCAGTGCAACGGTTCTACAAAGCCTTTTCAAGCATGACAGTGAATTGAAAGCTTTCAGCGTCAAGGGCAAGCACGTTGGTTGATCAAAGGCGAATGATAGCATGCGTTTGCGATACCGTGATCCCATTGAATTTTCTTAATCCCCATCCTGAATCTACACAAGTTTAAACTGGGAGAACCTTGATGTCCTAAACCAGTCTCATTCATTCTTGTCCCGTCGCAATTGTTTCTCGATCGAGCAGCCCTCGGTGGACGATCGGCGTTGGCAGGTTCCCAGTGCATAGGTATTTGGGACTGACGCAGTGACGCCTTATCCAGAGTCATGCGGTCGGCGGCCTCGAGGCTTGCTTTGTCGGGTGGGATCGGTTATCTGTTTCCCTTCGCAAATGTCTGAGGGATGAATCCACGAAGTTTTCCTGGATGTACTTCCAGTGCGCACAATTGGGGCCCCAGACAAGGAAAACAAAATCCATCTGCCCTGAGAGCTCAATTCTGAATGGCTCTCCTTGTGAGGGTATGGGCAGCCACGGTAAAGCCAAGCGCCAGGCCTTTTCGCGATGCGCACGATCAGGCGGCTGATAGGATGGCTCGGGACACAGCTGCCCTTGGTGTCGGAACCCCTTGACCGTTAGAAACTGGCCTTGGTTAGTAGGCTGGAGCGAAGGAAGTGCCATAGCCATTTCTGACAGGCTACACACACTCTTGGGCTTTGTTTCCACAGCCTGTTGAGCCGGGGCCAACGCAGGCCTGGATGCTGCTGGCTGGGCTGACACAGGCCTGGGTCTGGCTACCGCAGGTATGGATGCCACTGGCTGAGTAGACACGAGTCTGGGAGCCACGGGGGGAAGGGCCATGGATTTGGCCGCGGCCTTTGAAGCCGAACCAGAAGGCGCCCAAATCGAGTCTTCAATGCCCTTGGGAGGGCCAAGCTTGGAGCCAGAGTAAGTGCCAATGGTGGCGGCGAAGGATGGCTTCTCCTGGTTGGCGATGGATGCTTCCAACGGCTCAGGCTTGTTGGCCTCCACAAAATGGGGAGCCTTTGGCTTTGCCTGGAACTTCTTCTTGTTCCTAGGCTTGTTGCCACCAGGAGCCGCAACTGGCGCCTGTCCTGTGGGCTTGCCCGGGTTAGTAGGCTGTTGAAGAGCAAGAGGGGGATTTGAGTCCCGGCCTTAGACTGCTTGTGACTGGACCAAACCTGGAACCGGAAGAAGTACCAACAGTCGTCGTGAAGGATGGGATATACTGTGGAATCTTAGAGTTCAGAGTGCATTACAAGAAAAGGGCACGATCGATCAAGAAGGCGAGGCATGAGAGGTAAGGCGTGATGGGATGTCTTGAGGTATCAAAGCAACCACCCAGAAGCCAATCGTCATTTCATGTTCATCCTTCTACCCCATTGCCCCAGAACCGTAGCGCTCTCCATCCTTCGTCCAGAGTTACCATGACAGGGCTACATACTTGTCCATGATCCCCACAGCCTGCCCCATGCGGATCAATGGCGTTGACGACATTGTCTCCTTTCTCGTAGACCTCGCTAAGGCAAAACCATGTATACAGCCTTGCTTGCCCCTGGAAACGATGGAGGTTGTCGCGATGCTCCTCCTTTGCCAGTGAAGCTGCCAGTACTGCCACTGTCGAGGCTGGCATATCATGGGCTTTGACGACACGGAGGCCCTCGGCCTTCTGTGCGAGTACCAGAAAAGCATTGGACAGGTTAAACTGCTGAGAAGACTCGTTGGATGGCATCTCTCCCCCTTGGGACTCCACCCATCCCTTCGCCATGGCCTTGACCTCGTCGGTGCTGGCCAGAGTGGCAAACGTAGCCGACCACTTGTCTTGAGGGTTCTCCTCCGGCAGACCCCAAGGCCACACGGGGATATTCGGGGCCATATGACGACAGACTAATGGCATGGTTAGCGGAACTATGAATACGAAGAGGGATTTGAACTTACGCCAAACGTTCCAATAGACACAGTCAACACAGTACTCGAAGAAGTCCTCCCTCAACCTGGTCGTGCCGCCCGCGATTTTTCGCGCAACGACTATCTTCTCTGCCCGTCGGCGGAGAGCCCTCTCGTATTCCCCTGCCTCATGAAGCTCACTGCATGGCAGGAGCCAGTTCAGGTATGCGTCAATGTATTGACGCCTCGTCTCGATGGTTGGGCTGTCGCCAACCCATGGCACCGTAAAGTCACCAGGGAAGAACATGGAGAGCCGGGCTCTGTGCTCCAAGTCGGGGGGGCTTTGTTCCCTTTCTGGAGCCATTGTTGTTGTTGATGATGAGGGAGAAAAGAAAGAAAAACGCAGGCTGCATTGTAAGGATTTGGTTTTATCATTCTCCTTTTCGGGTATGTGAATCACTGTCGCAAAGGTTCAAGGCCCCTGCGCTGTGATTCACTGTCAACAACCGTTTATATAATACCCCTCTCTCCCTCCCGTTCTCTCTTCCTTTCTTCCTCATCCACACACACACACACACACACACACATCCAAGTACGAGGCTAAGCCTTCAGGTTTTCTTTTTTTTCTTAGGTACTAACAAGAGCTTAGATGGATTCCAAGACCAACGAGACATACGATCGCGAGTTCCCGCCTTTGGGAACAGAACCCAAAGATGGCCAAGGCCCACGTCGACGTTGGCGGCCGCCCATGAAGAAGCGCCTCACCCAAAAGAGGTTCAAAGACCTGGCCAAGGAGCTTCGTGCAGACCGAGACACTCTGGACTCGACAGACCTGGATTTCTTCGTACCTTAGATTAGTGATGGCCGATTTCACACTTCTTCAAGGTACGTGATAATCTATTGGCCGAGTGCTGGATCAGTCTAACATTTCTCAGAGAATACAGAAAACATGGACAAGATAGTCTAGATAACGTTGCCCATAGACCAGTTTGGCCAAGGGGCCTTATCTCAATGGAAATGCCAGGAAATTGCTTGCTCGCCGCCATCAATAAGCCCACCTTGCCCTCAAACTTGACTTGGAGTGATTGTGTACCGAAGTGATCTGTGGCAATTGGTAGTCACTCACTGTAGACCGTGTTTCCTACGGGCTCGAAACTTAGTCTACTTATGAGGCAGAAGCTGAGGAGGGCCTACTTTGAGCAGCATTACTTTCCCCCTGGGCTTCCAGCCACCTATACCGCTTCAGTGCTTGCCAGTGTCAAACGGCTGGCAAAGCCAGTTGTCCGTCAAACGCGCCACACTCGCGAAACAGTGAATCACCGCCCCGATTTTTAGATAAACAGCTGTTCCTGCGTGAGACTTGTGCAAAACCGAAAAAAAGGTCTTCCTCACATCAACCTCGTCAACATCACAGCAGCAGCAGCAACACCCCCAACAACAACAACAACAACGAACAACAACACCAACAGCGACACCGAAAACAACAACATGGTCCGTGGAGGATCAAACCGCGATGGCAGCTGCCATCATTACGGCCCGACGAATACAGGGCAAGGCTACGGCTCTGGTAACCCTGGGCCTCCGCAGAGCGACGGGGACTTGAGTTCCTTATTCGACACTCCCCCACCTACTGCTCCATCTAATGATGGCAGAGGTGGTCGGGGACGAAGAAGAGGAAGAGGCCGAGGGAGAGGAGGAGGAAGCAGCGGAGGTGTTCGAGGCGGTCGAGGTGGTGGAAGTTTTCATGGGTCTACGCAAACACCCCCGGCCCCCGTGGCTCCCATTGCCCAAGGGCAACAGAGCACCGGGAACATGAGCTTGGCACCTTTGAATGCCGGGGGGTATCAGTTCGGGGGCCTGACCCTACTGTGGCCCCCTCCAGACAGTACCCATGGCTATTCTCCTGCTGTCGAAGCATCTCAAGGCTCTGGACATGGTCAACAGGCCCAAAACTTTCGGGGCCAGGACGAAAGACTCCAAGTGGTCGAAGAGCTGGGCGTCAAGACCCAACCCGCGGAGACCCCTGGTCAGGTTGACTTGTCGTTGTCCAACGCCAGCAAACGGGGTGGGGCTCAGGAGAACATCGTCTCAAAGGTGTCCTTCACGCCAGGCGCTGTTGTCAGTTACTCCAACGCGAGGGACGCGAAGCGGGCGATCGACGAGATTGCCGGCCACGACGACGACAATACGGCGGTCAACCTTACGATATGGCTTCAGCCCAAAAAGCGCAGGATTGAAAAGGACACCAAACTGACAGTCAGCCAGTGGGTGGCCCTGAGTTGCAATGACATGGGAATTGAAGTTCCCGAAGGTGATGTCCCTGAAGTGGACGCCGAGACGGTCGATGCGGCCGATGCAGAGGGAATTGCAAAGTGCCCAAACTGCAAAGTGGAGGGCCATGGCATCGTCGAGTGTATGATGCCTCGCAGAGATGGCTACGTGCATGGGTGCATTCACTGCAGCACCGCAGAGCACCAGACGGCCAAGTGCGACAAACACCCTCGGGACACGGCGAAGTTGGTCGACTTGCTTGTCAAGCAGCGGCCAAACATGCCACCCCTGAAGGCTACTCCCTGGTACCCCGCCCTTCACGAGTACATGGAGGTGGCGAGCCTGGAGGCCATCGAGAGCTTTCCTTGGCGCGCCCAATTCGGTATTGAGGTCATCCAGGATCCTCTCCTTCGCCGACGGGCAGTGGAATCGATAGAGAAGGGTCGGGATTTCAGGCCTGTCGACCCCAAGATGACTGACTGGGTCACGATCAGGGAGCGTGATGGCAAGCCCAAGAGCGCAATGGATGGCTTCCCAAAGCTGGGAACGCAGCCCCAAGGTGGCAAGGGCCCATCTCAAAAGTGGTCGAAGCGACAGCCGCCCTTGTCTCAAAAGTGGCGGAAGGCTATGATCAAGCATGGTCAAGCGGACCCCAACAACCTTCCGTGCGGGGACGGCTTTCAGTTCGTACCAGGGGTTTGAAGGTATGGTGATAATCTTTTGGCCGAGTGCAGGATTAGTCTAACATGTGTCAGGCAAGCAAGAAACATCGCCGAGAGCCAGGCCACGGCCAAGGTCAAGAACTTGCGTAATTTCCACCGATGGAGACGCCTTCCCCGAACCCCGAGAGCCAGGCCGCCATCGAGGCCAAAGAGAAAAGCATGGCGACACCTCCTGTGATGGAGACGCCTTCCCTGAACCCCGAGAGACAGGCCATCATCAAGGCCAAAGAACAAAGCATGGCGATACCTCCTCTGATGGAGACGCCTCTCCCGACCTGTGAGGTACTTGGGGTAGTTTAGACTGGATGGCCCATTGGGACAGACTGGCCCAGGAGCCCTTTGTTATTTAATAAACTGTCAGAGAATTGTCTGCTCGCCATCAAAAACCTTGCCTTGCCCTTCAACTTGCCTCGGTGAACCGTAACAATTGAGAGCCACTCATCGTACCACGTTAATTACGCATTGTGCGAAGGGACGAATAAAATCTCAACGTGTTTGTACTACTCTACGAAACCCTTGGCTGGAAAGTTTCAAGTTGTCATTCGCCTCTTGGCTTGGTTGGAACGGTACGAAATCTCCCCAATTGAAGCAGCTGAAGAGGTTGCCGTTCGTGAAGGGAGGTGTCTGGGGTACGTACCCATCGCAGGGAGACCCATGTCCAAGGAGCCACGCACAGGACAATTCACAGCTGACACTTAGGTAGACGTGGTAGACACTTGGGCTACTTGGCACACCACAATAAGAGTCACGGCAACGTGAGGCACAAAGCCGTCTGGTGTGCTCGCATCCAGCTCGCCCACATCCGTGCCATCGACGAAACCTCCCGCTCCAGCGAGGCACGGCAATAATCCATCCAACACCAGTGTCATTCGCCAGCCTTGACTTTCCGTTCTGCTGAGAGAGCTTCTCCATCTGTAACAAAGATTTTGAACTGTAAGTGACGCTAGGATCCTTCCAAGTGTGCGGCAAGGTTGACGACTAATGTTCATTGAGGTCTAGACCAAAACGCCGTTGATCGACAAGAACGATGACTCCTTCCCTTCAACGAGAAGCCACACTCTCCACCGATAACCCGATGCCCAGTCAAACCTCCGCCTCGATGCTACGCCGCTGTACCAACCCGACCGCCCGGGGAAGGCTTATTCCACACCTACGATACCACCTTACCCCTGCAAGCGAAGATGGACTATCGGTGATTGCCATGTGGCCCTGAGACAAGTCTCGTACCTTATTTCAACGACATTTGTCCGCTCTCGCCCGTGACTCCATTGTGTACCTGTTCAGCCACCCTGGTGTCATTGGCCGAACATGATGTGTCTCTTTGTACGACCTTGTTTTGCTTCAGTTGTTCTCCAATTAGACGACGAGGTATTGCTGGAAGCAGGGCACGAAGTGGCCTCACTCTCGCTGGCAGGGGGCGTAATCCCCGTTCCACATGCAAGTGCAATATGGGAACTTGTAGCAAACTGCTTTCTTGGGCCGTGTGCGTCGAGGTTCAAGATTGGGAATGTCTCTCGGTAGACTTTGGAGCAGAGCGGAATCTGGGTCTTGCGTGTCGGTGTCGCCCGAATTGATCAATGGCGATGAGTGATGAGTCTTGGGGGTGGCAACATCATCGATCGAGAGGAGTCCGCTCTGTATTTCTCCCTCTTCCTCTTCGCCTCCGAGGCCCAAGCCAGACCTGGATAAGTAAGGGTCCTGGGTAGCTCCTCCTCCACTGAGCGAGTTTCCTTCTCGCTCCCGCCGTGCCTTGGCTCTTTGGACATTAAGCCAACAGTTTCTGTAGAGTGTCTTGAGTTCTGCAATTCCGGAAGGGTAGACTGGACCTATGTGGGTGCCTTGAAACACCTGGTAATGAACCTCGCACCTGATCTTCATGCCCCCTTGACCAAGACCATCCAGAGCGTCGATGAGGACGGTGAGGTCTGCGGTCGAAACAACGTATGGGTCTGAAGCAGCACGAGTAAGTCGTGCGGATGAACCCGTCATTCTCCATATGGCAGACAATAGATCTGCCTCGGGCGATGACCAGCCTCCTTGCTCTCGAATGTTGTGTTGATGCTCTTGATGGTGTATACCAAAGGGCTTGTCGTTGGCGTCTGGGTCAAGGCTAGTGCCAACCCATTTCAGTAACTCAATGTCTGACTGTGGAGGAGGGTGGCGATCGTCGGTACGACAGATGACAACCCATTTGATGGCGAAGAGCATGAATGAGTGTGGCTTCTTGCCTTTCCACATGGGATGTGCCATGAGAACGCTGAGCTTTCGGCAAAAGTCTGAAGACCAGAGCGGGGTTGTTGCCTGCACTTCATCATGGTCAATCTGGGGGTTGTCAAACTCGAGGTTTTGAATCGAGAATAGGGTGAGGGGATCTGCTCGGAAAAGGCGCAAGCAGTTGTCGAAGAGTGTACAAAGTGCCTGTCCATCATTCGCATTCAGATTCTCCAAGGCATTCATCAAGGCCAGGCCACACCCCTGAGAACCCAAGTTGAGCTCGTCGCTGGCCGTCCAGATGTCATCAAATATGGGAATAGAACACCCCGGGCGGCCGGGTCTTTCGTACCAATCTTTGCTCGTGCCACGTCGATCTTTGCTGTAGTAGACTTCGGCGTCTCGCATACTCCGGTGCCAGTCCTTATTGAGTTCTTTCCACGCCGACTTCTCGGGGGAGGTTGTGGGCTGCCAGTGAGAAAGATTCTCCCTGTCTTGTGCTGCCTGAGTGTTCATGATAGGCGCATGTTCATTGCCGTCGCGGTCATCTGGTGTGCTGCCGTTTTGATGGGGCGCCATCTCTGAAGGACCTCGCGAACTATCCTCCCCGCGCCCTCTTTTGCGCCCTCGTGGGCGGCTGCCGGCAAGGTCCATATCTCTTGTGGTAACAACGTCAGTATCACTGGGATCTGTCGCATGATGTCCATACCGTCCGCTAGAATCCTCGGTCTGTCTGCCTTCTTGGGACTGGGTGATGCGTGGCCTAGATCTAGGCGCGCCTCTTCGACCTTGCGGTGCCATCGTTACTCAAACGTATGATGCTACGGGATCTGGTGTGAAAGAAAGGAAAGGCCGATGAGTTTCTGCTTGCGAGCATGCGAGGAGTGAAGTAGAGATGGCTGTTTGCATTGGTTGTCACCGCATACCAAAGAGCTGCCTGGCGCATTTCTGCAAACACACAACAGTTAACCAGTAATTCACGCTTTTGATAGTGGACCATCCTTTCTCAGCAGACTGGCCCAGTCACTCGTTTCCCGTGAGCTAGGCCAAACAGCCAGTAGTGAAGCGACTAACAACCACAACTCATTCATGTTCTCGGCGAGCTTGTCAAGTGAAACTTTTGCGGCCGGGACAAAGACTTGGATCCATTTTCTTCATCAACCCCCCACCCTTTCAATTGTTCAAACAGAGTAGAGAGGCAGTGAACAAAGGGAACGGGAAGAGATGACCTGCAACTTACCATTTGGACTCGGAGAAGAAGGGCGATTCATCTATGATGAAGTGCAGCCCTAGATGGAATGGGCATATAACACCAGAGATAACAAGGCTTCATACCCCTCTGCTCTGCCGTTCTGCAATATCCAGCTACGGAGGTAGACTGTAAGTGGTGCTTTTGGGTTGATTCGGCTTGTTTTTCAACGGCGACACTGCCTAACGTAGACCAATCGCTGTCAGGTCGTTTCTCCCAGTGTGGATGAGCTACAGGCACTCTTCTGAGGCCATCGAAAGGGGGATGTGGTGGTGATCCTCCTTATCTTCCTGATTCGTCATCTCTCGTCGCAACACTGGAGCTTGCTATGTTGACCCATTTGGAGTTTTAGGGGGTGCTGTCGCTTCTTCACGTGGGGGTCGCTTGTGTTACACGCCACTAACAGCCACAACAGCTATCATCTCAGTTCGGGCGTTGGACAATGGCTTGCGTAGACAGGGGGTGAAGGCTGGCTTGTGAGCTGTCATTTGTAGATCTCTATCCCATCAGCTCCTCTCACCCAACGTCAGATCAAACGACGCAAGCCCTTCAGCTTCTCTTCAGCTTCTCCGCGAAAAACTGCAGGGAGACTCGAACGAGAATGCCGCTGCTCATCTCCCCCGTTCTAGATTATATCCCGTTGGCCAGTGCCTAAGCGGCGGCGTTGGTTAACCGTCGCCGTCCCCGCATCTCAGCTGGATCGTGGCTTGGCGCTAAATTTGAGGTTGTACAGAAACGCCCCCGTCCGCTAGGCTATCTTGCTCAGGACTTGGGTTGTGTTGTACATGCTGGACCTGGAATCCCTGTTCCCTCGTGGCCAAGAGCAATGTGTAAAAGTAACTCTAATTTACTGCTGCTGAAGGTGGGGGCAACATTACACTTCTAATTAGGAGATGCTATGGAAGCCTTTGTAGATGCCACAAGTCCTTACGCTGGCCGGCAGGGGCTTTTACCACCCCATGCACCGCCATTGTTATCGAGCGCCCAGAACATGGCGCCTCCCAAGCACAATCCATCAGCCCATGACAGCTTCAGTGCCAACGTATCAGCGTCGTCATAGCCTATCCACTGATCTCCCCAGGTCGCATGCTTCTGCATGGAGGTGCTGTTAAGCGCAACGGTGGCTTTGTTGGCCGATATGGCCGTCTTGATATCACTCAGTACCATGACGCCTGTTGGATCTTTGACGCAAGAACCCTCTTCGCTGGGCCCCGACGCCTCACAGCCAACGGTTTTGCAATCAGAAGAGGAGAGGGTATACCCACGGCCGTACAAGGGGATACCGAGGTTGATGAGTGCCGGGTCGGTCTGGTTCGCCCACAGTGGCATAAGATCGTTGGCGATATCAAGTATGCTGGCCTGGTCCGTCACAACCTTCTGTGCCGCGCCGGAGTCAACCCCCCAACCGTGCAAATCGTAGGCCATGAAGTTAAGGAAGTCGACATATTTGGCCATACCGGCAGCGTTGAAGCCCTGGATGCTACCCCAGTCCGCTGGAATTGCCGCTGAGATGCCGTAATCTTTTCCAAAGGCGGCTCGGAGCTCCCGGACGAGGGAGACAAGGTTATCTGCGTCGGCGGTCGAGGGGAATTCCCAGTCCAGGTCGACACCTTGGAAGGAATAGGTCTCCGAGAAGGACTTGAGAGACGAGATGAAGGCGGATCGGGAGCTCGATGTAGCCACCATGGAAGACCAAGATTCGACAGAGAAACCGCCGCCACCTATGGCAATCCACGTCTTCAGTGAGCTGCTCTGCAAAGCGGTGAACTGCTCATAGAAGGGCACGTCTTTGGGGTCTGAAGCGGCCACTGCGAAACTGTCCGAGTCGAAATGGGCAAACGCCAAGATAAGATGGGTTAACCCGTTGGTTTGGATCTGGGAGGGAAGGACGACATCGCAAGAACGGTCCCATGCTTGCTGTACGCGCCAGTATCCTACTCGGCGTCCGTTGGTCGCCGTCTTACCGTCAGTAGAGCAAGAAGGGACTGTAGGTACAGAGCAGCTCCCGAACTCTGACTGGCAGCCATCTCCGCAGTAGATACTCGATGTTCCGCAGAATCCCGCCGAAGAACAACAAACGTTCAAGGGGCAGCGGGCTCCATCGTTCTCAGGACCACACTGGGCGAGGGCGGGATTGAGAAGACCAAGAATTACGGCCAGACGACCGACGGTATAAGTGAAAGAACCGAACATGATCGAATATACTTGAATAATACCAGGAAATCCGGGTACTAGTCACGAATTCCAGCCCCTTGGGCTTATTATACGTTCCGTACCTCATAACCCCAGTCTTTACGTCGGAGACATTTGAGGGTCGGAAAGCCTAACCCCCAACAATGCTCATTTCCACATTTAAAATAACAATGCCACCAAGACCTCGACTTGTTTCATTTGACGCGGGCCTGCTTACTTAGTTCGCCGAACCAAAAGAAACGCGTACGGCGATCGCTACCGATAGAGACACTGCCGCGCTGAGCGGTCAACTCAGCCTTGGGGGCCAAAAAGCAACCAGACATCACTTGCTCTGATTGGTTGTCGAGGAGCCAACTCAGCCTTAATGATCTTTCTACGCCGCAAGCATGCTTTAACCTTCCAGGGGCACGGAAGAAGTACCCAGCTGGACTACGACTTGCCATGCAATTGGTCTCTAGCAGGGCTCCTGAGAGAAGATCCAGGCCTTTTGCATCTCGGTTAATATTACTCGCGCTTACACGAGTCTCCATTGTCAGATCAGCGTTAAAAATACATCCGTTCTTGGCTTAGTCGGCTAAGCAAGCCAAGCCAGACACAGCATGGTGCGACTGTCAGCGTTACAACGCCACTTGGACTTCGTGTCTGCCATCTTATCAATTAGCTGACTTGAAGCTGGCATTTCGCCTTGAAGGATTCAGCAAAGGTACTCATTTATAGGAATGGAAGGGCTGATTGTAAATAGATGCCGGATGGACGGTCATCGGGCCGCGGTGACAACTTCAACCTAGCCAGTTGTCCGGACCGCCACCCGCCCCAGCCGCTTATGTCCCCCTGGGGCTAGGGACGGGTTGGAGTGGAGCAGGACGATCAGACAAATTACCCTCGGCGCTTCTACTAGGGTGGTTTTTGAAGAGTGAGCCCCTCATAAAGGCATTGTCCCCTGCTAGGACGCCGAAGGATCTTGGTCTGAACGTCTCTGGGGCTTCTCCTGCGTCGTTTTCCAGTACCAAACACGCGACTCATCGCCATGGAGTTTTCACTGCTGTTCCTGTGTATATTCTCTTTAGCGTTGGCGTCGTTTCCCCACGACTTTGGATTGTAAGCTCATTGATCCTGTACCCGAATTACCCCTGACCGTGAACAGCTCATCCCCTCTCATCCTACCGCGCGCAACAAACCCCACTAGCAAAGACGGCAACTGTGGTTCTAATTCAGAGACTAACGCGACATGCCTCACCTCCACTTTTGGCAACTGCTGCTCTGAGAAAGGTTTCTGCGGTAAGACTTCAGCATACTGCGCCGAGGGATGTCAAGATGCGTTTGGCACCTGCTCGTCGATGCCTGATGGGCAGCTTGTGAGCACTTCGGGATCATGTGGTGCGACTTCCACAAGCAATGTCACATGTCAAGGGAGCACGTATGGAAACTGCTGCTCTGAGTTGGGGTACTGTGGCAAGAATTCGACTTATTGTGGTGACGGGTGAGTGCGATCTTAGTCCGAGAAGAGCTGGAATTGCTCTATCGGCTCCTCAAACCTCTTCTAGACGCCGCTGACATTGGGGTTAAACAGGTGCCAAAGCGAGTTCGGTACTTGTTCATCATCCGATGACGAGTCCTCCACGACCACCGCAGAAAGTGACAAGACTTCTACCTCGACGGCGGCCTCATCCACGAGTTCTGGTGCTATTTCGATTGACGGAAACTGCGGATCTAATTCGGATATCAACGCTATCTGCAAAGGCAGCGAGTTTGGCGATTGCTGCTCGGGATTGGGGTACTGCGGCGGGAACTCGAGTAAGTAAACTCGCGCAAGAGGCGTATCTCTTACACAATCCAAATGCTGACTCGGCTCTCTAGGCTATTGTGACACGGGCTGCCAATCCGAATTCGGTTCCTGCTATTCGACAAGCTCGTCGACAAGCTCATCAACAGGCCCGTCAACGACCGCATCGACAGACTCGTCAACAACCTCGTCGGCAGCCTCATCGACAGGCTCCTCCCTCAGCACCGGCGCCAAGGCCGGAATCGCGGTCGGATCTATCATCGGTGGGCTTGGAGCTATAGGGCTTCTCGCTTGGCTTTTGATACGAAGAAAAAATGCCAAAAAGCCGTCGTCGCTGGAAAAGATGGATAGCGGTGCGGGGATACATAATGACGGGGCGAGATATGAGATGCATGAGCAGCCCCTTGTTGAGTTGCCTGCTGGTTATGACAGGGAACAAGACATGAAGAGGGTTGACGATCGGGCTGCGGCAGGGTATGATGGAGCATACAGGGGGCATTAAATTCTGGTTCTGGGTTGTAGGCTGGCTCTATATAATGTAATCGCTCATAATATGGGTGTGACTCTGGTGACGCGACTCGAATCGCCATAAGATTGAGATTGGCTCCTACACAGATAAGAATTGGCCCGTGCGCTCTCGGGCCGACCCTGAACTTTGGCAATTCCCAAGTTAAACAAGAACGGAAAAGTCCTGGTTTAAGGAATACCTCCTGATCACGCCGCAAATTCGCTCCATCAAGAGAAGATTCACTCCCTTAGGACTGGCTACCCACGTCGCTACTACCACAATCGCCGTCTCAGACCAATCCGTGTATGGCTCTCGGACGGGCGTAGAGCAAACTATGCCCTATTTAATTAAGATCTGGGGAAGTGGTTGTCTTCCCCTCAACCAAACCCTCTAACCTCCTCCCCCCACAATAACATCGCAAGTAGGGAGCCAGGCCTTTAGCTTTTCTTATTACTCATAAGTAGCTAGATTCTGGTGGAATAGCATCGAAAGTATCCTTCAAGAGTGCGAAGCCTGCTGACGTGACTGCCTGACACGACCGCCCGATGCGACTGCCCCACTAATCCCGATAGCGACCGATCCCGACATTCGCCGGCCCCACTGAAAACGGAGGCATCCCGATCGCGGCCCGGCCGTCCTCGCCACCGTCCTTATCGGTGCCCGCATTGGCTCGCGATGCGCCATTACATAGCAATGTGGCGTTTCTTTACATGGTCCGCAGCGGCCTCATGCCGCCATCAGCACGACAGGCCAAGATCATTATGATGCACTATCAGATGACTTGGCGAGCTAGGGTCGACCTGTTCGTAGGGCTTGACCAAGTCCTTTGAGTTGACAAGGCCGATGACTCGGAGACAGCCTTAAAGAAGGCATGGAATGTGATGGATGTGCTATGTGGGGGGAATAGATGGGCATGTGGTATCAGGGCAAGGTTGAGAAACAGATCCTTGTTAGGGTTCGGGCCTTGTTGGCGCTTTGCACAGTAATCTCATACCTCCTCGTCCCTCCAGTCTCAGGGCCTTGTTGGTGCTTTGTTTAATAGTCCCACGCCGTCCAATTTCGGCCTCATTGGGGTTTCGGGCCATAATTATGTGCTTAGAGAAGACACCACGTCGACCTGATTGCGCTGGGTATTGCCGACGCACCGCGAGCCTATGCGGGCAACCACGAAGAAGGTGGCGAGGACAATGGTCGCGGTAGTGACAGCGAGGGCGAGGGCCTTGAGTCGTTTAGCCTCACTGTTCATCTGAACAGGTTCGCGTTCAGCGAAAGAGAGGACGGCCATAAGCCACTGGTCCTTCAGGTGAGGTTAGAGGGAAATCGGGGCGCTTGTAATTAGGAAATTCTTAAGGCGATCCTCTCTCGATTCTAAATTATTTAATTTGATGGCAATTATTTGAACTCTCTGGTACCTCCTTTGTGAGCAAGCGATATGTTCGGGCCGCCCTTCTCTAGTCGTTGTTCAGGATAGAACCTAGCCCCGAAACTCCGTAATAACAACACGAAGGAAAGCAAGAGATGGTGCTTTTGGATTCATCATTGATGAGAGGAAGAGTTTTAGTCACCTGTGATAGCTATCTACCCATAAACAGCCCCCAATTGGAGGCGTCGAGGTCACTAAGTTGGAATCCCATTCTCCCTGGTAACTACCTGCCTATGTCCACGCGTCACCACTTGGCTCTATCGTCCGCTCTAAGACAAGTTCCCCCACGGATTTGGTAGTGTCGAAGAAGCGTTGAACTTTGTAAAGGAGGATTTGACCGTCGGTGCGAGCGTGGGCGGATGCTTCCGTGCTGGGGAGTCTACGAACAAGGCGTGTTAGATGATGAAGAAGCCAGTAGAGTCGCCGTGACAGGAGGTTAGGGCTACAACATACCGGAGTCGAGCCCTGGAATCAAGGCAATTTCTTGTACTCGACACGTCGGCCCCCCATCAAAGGGCCCCAGTTGATGGCAGGCCTGCGTGGTTCACGTAGGTACCTGAGCAAGCTGCCGTCGCCCTTGACCGGAAAACGGAACTTGGTGATGTCCTTTTCTCCTTCGGGCTGGCGCCAAGACTCATTTTTAGTCTTGGATTGTTCATCGGTGGCTTCGGGCTCGGTTGGGGAACGAGAAAGGTCCTGTTGCAGGTTGGGTTCTTGGTCCCCAACTATCTTCAACTGCGAGGGGGAGACGTTGCCGGAAACTGGGGATACACCATCCGAGGGGATGGTCTCTGGCTGGGCTTGGTCATTCTCGTCATCCTCTGAGACGCTGTCTGCTTGAGGAGGTGCTATTTCTGGAGAGGCTCGTGGGCGCCCTCGTCTTCGTCGGCGTCGGCGGCGGCGTCCTTGAATGCGGCTTTGGCCATTTCCCATCTGGCCATCACTAAAACGGCCAGTATCATTGTAATTTGGCTCAGGATATCCATACCATTTGCCAGAGTCGTCGGCCTGTCTCTGTGCATGGGACTGTTTGATGCTTGAAGAGTCGGGCTCTTCTTGCGGGCGCTCTGGCAAGGCCGCATCCAACTTAAGCGGGCTCTTCGTGTTTGCCATCGTAGTCTCGGGGCCTCCAAGATGCGATCTTGCGATTTGGTGCAAGGGAAAAGAGAGGATGAGGAGCGTCTTCGTGCATGCGAAGAGTGAAGTGGAGATGAGTTTGCACTGGCTACCGCCGAGCACCCGCGAGCTCCCAACAAGGTGGATTGCTGCCAACATCGTCTGTGAATCACCGACTCTTTGGTAGACAGTGAATCACAGCTATCCACTGGGTCAGTGCGGCCATCCCGTTTCTCGCAGGCTGGCACAAACAGGGACCAGACAAACAACAGTCGTCTGCCATCACCGAGACACAACCGACTTCTCAGCAAATTTGTTTTCCCGAGTTTGAGGGCAGCTCAGGCATTGCGCGGCGAGCAACAAACAGTGAGTTTTCTTTCGTGCTTGCCAGTCCCTCGCATGTTCGCCTTTGCTTTCCTCTACACCGTTCGAGCCCCAACTTCAAACAGTTAGCCGTCCCTTGTTTCTCGCGCGTGATCTTTGGCGTGCTGATGTGCAGGTGTCTCAGTTCTTTGATGCTATGTCACTTCCATGCAATGCTGTATTGTTATTGGGGTTGGCACATCCCGCACAATCAAGTCTTGTGTTCGCACAAAGCTTTGATGGCACGGAAACAAAGACTCAGGTAGGTTTTCATCTTTGCCGCATCTTTCAAAGGTCCAGCCAACAAAGAGAACAAACAGGTACAAATATGCGTACTATGCACGCTTCCGTCGGCTCTATGCTTGAAGGCGACATATCGGCACGTGTTTGAGAGAGGAGGAACAGATACAGAGGGAGGTTGTCCTGCAGGAACGCGGTGCGATTCTTGGACGTTTGGTTTAGTAGCAGAACTGGCCGGGGAGGGACACGCACTCACCTACGGATCTGGTGATTCCAGTTCAACTAGTTCGGTTCCAAGTCGATTCATACCTCGGTGTCCTCCCCTTTTGGATCTCTCGGGGGAAGAGTGTGTGCCCATGTTCCCTTTCCAGAGTTCATTCTGATTGAAATCTTAGGCTTCACCCCTGCTCACCCACAGCTTGTAGCTTTCGAAAGTGTCCTGGTCTCTCAGGTGCCCAATACTTGGCTCTCCAGGGAGCTCTGTTCTCCCCAATAATGATACTGTGGTCTTCAAAGCAGCTCTTGCTAGAAAGGCCCTTGTTGGCTCGTTCATTAGGATTTGAAAGATTCTTTGTCTGTGTCCAACATGGCTAATCACTGTTCAGCTAAACTCCGAAAAGACTTAACGTCTCCTCCTAGGTTAGTCTCAGTTATTGGAAGCTCAACGTCCATGATTGATCGGGTGTAGGTAGTATAGACCTTTACTGCAGAACGAACGCTTCTGGTGAACTCCACCTATTTGTGCACAAGCTTTATGAGGCGATGTTATGCAAGCATGATCTTGCTTTGGCCAGTATGCGTCCGGTCCCTTCCTGGCACTTGCACATATAATACTTGTCAACTCATTATCTGGCCTTTTTTCCACCACTGGCTTTGGTTCTAACTTATTGGCCAGCCCGATCACCTTACTGAAACTACATGGCGCCACAGGGTAACCGTCGGCGCAATGTCCCTGACAAAACTTGAGTCTCCATTGAGATAGTGGCATATTGTGAAAAGTTGTTCTACGGGTTCAATTCGGACTTCACCGGCACAGTTGATGGTTTGCGATCAATGTCTTGGTAAGCTATTTACAGGAAGTGGTAGTTCAGAAGGTACAAAAGTCTATCATCATGGCCAAGACTGATATCCCGCAATGTCTTAGTTGACGGAGATGGTGTAGGCAGAGGTCTTGAGGACAGCGTTGGTACCTAAAACTGTCAGTAATTGAACATCAATCATGATATGGAAGCATCACTCACCCTCGAAAGGCTCGGTACCGGCCTGGAAGCTGGTGGCAACGTAGCTGCTGGGAACACCCTGCTTGCTGGTCAGGTAGTTGAGGAACTCCTTGAGATCAGCCTGGAAGTTGCCCTGGTTGCTGGAGGCGACGAAAGAGATGACGGTGACGTCGCCGTTGGGGCCCTTGTAGACATCCCACGGGATACCAGCGAGGGTAGGGCGGTCAATAACACCCTTGCCGGGTGTGGAGATGGGGAGAGCGCCACCGTAGGCACCGACCCAGATCATGATCTCGTAGGCGTTCTTGGAGGACGCGGTGGGGGCGAACCAGAGATCGTAGGAGACGTTGGCGATCATCTTGGTTCCGGTGTATCTAGCTAGTTAGACAAGGACAAGGGTGAGGAGACAGGGCTTCTTACCGCCAGATCCAGCGGGTGGAAACCGACTTGATGTCGGAGATCTTCTTGTTGATCTTCTCAAGAGCCACGTTGGAGTAGGACTTGACCTTGCCGGGGCCACCAGCCCAGGTCCAGCTGGTGGACCACACAAAGTTGTTGTTGCTGACCGAGGTGAAAGTGGTGCACTGGGAACCAGAGGTGGCATCGCCCTTGCCCCAGTTGTTGTGGTAGACGGTGTATCCAGAGGTGGCCAGAGAGCCAAAAGCGTCACACCAGGTGGTGTCTCGCTTCTCGATAGTCTCAGTAGGAGTGGTGGGAGTGGCCACAGCCGTGGCGGCAAGGAAGGCCGAAACAACACCAAAGAACTTCATGATGACGATTTTGAAAGTGAGACTATTGAGATGAGATGAAGTTGAAACTGGTGATGAACAAAACCAACAGAACTTGGCATTAACTGAATACTTATATAGGCCAGATGATCTGCCGTCTCTGATAGAGTAAAGTCCTAGTCCGTTAATATCCGGGCTCCTGAGATTGGCCCGTGTGTTGTACCTGAAACCCCTGGCTCGGCCAAGAAAGTCGTATGCGGCAATGGGCCGTTTACGGGGCCCCATCAAGTGCCGACAAAACCGAACCACATCAGGCTAAAACGGGATATTCCACCAATGGTGTAATTCGCCCTAGGGCCCGTTTGTTTAGAGTTGCATTCCCGGGAGTTCTCCCAGCAATAGGGACGGGCCCTGGGTCTGGCCTCGTGGCGTGAGATGGGCCTATGGGAGGTTGGATGCTTTACCCTAGCTCGATTGAGCAGGTTCTCGGAGGGGATTGTTCGTTTCTAAAAGAGGAAGTTGACCATCGACGAGCTATTCCCTTTGAGCGTGAAGAAGAAGGGTTCTTGCGCCAGTGTCGGTTAGATCAGTAGAGTAGAGTTTACTATCAGACGTAAGGTTTTCGTATAGGACGGTCAACCTGCATATATTGAAGTGTATTCTCTCGGGAACTCCGTTATCCCTGTACTGTTTCGCGGCTCTGAACAGGGTTGATCCATCGCCTTGCGGCCGTTCAGCTGGCTGTGCATTATCCATGAACAGCTGATGTTCGCATCAAGTAATCAAGGTACCCTATTGTCACGTCGCTCTTGTCGCTCTGTTGTCTTTGTATTGGTTTGTCCTGTTTGAATTTGTCATGCTGTTCGGTGTACATCAGCTCTGGGCAAGCCGTGTGAAAGATGGACCACGTAAGTGCTTGACACTTGAAAGACATAACCAAGCACAATTGAATAACTCTTTGTGCAGGTTGTGAATTAACTGAAGGAATCTGCGTCGATTGTTCATACTCCTCCAAGCAATATGATGAAATCACGGTGATAACCTGTAGAGCCAAACTGATGGGGGGATGCTTGTGTTTTTGGACAGGTAGATGGCAACAAACACAAATGATTTCCATACCACCCACAGCCCAAGTTTTGCCCAAACCGTAGAATCTTCGTCAATGTTTACTATGCATGCCTTCGTTTTGACTAACATGACGCACTCATCAGTCATGGACAAAGTCTGCTCACAACCTGCCTGACCACAATGACAGCATATTCTTTGCCCACCTGCACAAATATAAATACCCCATGGATATCTGCAAGATGTTCAGCCTTTCCTCCTTCATCCAACACACCTTCATCTTCATGCTCAAGCCTGAACACAACTATCCTCCAGGGTGGCTTAAGTCTAACGCGTACAAGTCTTCCCTTCTGGTTTTATATATTCATCATCACCTTCACATTCACATTATATACAAGTATGAGTCGCGAGTCTTCGCAGGACTCTGCACTGTCCTTGATTGTCTTAGTGCTATAAACTCTGATGTCGGTTGTCTCCCGAGTCTTGGTACTAGGACTCCTTGGGCATCATATACACTCAGGTATTGGATTGATCTACCTTCAAAACTATAACAGTACATCGCTTCCAAACCGTCATCAAATGAATGCACTCTCTTCCATTACTTATACCTTTCTCCGCCTTCTTTCACGGCCATGACATCCCATAGAGCCACAAAGACATCGCTTGATGTGCCGCTATGGACCTCCAAGTAGGGCAATACTTGAAGATTTTACATCAATCCCGAAGTAGACATTTTATAAATAATAAATTAGACCACCATTCACTCGTTTGTCTCAAAAGAGACATAAGTTTAGCGCCATTATTTGATCAGTGGTAGACCACTGGCGGGCAAAACGCACATTTTATATAACCAGATTTTGTTTTTGGATTTTTGTTTTCTTTCTTTTCACCATTTCACACAAAAGAAAAAGAAAAAAGCAAAACGGCAATACCACACAGACCGGACCATCAACATGCCGCAAGCTGGAGGCTTTTCCCGTGCTGTTCCCCGTCGCAGGGATTTCAGCTCTGCCTTTCGAAGATTCCGCGGTGCGCGACGCCGTCGCGCGATCATCGCTGCCGTGACCGCAGCTGTCAGAGAGGTCAGTACCAGACATGACCATTGGAAACCATAAGCTAATAGTGACTAGATGTTTTTCGCCCAGGAGACGGAGGCGGATCACAACATGGGGGGGAGCCAACAGCCCCCCATGTATAATGATGAGGAGCTCGTCGACGAGTACCTGCGAGGCCATGAGCGAGGCCTTCGCCTCGGCCTTCGCCGCGGCCACGAAAGTGGCTATCGGCAAGGCCTGGCCGAAGGCTTCGCTCATGGCCTTCGTCAGGGTCAGGAGAGCGCATACGTGGCTGGGTATAACGATGGCGCTGCCTATGGCAGCGACTGAGCAGTAAGAGCTCTCCCTTTTCTTCCTCTTCTCACTCTAACGATTCATAACAGGGGCAAACAAGCAAGTCTTAATTAAAGATTGGTAGATGGGCACTTCACCAAAAGAAAAAAAAGCCGTTCAGAGCTCAAACATCCTCACATTGTTCCCATGATGCTAAACGTCACCGAATGTCTTGAATCTTGATCCTCTTTGCTGCTAATGTATCACTTGTCTATTTATCCAGCCTCTCATTTTCTTTCCCAAGATCCCATGGGTGGGAATCTCTTAGCGCATTCTCTTTCTTTCTCTCCCAGGCTAGTATTATGTCGCTTTATCCCGACCGTGGAGGGTCGTCTCCTGCTTCCCCAACATGTCCTTCACCACTCGCCGACTATACACCCAGGGTTCGATGCCGCAGTCGAAAAACCGGCGCAGTAACCACTATTAACCTAGCTTCCACCGCCGATAAGACCAAGAGAGAAGACATAGCCTACCATGTGTCGCCCGAAGGGGAACTACCGACACCCCGACCACCAACCACGGCACCGAACGCGAGACTGCGGACGAGGGGATAGACTACCCCAATCACAAGACATTACTCGAAAAATATATGAGAGGATACCGACAGGGCTTCCAGCCTTGGCTTCCTCGAGGGGCACCGGTCCGACTGCATCCAGGACCATGTGGAGGGTTACAATGAGAGCGACCAACATAGATGTCCCGCGAAAAGAGATATCTTCTAACAAGGGCACTGCATTTTATACAGCGAAGGCTTCTTTGAGACACGGTTCGACGCATTTGATGGAGGGAATATGTCTGGTGGAGAGAGTGACCCTAAGCCATGGCGTTTACGTTCGCTGCACAGCTTCCACCTCCACCACCAAGACTACCACCACTGGCCCGGACCAGGAGGTTACTGATCCTCAGGTCCCTCATTGAGCGGTCACCCCCGGTTTTAAACCACCTGAAAAGGTGCCGCGGCATCCCAGGATGGAGCCATTGTCGACGAGGGAGAAGAACACTACAACGAAGAGGAACGTCTGGACGACTACCCGAGCAAACACCGCCTGGGATTCCTAGCAGGCATCATGAATGCATTTGCTGATGCAGCGGTGCGAGAATATGTTAGTCTCCGATGTGCCCTCTCAGATACGAGCTAACAGTGGGTAGATACTGCACCTCAACGTTGAATGGCCAGCGTCCTCTTCGACAATATATTAGCGACCACGCTCTCTGCCATGAAGCGACGACCGTAAAGCCTAGCAAAAAGGACAGCATCTCACCTTTTGATGACGAAAAACTCCTCGATGGGATTCTGGAAGAACAGACGTAGATTTCCCCCAAGGTAGTTTTCTCAGGTTGTCGCGCGACCGGCTTTTCGGGTACCTCATTCCAACCTTCATCCATCGTCTGAAGTTTTCCTTTTAACTACTCTTTTCAGCGAGCTAAAAAGGCTTGAGCTCACAGTCCATTTCTTTATATACTAAAGAACCATCTCCAGTCAGAGATACGCCGCGCGATCATCGAGTCAATCGTCGCTGCGATTCGACAGGTCGGTCCTAAATATAACCCTTTAGAATCATGAGTTAACTGTGATCAGGTTCTACTAGAGCGGAGCTCATATGATAGTAATAGAAGAAGGCGTCGCAGAGCCTCTCCAGACCCCTGACGAAGAGCTCCTCGACGATCCTCGATGAGTATCACTGTGGTCATCGACGGGGGCTCCAGCTTGACCTCTGTCGCGGCCAAGAGCATTGGCATCGCCAGAGCATGGCGGTCTGATTTATATATAGCTGAAACTGAGAGCAATAAACATGTTTAATGCTGGTTTTGAAGATGGCATTAGATAAGGTGGCGATCGAAGCCCAAGGTAAGAGCCTTGCCGACTGTTTCCTGATCACTGCTAACGATTGATACAAAAGACAGGTTCGCGGAAAAAATCATCGGAATGCCATAACGCGGACGCGCCGCCCGCCCTGTCCCTCGCCGCAGCGCATTTGGAACGCCTTGTCTTTGTGGCATCGGCACCTGAGACTCTTGTAGTCTGTGCATCTGTCTACTCTATCTCCCACGAAGAAGTCTTGGAGAAACCGAGGCGATGTCATTTCACATTATATATATGGCCCAAATCTGGCACAAGGATTATGTATTGGCGTTGACAGAGACGGGCTGGTCCCGACACCGAAGGGGGCGAACATCCCCCCATTTACAACGACGAGATGATGCTCGACGAGTATCTGCGAGGCCATGAGCGTGGAGGTAAGAGTTCTGCTACATGTTGACCATGCCTCTCTGACGGTTCATATTAGATACTGCGGAACTCGAATGGATGAACAGCTCAGCAAACAAACCTTTGCATCAACGAATTCGCTATGGTCATTGAGGCAAGCACCGGCTTGTCAATGATTTCTCCAATCATTACTCCCATGGTTCGCCTATCGGTTGACTCATGATTATATACTCTTTTCAGTGAGCCATAGCCTCTCACACTCACTGTCTCTGCTCTTTCTAAAAGGATTTCTTTTTTATCTACCTACTATAGAACCACATCCTCTGGGACTTTCTTTCCGCGCGCCGGGTCACTCGACCCAACCCCTTCCGATACGCACGTCGCCGTGCGATCGTGGCCGCCATCATCGCAGCCATTCGGCAGGTCCGTTCAAAATACGGCCATTGAGAAATAACAGCAGATCTTTCCGACCCAGCCGCCTACGACCAGAGTTAGCGATGGGGGGAGGCCAGCGGAGCCTCTGCCGGATTACGAAGCGTTGCTGGACGGATTCCTCGCCGGACACAGATGAGTTTGGCCTCGGTTTCACTCGAGGCCGTGAGATGGGGGCCAGACTGGGTACAGTGATGGGATTCATGGCTGGCACATGCCACGGCATGGACTGGGGCTATGCGAGTGGTCACTGGGATGGCTTCCGTGCCGGTGTTGCCTACGGCATTGCCCAGGGCCAGATGCAATGGAACTGGTAAGAAGTCTCCCACCTATTTCTTTCTCAACTCTAACCGTTCATCTTAGAAGCAAGATCGAGATTTAAATTGTGTTCCGAGGCTGGAGTCTTCAAGAGACCGGAGAGAGCGTATAGCTGTTAAATTCTCCATGAGAGGGATCACTTGCCCGATGACATCTTTTCTCGCTACGCTGTTCCCATGGCGATGAAGCTGCCTTGAAACGCCTTCTTGAACTGAGATTCTATCTGTCACTACCCTCCAATCATCATGGGCTGCTTGTCTTTGCTTTCTCACACCATGGCTCTCGTTGGTCTTCTATTGTTTGACTCTCCATCCTGCTTACGCTTTCCAATGAGCTATCAACTCTCAAATTCACCTTTCGCTACTCTGCCTGAAAGCATGTTTCATCTATATACTATAGGGCCGCCGCCGAAGAAATCTGAATGACACTAGCAAAGGCTTATATACCGACCAAGAAAGATGACAAGCTGGTAGACCTACCTGCCCCGTCCATCGGCCCAACCCTTTTCGACATGCTCTCAGAGAGCTTCGTCGGGCACGTCGCGCGCGCCGACATGCATTTGCCGCATTTCTGGCAGCGATCGCACGAAACGTAAGTCTCAAGAAAGATACTCGGAGAAGATGAACTGAAAGTATGTGACTAGATGCGTGAACAATACCGAGCGAGCGATAACCAGACTTCCGCCGGCGAGCCTCTGCCTGACTACGAAGCGTTGCTGGACGAGTTCTTGGCTGGTCACGACCAAAGCTTCCACCTTGGCCTTCGCCGAGGTCAAGAACTCGGATATCGACGAGGGGTCTCTGGTGGGACTTGCTCAGGGCCTCCGCCAGGCGCAGGAGGCAGCATACAATGCTGGGTTTCGGGATGGGCTAGACGACGCGCATGAATATGCGTAAACGGTAGGGGTTCAGACATCTCTTCTCTTTTCCACTCTAACGGTCCATAATAGAGACACGATCGGATCACGCATGAGATTATATAGCAAATGTGTGAGGCCTTGGTAGTTTCGATGTTCACTTGCGTGCTAAACAAATGGCGACCTGCTCGTCGCCTCAAACGATCAAATCTTTTCTCGCTATGCTGGGCTATGGGCAACAACAGGCATTTGATGCTGCTTCGAGGTTAGCCAGGAGTCCAGGGAAGAAATGGATCACATGGTAGGAGCCATATCCTGATCGCATTTATATTCTAACTAACTGTTCGTATCAGTGGAACACCGGTTTGAGTAATGCCACCTATCTATAGTATGTCAGCGGCATCAACGATCCATCCCCACCTGCAAGACTGGCCAGTTCTGAATACGACCCCCAGAAAAGGCGACACGACAACGATTAGATCCTCTGAGAAAGAGAGTAGTACATATATACCGAGAACCGGAAGAAGCCACCAGAGCTTGCCCAGTACGAAGCGTTACTGGACGAATTCCTTGCTGGACATCGACGAGGCTATCGGCGAGGGCTTTATTGCGGTCGAGGGTTGGGCTTTAGACTTAGGTGGTCATTTAATTCATGGCAGACACAAATGAGGAGCCGTCGATCAGACGCCGTGCAGCTATTTCCATGGCTGTTGCTGCCACCTCTCCTCCTGTCAACTAACGGATGAAGATCTCGACGAAGCTGCTTGGGACGCACATGCAAACGGCCTCTTCGACGCCTACCGTCATATCTTACAGTGCCTGGCTACGCGAATGGCATGAATGAGGGAGACCAAGGCGACCGTGCCGACAGATACGCGGCTACCGAGGCGCCATCACTCATTCCAGGAGCCGCCGACTTCTGAGCAGACTCGTTCGTCGAGTAGCATTGATTGGATCCTACTACATCTATCTACCGCATAGAACTCTGAGCGTACAGGTCACTGTGGGGGATTTGAGGGTCCTTGAGGCTTTCTCCTGGGCTTCTCGATTGTTGACTCTTCAGGGGAGGGGGGGTAACGGGACGAAGAGTCACCATTCGAGGGACGATTGGCAACCACGCCCTCAAGTCTTCACCATCAGATTCCATAAATGGAGGTGAATTCGGTCCACATCATTATCTCTGCCTACCCCTCATCGTTGTTGTCCGTTGAGACGCTACCCAAGTCACCCACTCGCATTCTCCCCACAGCCGAATTCTTCCATCGCCCAAGCCAGCTTCATATCGTTGACCATTGTTGATTCTAAGAAGCTCATCGGGTATTCGTGTATCCAGAAAGGTATCTTGGGCTAGATTATATCACCACCCCCTACGGGAGCTGCTCCGCGCGCGAAGCACCGTTGTCGCCAGTTTGAACTAGGTTAGTCCCGAACAAGATCCTCAAGGAAGACGAGCTGACAGTCCCAAGAACGGCATATATACATCAACATCCAAGGGAGTCCAGCAAAGCCTCTTCGGCTCTGTGATGAGGCGCACCTGGTCGATCATCTTGGCGGTAACCAAATGCGACGACCGTTTCCTCGGCAGAGATGCAACCTATAGCGCCCTCTTCACCAAGGTTATCGCCAAACTCAACTGTGATCTCTCCTACGAAGGATACATCCGCGCTATCCAGCTATATGGACGGGAACACGTTGAAGGCCGCCTGCCGTCAATCCGCATGCACTGACGGAAAGAGCTTTGGATACATATGCGGTCGTTGTGGATCGTATCACACTGTATCACAGTTATGCCATTGACCGCCATGAGTTGTCACCTCATAGGCGAACGCTCTACTGGTCGGATTTCTTCATCATCTATCATCGACATATCGCACCTCTTATCTAAGAGAGTCTATTTATTCGTCATAGAATCGGCTCACCACTCGCTCTCGTCAGGTATAAATACCCAGAGCTACTTCTTGGAGCCTCTCTCTTTTCTCTTCATCACTTCTAACGGCGAACCACATAGATTATACTCTCAGACGCCTAATATGACCCTCGGTGCCGCTCGTGGCCCTATGAGAGAGAACATATCAATCTCAATGCTGTCACACTGAGCATGTGTCAGCTATCATCCAACTTGACGAAAAGGAAGAGATTTTTTCTTGCGTTATATATACGGCCTATTATTAGGCACGAGGACCGGCTGATAGCGTTCAAAGGGCAGTGTGCCAAGGGGCAACAGGCTTGCACCATCCCAGAGGGAGAAAACAGACCGGACGGCGAACGGGCTGGCCTCTTGCTGGACCTTACCAACTTGTGAAGGAGTGGCATCGCAATCTGTCCTTGAACCCTTCACTCTCAGCTTTCTCGAGGCCCTGCCCTGGGTACTCCATTGGGCGTCGGTTCGGTGACACCAAAGGCCAAACGGTGCCTTCATTCTTGGTCAACTCTTTGGCCGCATGGCTATAGATGGAGGGAACACTCTCGAGGCGTTCGATGCTTGCTTACATGCGGCCGGCAGTTGGGTTTCTTGACGGTGATTATAGATCGGGAGACAGAGGCCGATCGGGGAGACTGCAGGGGGTCAACAGACTCCCATTTACAACGACGAGATGCTCCTCGATGAGTATCTGCGAGGGTCTTTTCTCCCACTCTCCTTCTTCACCAGCATCTACCTTGGCTTCCCACCACTCATCTTTTTAACGACTTCGTTTCTGAAACTTGTTTCCACCAACCATAACCTCCGCGCCGAACCTCCAGTAAATGACATCTTTCATGGTCCAAACACGTCTACATAACTACAATCTCAATCGCATTTTTTGAGATGCGATAACGCTGCGACTTGAGCAGATCAGCCGGGCCAGTAGTCAGAACCCATCCCCAGACGCTTGTGGCCTGTTTCGACGGTTGCCCTAGTTTATGAGAGGTCGGCCCCGAATAGGGTCTTCGGGGGTCACAATCTGATAGCCACGATAGCCCCGGCATGAGCGATGGATGGCAGCATATTAACTATATAAGAGCCTGCCAACAGTCTCGTCTAGCTGATATCGCTGGCTGAGTGTGGAAGTAACCTCCCAGCCCTGGTGACGAGGGACAATTAGACGGGCACCTGGAGGGGAAGCCGCAGGGGTTCTTGGAAGGCTGTCGTTTCGGACTCCTCGAAGAACGCTTCAATGGGCGCCTTGGTCCATACACATGGTCATTTCGCCGATTTAGACGTTCAATCAGCAGATCCGCCATCACCACCGCGGTCAAAGTCGCCGCCGTGGCCGATGGGCCGAAGCTAGATGGTGTAAAACGCCAAACACCAGTCAAAGGGGAAATCACTGGGACGACCGCTGAGACCACTACCCAAGCCTACCGAGTCAACTAGATGATAGGTCTTTGCTGGGCCAGTACGTCATCGGTCATCGCAGCGGTCTCCTAACAGTAGCCCAAATCGGCTTCCCGAGGGTCACTGACCCAGGGAGGAGTCATTCTCTGACTGGATTTGTTTCTAGTGTTCGAGGCTCCCGAGGATTGCTTTCCAGAAGAGTTCTCTCGACTCGTATTCGAGAGTGGGTGCCAGATCGGATACGTCCACGGACAAACAGATGGATATAATGACGGTCACCGAGACGGGGACTGGGAGGAAGAAGAGACGACTCCGTACCTAGCTAGGTATATTGCACATTTCGTTCATGAATATAGGGGTCAGGGCTGGTCTATATCGACCGATTCGTTTTAGCGACCAGGGTAACGATGCCTATCAGCTATCCCTACAGAGTTTTCTCCCCTGCAGGTTTTCTCGCGGCTCTTCCCTTCCTTCTATTATCTATATATGATCCCATCACTCCTGGAATCACTTCTGTGGGCTTTCATCAGCTCCAGGCAGCGGCAGAATATTTATTCACTGCAGCTATCCTTCCAGACTTGTTCTTCATCTACGGTCTTCATCGCGGCTCTTCTATTCCTTCTTCCTGCATCGACCTATCCATTATATAACCCTGTATTTATATACGCACGAAAGCCTGAGTGAACTGGGAGACATCAGTGGTGATTGGTAAAGTGTTCAATACTCTCAGCAAGAGATATGGATGTCGATATCGGCAAGGCCTGGCCGAAGGCTTCGCTCATGGCCTTCGCCAGGGTCAGCAGAGTGGTTACGCGGCCGGTTGAAACGATGGTGCTGCCCGGAGAGAGCGAAGAGTATCCCGAATAAAATGGTGAGACGACTTGGAGGAGTATCCCCGGGGCCAAGAGAGGGGCTTCCAACTTGGCTTCCGCCGCGCTTATATAGGCTGTAGGCCCCGAAGCACACCCAATTCCCAGCGTCGAAGTACTCGCTGGGTTTGCCGACACGCCATGAGGTTTTTGAGTGCAAACCTTGAAATGGATATCTGATGTGATTCCCTCTGTTGTGGGTGCCTGAGACACCCAGACTCACAATAGCCTGAGCCCACCTCACCGTCAGGTTAGCCGGACTTGGTAGCCCCTGGAAGGTTCAATCACATCACACACCTTTTGCAGGCATCACGCCCACACCCTCTGAATTATATACTTATCTCGACCGATGTGATAATGACCGAGTATCTTGCTGCGTGAGTGTTTCTCACGATCCAAAAAGGATCATGACGATCAAAGGAATAACTAGGTGGTGGTGGCGGCGGCGGTGGTGTTGTTGCGAGTCTCATATAGAGACACGACCAAATCAAAGATCGAGTGCGATGATGGGTCGAGGTTGGTCAAGGAGAGTTGGACTATGTCGATATTTAACCTCATGACCGATGAGGATACCAATGTTGCGCCTAGGAGCTATGACGAGGTCGGGTCTCGCCCTCACTCGAGGTCATGAGCCGAGAACCAGAATCGGAGCAGCGATGGCATTCATCTCGTTGCTACTTCAGCCCTGAGGTCAATTCCGACCAGAATCACCAAGGAGCACGAGTCATCAGTTATTGGACCCGGGGGATACAAGCAGCAAACGCGAACCTATGAACCATTTATACATAAGAGAGTTCCATCAATATCATGGAGCAGCGCTTGGCCGCTGGCCCCTAGTTCAGTGCCATATAAGTGCGATCATTGGGAGCTCGAGCACCAAGGACGAAGCTTTGTTCCACGAGTTCTCCAAAAGTCATCGCCGTGGCTGACGCCTGAAAGCATGTGGGCGCAGCCGACTCCAAAGGGGACATCCCGGTTAGTCAACTACAGATGGATGATGGAGAATGCATTGCCGGCCCGAATTGAGTCATCTTCTCGAGAGTTTTGAGCGCTGTCAACATGGCGGAGCGGATAGCTACGCCGCAGGTAATAGGGATGCCGCTGAAACTAAGCATTGATGCATACTACGGAAGCGACAGCCTGCAACTAAGGCGATAGAGCTGGTTTCTTACACGCCCGCGGAGGGAGGGAAATAATAAAAGAGAGCACATAGAGGGTCTGCGAGGAGAGGCATGTTCAGGATGTGAGAAATCAGTGTCTGCTACTCATGCCGGGAAGATAGGGTAGTAGACATAGATGTACGGCGAGCTCAGGGTCATACCAGGTGTAATATCACAGAGGATTCTAGCAGTGTATGCAGCTAAACATGGACATGGTAGCTACTTGAGTCCGCCAAACTAGTATGAAACGCCCCTTGGGCTGACGATTACATCCTCTCCAAGAATTCCCCGTCACCACATCAAAAGTCCCATGCTTCCCTTCATACAGTTGGAGTAGAGTCTACCTCATATCCATACTCCCCAAGCAAAAATCTTTCCAGGAACCCGTCCAATACCTTCATCATGATATCTGCATCGACGAAGCCCTGGCTCGAGATGAGCCTGTTGTAGACCCTCTTCGCCGCGGCAATAGGATCTCCGTCCACGAGCGCAAACGAGACGCTTGTCGTTGTCTGGTCCAAAACAAGAGCGTCCTCAGGCTCGCTCCGCAAGAGCCTTTCTCCCGACGACGCCACGCTGCGCGACTCAATCTGGCAGTGATAAAAAGGCCCGCATCCAACCTTTCGCAGGGTGATGAAATATGCGCGAGACTGGCGGGTCTCGTTCTCTGAGGCAGCAGCTGTTCTTGCGTCTTCCGTGTCCGTGCTGGTAAGGAGATTCTCATCGGATTCGGGCTCTTGCGCGTCAAGGTCATCGCTCGAGGTCGAGACATCAGTGACTGGCCGAAAGAGTGATTGGTGATGGGGGAGACGGGCTCGAGGGGCTCGGTGGCGGTGTCGAAAAGATTGAAGAGGACGTCGAGAAGATTGAGGACGGCGCCGGTGATAAGCCCGAGGCGTCGCGTTGCGGCGATGGCCAGCACGCGAAGATGGGAGGTGTGGCATTGTGATGTTGGTGGTGGGCGGAATTGAAGACAGAGCGGGCGACGAAGAGAGATGAAAAGAGGCAAATCAAAACGAGGGGAGCGGCGTCAAACTCCGTGAAGAAACTTTTGTGATGGAGGAGAAAGATGGTGTTGGCTTTGATCTGATAGAATCTGATCGAATGCTGTGTTGATGTGGGTTTTTCCTGCCAGCTGTTGACAGCTGGCAGGCAGCCCATCGCACAAAACACATCAACACTACGCTACGAGCCTCATCCAGCTTCACTGGGAATAGGGCTAACTCAAATCAGCCAGATATAGAGTCGATGTAGACGCAATTCACCATAGGCAAGGAGTACTTGCGTTCATTTCTTATATCCGGGCAGAGGAGGCAAATAGGGGTTTATCAAGGCGTGTGTCGAATGACCCATTCGCCTCCCTTAAGCTTGCCCACCGAGACTAAGACGAGCGGAAGGATATTGTTGCCAGGTTGCTTAAGGACAGGAGATTAGCTTTCCGCCTGCAATTTTTAATTTGCTCTACAAATCACTCAGTAAGTACGTACGTGCACTGGTTGAGTGCCTTGTTGCCAACCTTGAACTTGACCCAAGGAACCTCTGCCATCCATTGGTAGAGCCAGTCCCTCCCACGATGACTACATGTTTACAAACTCTATAAATACAAACTTCTGCTTCAGGCCTCGGCTGTGGGCACGTTCTTCAACAGGTTTGCAATTGCAAAATGTTCATTCTCTGTCGCGAGTTCAATGGCGTATTTGAAGCCCGTTCCATTGAGAACATTACCCCTTGCCCCAGCATTCAGCAGGAACTGGACCATATCCAAGCGGCCATGCTCAGCAGCTCCCTCGATAGCGTACCGCCCTTCAACGAAGGAAGGCGCTCCGTTGACATCGGCGCCTTTGTCAATAAGTTGCTTGGCGAGCATTATATCGCCAGATATGGCAGATCCTTGGAGAGCCGTGATCCCGCCATGAACGGCGGGCTTAGCATTGACGTCAGCGCCGTTGTCGAGAAGGAACTGCACTAGGTCCATGTCCGGTTCATCGCGGGAAGTGGCTGCTTGGAGTGCGGTCCGCCCAAATCGATACGCTGGCGCCTCATTGGGGTCAGCTCCACGGCCAACTAACATCTTCACAGTTTCCAACTGTCCCTTCTCTGCTGCCAGTTGAGTCGGCGTTCTAGGCTCCCACATATAAAAGTCTTCCTCTTCCATTGACTGATCACACCACATGTGGTTGATGATCGCATTGCGATGAGGCTCAAGCATGCGAGCCAAGATCCCGTCCCACCTTCTTTCTATCGCGCCATGAAGTGCTGAACTTGGCTTTCCGTTCGGTCGATTGACCGGAGCATTACAGTCCAGAAGATAATCGCACAGCCCCGCAAGATGGTCTGACGAGTCCAATGCCATCCAGTTATGGCAAACAGCCTCGAGGGCCGTTACTCCATCCACTAACGCGGGTGGACCGGAGATATCGGCCCCTCTGTCTAGCAAAAGCCACGCATTTTCGGGAGTCTCGCCCTCCAATGCTGCTTGCAGTGCGGTACGGCCACCGTTCAGATATGCCGGTGCATTTATATCGGCTCCATGATCGAGAAGGAACTCAAGCATTTTCAACTCTCCCTCCCTGGCCGCCGCTTGAAGAGGGTTTCTTGTGAGCCCAGGAGTGTTTGCGTCTACTCCTAGGTGAAGTAGCAAGGCTGCCAGAGATGTATGGCCACGTACTGCTGCTTCCACCAAAGCTTCCTCGCCTTCCTCTTCGAGATTCATGCCGGCCTCGATGATGATTTGCAGGAGCTTAAAGTCGTCCTTACGAACAGCGTTTTCGAGAATAAACCCCCTGTTAACGTCCGCTTTGTACTTGATCAAAAGCTTACAAATCCTGCGAGGCCACTTGTGTGACAGCAGAGCGGTTCGGAGAGGCGGAGAATCTAAACAGGGGCAATTGGGATCAACCCCGTATTTTAGCAACGCGTTGGAGGCCGGGATATACCCTAGCCGGACGGATTCATTCAGCGCTTCCTCGAGCTGTTGCTTTGAAACCGTTCTCGGCTGCCTTTGTAGATAGGCATTGAGGGAGTCGTTGCCCTCATTTGCAGCATCGACCAAGTCTCCAACTGTGAAGCCTACATCGATGCCTCCTATGTGTTCCTGCAGAAGCCTGCAGATGTTTCTGCAGTTCAACGAAGACCATTGCACAATGTCCTGCTTTCCTACCTTGCATGAAGTGTCTGCATCGTGTTTTAGGAGGACGGCCACAATATCTAACTCTTTCCATAGAACCGCTCTCGCAAGAGGGGCTTCATAGTCCATACCATATGGGGAGCACGCCTTGTTGACATCGGCACCTAATTCAAGTAGAAACGTAACCGCATGGAGGTCTTTGCGCTCTACTGCCGAATAGAGAGGAGTTTTTCTGGATATTTCTTTGTCCGCATTTGCTCCTTTTGTAGCAAGCATCCGAGCAAGATCAAAATGGCCCCCTTCAACACAAAGATGGAATAGCTCAGTCCCCTTTTGCCCATTGCAGAAAGGTGGGCTAACCCTTGAGAAAGCCAATTTCATGAAGTCCATATCGCCGATCTGTAATATCTTGTCCAATATGCTGTCAAATTTGACCCCAAGATCCGTCAATGCGGTCAGAAACTTGACGTTCTTCACACGAACAGCAGACTTCAGAACGTGACTGGCAAACGCATGGATTGTCGGTGTGTTGATTTGGAGGAATCGCTCTAGGTGTTCGGTGTATTTTTGGTCCATAACCCACTTAAGAAAAGTATCCATTCGGGTATCCTCGAGTTTGTTGTTGGACGCAAAATATGCCGCAAGGCTGAAGATCGCGGACAAGCTGGAGGTACTAGTTGACCGGGAGTCAAGGATGTGAGTAATCTTGTTGGACAGGTCCCCCTCCCACCTCTCAGGTATGGATCTTTGAAGCTTGTTTGTGACCACAGAAACATTTTCCTCAGGCTGACGATCCGATATTGACCCGAGGAGGTTCAACAAGATACCTCGTCGTGTCTCAGGAGGAAGGGAAATAGACACGCCTGTCGGCGGCAACAGGCCTCCATCTAGAAGAGGATGCATCTGCAAAGTTGCAAAATCTCAACTCACGGTCAGCTTAGAAAATGAGTTGAAGGTTTTTGAAGCAATCGCACCTAGCTGCTCGAGGGTGGTTTGAAGCTTAAACCATGGTAGATCCGTCATGAGTTGAAAACTAGGGCGAGTATCGAAAATCTCGAAGTTGAAGAATTGAGAGACTGGGGAGAATCTCGTTCCTGGATACTGCGGTCTCAGGGAACTGCTGGTTCCGGGACTGGATGGATCTCCCACGGTTGTTACGGGAGGCTGGCGACACGGCGTTGGCTGATTTAGATCGCTAGCGAGCTCCAAGTCCCACATCTCTAACGAGTCAAGCGAGACTACCAGTTGTTTGTCATCTTAAATCAGAGCTGTAAGGTAATATATCTTACAAGGGTCGTAAGTGACAGCGTCAATGTCCATAGTGTCGGGTTGAAGTATTTGGTCCAGCTCAAACTGCATGTCGAAGAGAGCCTCTTGAGGTGACGCTTGGATAGGAGCTTGGGGTCCATGAGACTCTACCTCATTGCCCATATGGGTGTTGAACATATTAAGATTTACTCCTGGCATATTTGCCGCCATCAATGTTGGACTCCGGACGGATATCATTCGTGGAGATGGATGACGGACGGACACCCTTTGTGGAGGTGGACTCCGGGCAGATATCATTCGGGGAGATGGACTCCTGACGGATACCCTCGCTAGAGATGGCTTTGGAAGCTCTTTTGGTTGCCTTAGCAGACGGCATAACAACGAGATGTCTCCTGACTTACGATTTGGGGGCATGGTAGCATGACGCCTACGCCTGTGTCGCGCAGTCTCTCGCCTGACACGGTCTGCCGGCAACCGCCTCCCTAGCAGGCAGGGCTCAGACTTCTTCCCAACTGCCGCGCGACGCTGGATTTCCTGGTCAATCCATATCCACTCGTCGGCTGTCACGTTCTTCAGATTTGAGAATCTGTGTTTATACTGTCTCTCTCTGCCATGGTCGTGTTGTTAGCTTGCAACTTGATGATCTGGCGACTCGGGTTAAAGAGGGGGTAGTACGTCGCTTTGAAATTGTGCGTTTCTTCCATGTGGGAAATGACCTGGGCTAGAGTAAGGTTCTGGGAAATGAAGAGATCGCGGATTTCGTCGGTATGTTTGTCCCAATCTAGGACTTCCCGCTCATTCGTTTCCATCTTGTCAAACGGGACGTAGAAGTCGACAGGAAAAGGAAGAAAAGGTGAGCTAAACCAATTTGGATAGAATTTGGTGATGAGTCTGCTTGGGTTTATGTCATGGGTAGTCGGTCTACTTATGCACATCCTTGCGGTACTTCACGTGGACGGACGGCATTGTGCTTTTTGCTGTACTTTTGCTTGTGTACTTTTGCTTGATTGGCTTGAGCTCACCAGTCAGCACCTCTTGAAGCAGATGTCTGCCTTGTCATTTGGGTGAGGCGGTGCCTTGGTCCAAGAAAGGAAGCGCCACATTTCGCGGGAGAGACGGTCAGAAGTCCACCCATCCCTTCTTCGAGCCCCCTTCACCAAAACACGACAAAAGAGCAACGACCGCCCACTTCTTGCTGGGAATCAGACGACGAGATTCCTGCGACCCGGCTTTTACTTGACGAAAGACATGAAACGGACGCACGGGGAGTTGCACAACTTGCCATAGCTGCAGAAAGTTTCAGTTGCGGCGTCTGCCAAGTCTCTTTCGTGTGTGGCTCCCTGGGTTGAAATAAGCAGCCTCGAAACGACACGTGTCATGCGACCCAAGATGCCTTGTTAGAGGACATCCACAGCCGAGAGGAGAAAGTTCTTTCTCAAATGTATTACTAGAAGATTGAACGGAATGTTTACCCGTCTCTTTTGTACTAGAAAGCGCTCTTCAAGTATGGTCTCGACTTTGAAGGGTCAGAAGCCAAGTCACGAGATTGGTGGTGTGGCTAGGTACGACACTGACGGTATGAGATCTAATACATGAATATCCTGGTAGATAATGAATACAGAAAAACATTTACGCGCTGCTGGGTCTTTCTAACTTAACACTCGAGATACGAGGCGCAGGAACACCAGGCACTCGAGCTTTGGTTTCGGTGACGCCATTGCAGAAGTACTAGTTTGGGGCGGAGCATGTACTTTTGGTAGTGAGGTGACTTACTCTCAGAAGTACAAGCCTCAAGGCTTGGGGCACGGCTACACAGGACATGTCGCCATCCATGTCTCGGGCTGATGGCCACGGCCTATCACAGAAGGACATCCTTTACACATCCTTGGCCCCAGCTCGTTCCGCACCTCACGAAAAGGCAGCGAATGGGGAGGCTTGGATTCGACTTGGGCGAAAGTGACCTGGGTGAATGACCGGAGCAAAGATACAATCTTGGCTTATCGTCATCAAATAGTTCAATGCGTCGTGTACTTATGTTCTAATATCTATAGGCTACAAAAGTACAACATGAGAGAAAGGAGTGCGAAGGAGAAATAGGGTTGTCGCCTGGAGAATATAAATATGGCAATCTAAGGCATTGTGCTCTTCAATGCCACTTAGCAACTACTATCCAGCATTAGCATCTCTAAGTTCTGTGCTTCCCTCGACTTGACCTTATACATCTAATTCGATCTTCACGGCGCGATTCCTATCATCATGTCCAGTCAACCAGACTCGTCCCTCATAGTCGAACCGAGCGAATGCTTGACTAGAAAGGACGACAGTTCAAGTTGTCGCATGTCAAGTTCTACCCACCACACGCAACCCACAACCACCCATAAAAGGTGTGTACCTCGTGCTGGTTTATATCCCAGGACGAATCTGACTAACTATTACCCTCTGATAAAACAGGAGAGATGGTGTAACCCAGGGACTAGTTCTCCCAAAAGAGTCATTGTCGATGTTGACTCGGTATGTATATGAAAACCGAGAAAGCGAATTGACGATATCGGAGCGGCTGCAGCAGGAAGTAAATGAAAAGGTGTGACTATGACTAGGAGAGTTCATTGTGGGGGGAAGTCTGATCGAGTTCTCCGGCGGAAATAGCTAGTTAGACTTGCCTATCTTGATATGCTATCCTGTTATTATCTCTGCTATCATGATGCATTTAATACGATAGATATTAGATAGAGCTGGGCTATCTTATCCTAGGTAGATAGTACTAGGATACATACTAGGATAAGCAGCTAGCCTCCATTTGATAACGTTTATCTTTTAGTCATGAAAGAAGCGGGCAATGTACCCCTCGGTGTCCAACGTCTCCTCTCCCTCCTGAAATCTATCTCGTCTTCCCGCCGCATATCCATCCCGATGACCGTCATTGTAACCGGATATACAATTCCGCTTATGCCCACGCAGCCACAGGCGGATATCGCTTATTTGCATTTTGATTCTGCAGTTATGGAGGATGGTGAAGATATGTGTGGGAGTTCTGGTGCTGCGATCACTCCATCTGGCTCCCTTGTTACTATAGATCCTCAGGTATTCAACCTCTCGTCCCATTGATGACGCTCTTTCTCCCCGGCACATAGCCTGCTCTTCGAGGCCTGTCGGCAGTCTTCTGCAATACCCTTGAGTCACTTCTCATTCCTGAGTTTGTTTTCGGATCGGTAACATAACGCAGTCTGAGACCAGCTTGTAGCAGAGGCCACTATCCTCTGCTTGGGACGACTGGGACGTAATATCCCTGTTTTGCAACTCCCATTACTTGAATCATTTGCCTTATCCTTTACCTCCAGAAATATCCCATTTTCTATTCTATTTTAATCCCAGGCACTTTGGTAAAATCTTTTACCGGCAATGGGATGAATGTCTTAAGCCTAAAACCATCGTTTAAAGAGACGATCTGCGAATGTTGACTCGATGGGTTGCTTGACAGCTGTCAACAGCTGGCGACAAAAACAACACAAATGTCAAGGCACCCATCAGAAATTGAGACTAACCATCGTAAACATCTTCCTTCTCACATCTCGAATCTTCATTTTCGCCGCCACGTCTTCGCTCTCGCCGCGGCCTGCCTTTCTTTGTCGCCGTCTTGCTCCTCTTCTCCAGTCATCGACAACACCATGCCCCGTCTCCCATCCTCTCGCAGCGGTCGCCGTCGTCACCCACGGCCTCAATTACATCACCCAAGACGCCTGTGGGCCCTACGAAGAGCATATGTCCTCGTTAGCCGACGTCGTTCCAGACCTTCTCGGGGCCACCTCTCCTGCCGCCGACCTTCCCGCCGACCAGTCGCCGATGCCCCTCCGTCGGCAAGTGGGCTTGACACCCAAGAGCCTGAAGCTCCAGAGACTACTCCAATCAATATTCCCAACGACACAACGACGGGCACCACCTTGAACAACGAGCCCACACGGGGTGTCGCTTGGTTCATCACCATTGAGAAGATTGGGCAAACGAGGTTCTGCGACGTGCAAATGGAATCGGCGCCAGTGGAGCTCTCGGCGCGCCGACTACTGGATAGTCAGTCCGAGGAGTCTCTTGTTTGGGATTCCACGACCAGGTCGGTCTCTTTCGCCGTCGTCGACGAAGTCGTCAACGGATATCCTGTCGACGCGATTGAGAGGGTCCACAACAGGTTTATCGGCGAAATGGGGGGGATCTTGATCTTGGGTGAAGATTCGTAAAGTCTTCAGTTGGAATGAAAAGGATGTACGACCGATTCTGTGTGCGCTGGGAGGAAGAAGGCATGGGTTCTCGGTTTGCTAGGGCTGACTGGTTCTTGGGGCATCAACAATAGGCAAGCAGGCAGCTTGTTATGGTCCTAGTACAATTGATGAAGTGCTATCTCTATGCATGGATGGATGAATCGATGAAGCCTATTGTGCCATTACACCTGATCCAGGCCTGAAAGGCTAGAGCCGAGACTGTATTGCATCCAGCCAATCCTCGATAATAAACCAGTGAGGACCTCAGTTTCTACACATAATTAGCCCGATGGGATCACTAAGCCTTAAAAGGATAGGCCGGTTCTTTCTCAATGGGTCAGCTAACAAGGGGGTCGAGAGATCGGCTTAATCTGACACCATCTTTGAAAGCTTCTTTCGGTGTAATTCGAGCCCCAAGCTGTATCTTTGATCTCGTTCAAGTCGGTTAGTTGGTCCGCCATTTCTATCGCTTTAAATACTGCATCAAAAAGCGCCTCAAGATATGTACCTATCTACCTCATCTAAATAGTAATATCGCCCATAAATCATGTCTACCCTAATTCGCCAAGCCCAGAGATCAGCCCGTGGCAATTGGCCCTGGCGTTGTTCTAAGATTCCCACGGCACCTTACAAAGCAGCGCTCAACACCACAGCAAGCAGTAGCCATCGTACGTCCAGTACACACGATACACAACATTTCGATGTGGTAGTGATAGGATCGGGCTGCGCTGGTCTCACTGCGGCCGTGGTAGCTGCCAAGCACGGTCTTCGCACCCTCGTGCTTGAGAAGAGCAACTTTTTCGGGGGAACTACAGCATTCTCGGGCGGAGGAGCCTGGATCCCCAATAATCTACATCAGAAGACAATCGATGTAACGGATAGTCGAGAATCTGCTGAGAAGTATCTTCGAAACGTTCTCGGGGACCTGTACGACCATGACATGATTGCATCTTTCCTCCAGAACGCCCCCACCATGCTACAATGGATGCAGACTCATACACACGTCCGGTTCAAGCCTGTGGCGTTGCCAGACTACCATGTGGGAAAGGAGGGCGCGAGCGTTGGCCGAACCATCCTCACACAAGAATACGACGGACGACAGCTTGGGAGACAAAGATTGCGGAGCATCAGATACACTCTGCAAGGTTATCATGCCTTTGGGTCTATGCAGGCCGACCCTGCCGAGCTGCCAGTTCTGTCAAATCCGTTCCAGAGCATATCTAATTTAGCGGCAAGCGTGCGCAAGATCACTAGATTCAGTCTAGACATGTTGCTGTACGGCAAAGGGTCCGAAATGGCAAACGGCAATGCCCTCGTCGGTCGGTTGGTGAAGAGCTGCGATGATGCAGGGGTTGAGCTCCAGGCAAGTTCTCCAGTTACTCGGCTGAAGCGACTAGACGACACGGGCGCTCTCACTGTCGTGACCCAAGACTCGCAGGGCCATGCCAAAGAGTTTGTGGCGACAAAGGGAGTGATTCTCGCCAGTGGTGGATTCGGAAGATCCAAGGACGCGCGGACGTATCTTCCCCATGAGTGGAGTGTGCAGCCAAAAGGAAACGTTGGTGATGGGCAGCGGATGGGCAGAGAGGTCGGGGCCGCAGTAAGTCATCGGGAGGACATCGCCAACTTGGCCACTAACGCAGAGATCAGATGCCACCTCCAAGTCCCAAGAACGGTGTCTTTGCTCCAGTGTCCCTTCTGCGGACAAGAAGCGGCCAAGTTCGACGGTATCCGCACTTCTCCGTCGACCGGACTAAGCCAGGTTCCATCATCATCAACACACACGGGAAGCAGTTCGCCAACGAGGCCGAGCCCTACCAGGAGTTTGTCCAGACCATGCACGAGCAGGGAATAGAAAAGGCATTTCTTGTCGCTGACAGCCGATTCTTGAGGCGCTATGGCATGGGCATGGCTCTCCCTTGGCCCATGTCTCCTCGCTCTTTGATTGCTCAAGGCTATCTCGTCAAGGCTAGGACACTCCACGAGCTGGCCGATAAGATCCAAGTGTCACCTGAGGCACTTCTAGACACTGTGGCTGCATGTAACGAAAACGCAACTCAGGGTCTCGACCCCGAGTTCGGAAGGGGCCAGTCCTCCTACGATCTCTTCTACGGCGACAGCTCTGCAGGATTCCCCAACCCTAGTCTTGGAACCTGTACGCGACCACCCTTCTATGCTCTGACTCTCTACCCCGGAAGCGTCTGTTCCACCTATGGTCTGCAGACCAACGTAAAAGCTCAAGTCCTTGACACATTAAACAAGGTTATTCCGGGGCTGTATGCTGTGGGACTGGACGCCAACTCCATCATGCGCGGCGAATACCCTGGAGGAGGATCGAGTATTGGTCCAGCTATGACGTTTGGTTATATCGCGGGGATGAGTTTGGCTGGTAAATAATCTTGAAGCACTTAGATAGTAAAACTATCCACCCGTTGTAATCGCTGTTGTGCTGCCATATTCTCTGCGTTGCCCATTTATAGCGAACTTGTAAGAAGCCTTGCTGAGGCTATCACGACCCCATATCCAACTACCAAGGCGTCAGGTATCGAGGTATCAAGCCTTGTTGGCATGCGATTACGCTGCAGGAGCGTGGATGCACGCCTCAGTTGAGCGGCCGAAGCCAAAGTCTGCAAGGAGAAGGCAATCGTGTATAGGCGGGAAGAGGGTCACGCAAACAATGCTTCACGCCTAGTGGTAAAAGAGCGAAAAAGAAACTTTAATAAAGGTTAAAGTGTTAGAACTTCATGAAGTGAAGCCCAAAATGCTCCGCATCACGGTGCACAGCTTTTCCACGCATTCATCTTCGCTAGGTAGAACCTTTTGAGCTCGCCAGGCGACAAATCGATCCGGACGGACTAGAACGGCCCCTGAATCCTCAACCTCCCTGACCTCCTGCCAGCTAAAGTAGAAATCCTCCCACTCTTGGCGAAAGCCGATCGAGTAGGCCTTGAGAGGGGTTCCTAGGTAGTCCCCGACGCGTTGGGCGGCGGTTTTCCAAGAGTCGCCGCCTATACCGGTGAACAGGACAAAGTTGCCTCCCCCAGCTAGGTCTATCGTGCTGACGGCATTTGAGGGGATCGTCGTGTTGAGCCATACGTGTGGCAGTCGGCGGCCAGGGTACGTGCTGGGTTCGTGGTATAGCACGGGATCCTCTGCCGCACGTCCTGTGGGTGAGTAGGGCCTGGGCTCATCAGCACCGTAAATGCCAGCGCCAGAGTAGTGCTGGTTCATCTCAATTCCTAGACCATGGAACTCGTGAGACGAATTCTTGATGGCTGCGTGGAAGAGCTTGCGCCTTGCCTCTCCTTCGGGAGTAGCCAACTTGAGTTCATCCAGGATGCGACGCCGAGCTTCGACATCATCAGAGGGCAGAGCGCCGATGGCATTCCAGATATCGGTGTGGTCGCGGAAGGCCTGGTTAGCCCGCGTGATGATGGACTCTCCGACGGGCTGCCTCTCCTGGCTATAAGTCTGGAGGAGTGCAGAGGAAGCCCAGCCGTTGTGGACGTAGGCGATCTTCCAGGCCAGATTGAAGGCATCTTGGATGCATGTGTTGGATCCCAGGCCATTCATCGGAGGGTGACGGTGTACGGCATCACCCAAGCAGAATCTATCATGAGTCAAGTCAGTATGGGGAGACATCTTTTGGGCGATCGACCGCACTTACACGTTGCCGCGCGAATATTCTTCGGCCACAATCTCATTGATGAACCACTTGGACGTGTTCAAGATCTCAGCGGATGTGTCATCTCCAATAAACTGGCGGATGCGCTCGAGATATTGCTCGCTTGTCGGCTGACCCTTGGTATCCCAATCACGGTTAGGGAACAAGATAAACATCCACTCATCCCACGGTTTAACCATGCGCACAATACCCAGCCAACCGAACTCGGGATGTTCGAGGTCCGGCTGCATGATCCAGTGAAGATTACCTCGGCGAGAGTCGACCAGGTGGGAGAGGTCCGCCTTGACCAACACGTTGATGGCAAGTCCCTGACTTGGTTTCCGGGACAGGGGGAGTTCAAGCTGCTTGACAACCTCGCTCTGGGCTCCGTCTGCCCCGAACAGGTAGCGGGTTCGGATCCGGTAGACCAACTGGGAGATCTTGTCGCGAACTACAGCAGTTATCAAGCCAGTCGCCGTATCTTTGCTAAAAGACAAGAGAACCGTGTTGAAGGTGACTTTGAAGCCGTTGTGGGAGGCGTGCCGGATTAGAACAGGCTCGAGGAGAGTCTGGGGAACGTCCACGGGATCGCATGGACTGGCCGTCTCATAGTCGCCCTACACAGGAGAGGTTAGAGATGCTCGGTAATCGCCTAGTTGTCTGGTGAATGAGATGACCTTTCGCGCGGGATCGTTGCCCCATGAGTAGAGCCTCGCAAACTCGTCACCCGCCATGCTGTGACACCATCGGGTGTGTACCATGCAATGACCCTTGGAGGCGACTTGCAGAATGTCTCGATCAAGTCCAATGTCGCGCAAGCATTCTGCGTCCCATCCGTCAGCCACGCTTCATCGAGCATATTGCTATTAAACTGTTGACTTACCCAGGGCCGCCATATTGGTAATGTGTGCGCGGGGCGTGTTGGCCGTGCCGGGCGCTGCTCCTATCATGATGCCTTCCAGGCCTTTCCCCCCACCATGTCAGCAACGGAACGCCTTGGCGAAATGAGGTTTGTTCTATACTGACCATAGGACGCCAGGAAGCACGCCAGAGATGCTCCCGAAGGACCACACCCGACAATGAGGCATTCGGTGTCGGTCACACCCCCCTGATCGCCTGTGTCCTGGGTGGTCCGCATTTCTTTCGCCGCCTTTTCTCGCGGCTTTAAGCAAAATCTTTGGGGGGTTCGTGTAATTCGTATCAATTGACTGTGAATGAGCGGGTATGTAACCAGGTAGCGTAGGTAGGTGGGCAAACACTCGATCTTTGATCAAGTGTAAAAGATACCTATCTGAGTTTTACAAAGAGGCCATTTTGAACAATCTTGCGCCATTTTGAATGAGAAGATCAATAAGTAACAACCGCAAATGTACTCTTCAGTGCCTTAGGATGGACTCGGTTGTGTCAACACAACACAGCGAAGATGGCCCGTAACCTTCACCTTTCGTCCGAGGATCGCCCGGGGACAAGAGAGTAGACTAGGCCGGCCATCTGAACACCGGACAAACATTATCTTCAATCGCAAGAACAAGCCTCGAGTATACGAATGGCGAAGCAAGTCGAGGAAGATGGATGCCCCTATCCATCTTCTCTTTCCTAGTCTCGACTTCAATCGTCGGCGTAGCCCTCAATCACTTCTCTCCCTGTTGTCCCAACAATGACAGCCACCAAGTACACGCTCCAGGACGTGGCCGAGCGAAACAAAGACGGCACGGTCTACGTGGCAATTCACGGCAAAGTGTACAATTGCACCCGGTTCCTCGAGAGTCATCCGTCTGTGGCTTCCTTCTCCAGTCGTCGCAGAGAGTCCGTTCTGACAGACACACCAGGGGCGGGGCAGAGGCCATACTAGAATTTGCAGGCACAAATGCCTCGCAGCCGTTTGACGAGATTCAACATAGCAGCGATGCGCTCGAGATACTCGATACGCTCTGTGTCGGTGAGCTCGAGAGCGGCTCCAAAAAGGTATGGCAATCGTTCTGCTACGGCGTAGAGAAAGAGCATTCTGACCAAGGGCAACACAACACAACTCAGGTCGACGAAGAAATGAATCAACGTCTGTCTCAGGGGAAAGTGGCCAAGGGCGGGTTGGCTGGGCTCGGAACTGTTGGAAACGTGACGTTGCTGCTTCTGTTTTGTTTGATTGCCTGTTACGGAGCGTCTTCATACCAATACGTCTGACGACAACACTTTGAAGTAGCTATACTTTCATATTCCAATCCTCTGGTCAGGCAAGGCATGGTCGGTGCCTTGATTGCTACGTAGTTGGCATCGACTGTCAATGCCACATACATCCATAAAGGAGGATGCCCTTTGTCGGAGCCGACATGAACCAAGGGGAACAATTTTAGACTCTATGCTGACGACTAGACCATTTGGAATGTACTCGCACCATGTTTTGCGGCCTATCTCTCGAATCACCAAACATCCTCCTAGACGCTTCTTAGCCATGCAAACAGACAAAGGGCGGAGTGTTTTCTTACATGATAGAAACGGGACTGCTTCATATCTCGCAGTCTGTCCTCGGCTTCATCTTGAGAGATCCCCTCTGCCATTACCAGTATGTCGCGGAGGGTGGAATACACGCCCTTACCCATGCGCACATCGCCACATACGTATACGGCTCCGTTGTTGCGAATGATGCGCATCACCTCCTCCCATTTTCCCATCAGGATGTCCTGGACATAGACCTTTTTCTCTGTCTGTCGAGAAAATGCCACGTGCATTTGGAACTTGTCGCCAAGTTCATCCTGGTATGCCTGTGTAGTTCTCCTATTAGCTAGACCCATCAAGCCACCTTGACGGCTTTCGGAATTGTCCTGGCACTCACACTCCACTCGTCCTTGTATAAAAAGTCCTCATCTTCTCTGCGACAGCTGTAAAGCAGCGTAAGGGTTCCGATTTCCTGACCTTTCCGTTTCTGCTGTACTCTTTCTCTGATGAATCCACGAAACGGTGCGACACCTGTGCCAGGGCCAATCATCAACACAGGGGTAGACAGATCCCCTGGTAACCTGAAGCTCGAAGTGCGGACGAAGACTGGCAAGATGGACTCTCTGGTACGGCTAGAGTCTAGAATAAAGTTGGATGCCACGCCCAAGAAACGGCGTGATGTTTCCGGCACGGGAAGCGACTGCGCCGAGGCCGTGATGGTCGGCCTTTGCCTGTCTGCGATGGCGGAAGAGGATATCGAGTAGAACCTGGGTTGAAGCTTGGGCACACACTCGAGCAGGATTGCAAGTGGCACCGTCACAGCCTCATCGTCGGGGAAAAGATGCTCCAGGAGCAGCGCCGTATTGAAGTACTTGCCTTCTGTCAGCTTCAAGAAATGGCTCTTGTCTGCTCCAAGTCCCTTGAGGGTAGTGCGCTGGGTCTCATCGGTCACAAAGTCAGCCATGATGGACAGTGACTGACGGGAGACAGGCCCGCATATGTCTAGATAGCGAAGAGCAAGATCCTCCACAGAAACAGTAGGCGGTAATGGCGATTGGGATGAGCAGTCACCCTCTTTTCTGTGGATAGATATGGTCCTCTTTCGCTTGTCCCACAGCCCAAACTTTTGCAAGAAGCGCTCAACTTCGGCCCGCGGATTTGTAGGCCAGACCCCGAGGTGATCCCCCGTCTCATAGCAGAGGCCAGAACCTGAAATGTCCAATTCCACGTGGACACAGTTTCTATCTTCGGTAGATACCAGGCTGCGTGAGGCGTGAATGGGAACACAAGTAGCTCCGATCGGGCCCGGGCTGTGGTGCTTGGGGAGACTAGAGGGCTTGTCCGACCTCTCGTCTTCAGTCTGCACCTCCAAGATTTCGTATGAAGGCTCAAAGACGGCAACACGCTCCTCCAACTCCATTGCCTTCACTGCGTGCGACCACATCTCTTCCTTCCACTGAAGAAACGTTTCCTCTGGAGTCTCCCTGCTGTCATCGCTTTCGCCCAGAGCACCCAGCCGCTGGGCGCCGCTCGCAAGCAGCTGATCGTTGACTCGTCGCATCACCTTATTGTAGTGGGTGTAGGTGCTGTTCCCAAGTCCAAATGCTCCAAATCTCAGGTTGCCGAGCCCGTTGCCTCCAGGCTCATCGAGCCACGACGACCCGCCGGTCAAGAGACTGTAGAACTGGCAGGCGTCGTCTGTAGGCTCGCCATCGCCATAGGAAGCCATTACCAGCAATACTAAAGTGTCCGCTGATATTTTACACATGTTGTTGAAGTCATAGTCGTCGAAGGGAGCGAGAAGGCATTCCAGACCAAACCTCGCGTGTGCCTCTCGGGCCAGCTTTTCGGCGATGGTCTGGGCAGTCCCTGACTGCGTGCCAAAAAGAACAAGGCATTGGACCTTTTCAGCTTCAATCTTTCTGGCGATGCAACGCTCGTTGGTTGAGATGGTGTCGCTTCGAGTTGTCGTCCGACCTTGTACGGTCGAGATCCAGGCCAACAGACGGGTCAGGACGATCTGCCACAGCTGTAGCAAGAGAGATGCGATAGTCGAGGCCATGGTCAACTGGATGAACGTTCTGCCCTTCTTTCTTTTGCCGTTACTGCTACACGCGCAGGCGAATTAGACTGTAGGCTCTGAGATCAATTAATTCGCTAGATACTCACTCTCGGGTTCCGTGACATTTGCCTTCCACCGCCAGGCATATTGAGCCGAACAAAGCATCTTATTGACCATCTTGGACATACGACAACAAACCAGCCTATCAGTCCGAGGGCCAGAATCAATTCGAGATGCGTCTCCGTCAAAGACCACTGTCTACTTAGTTCGCCGCTGAGGTAGACCAGCTGATGCACGGTGTGGGGCTCTCCGGAAGTTGTCCCGGAGGCGCAACTTCGGCACGGGGCAATGTTCGGGTTGTTTAGATGGCTCCGACTGCGGGGCCGACGGCGCCGCTTTTCCACTCGCCTTGTCCCATCCCGGGCTAGTCGCGCTACTAATAACAGCCAGAAACCCCTCGAGTATAGCGCAAGGATACCATTACCCGCACGCGTCGTTCACCATGACTCCCAAGTTCTTTGTTCTTGCGCGGGTTATCAGCAGAGATGGAGCTCTTGAATTTGTGAGTGCCACCCCTTGACACACCTCTTGTTACAAGGCTCGCCACTAATTTTGGACACTATTCACAGTGGAGAGAAAGGCTCGTCCATCTTTGCGAGGTATCCAAGACAGAGCCCTACGGCGATTCCTACTACTGGGGTTACGATCTAGACGGCGCCAAAGACACTCTCTGGGGATTGGAAGGATATACTCACCCCATCGGCTTCTTCATAGACCATGTTTCGTCCGACATTTTCAAGCGCGAGATGGAACTTGTCGATAAGGACAGACTGCTCAGAACTGTGCAAGGGCTTGGGAGTCCAGATTATGACCTCCATCATTACGACCAGTACGGTGGGTACCTGAAGCGGGAGGATGACCCTGACGCCGACTCAAAGGCCAGCATCGTGGTGGCAATCCACTACTGGGCCGCCGAAGACAGTCGGCGAGGACAGGTTCTGGACCGTCTGGTCAGTTTCTCAACAAAGGCTCGCCAGGCCCCCATCGGCCTGCAGAGTGCACTGGTCTTGAAAGAATGCAGGGACACGACAATGAGCACATTGTGGTTGCGGTGAGTTGCCTGACGTATTGTTGATCAAGCTTTCTTCCAGTGCTGACATTACTCAGTTTTAAATCGTTGCAGGCGTGGGAGGCATTGCAAAATTCAGTCGAATCCAAGTCACTCGCTGCAGACATTGAGCCCTTGACGAGATCTACCGAAGTCCACCGTTCGCAGGTGTTTAATGGACACATTGGGTTAAAGGACAAGGTTGTAGGCACCCAAGTATAGACGGCTTTGCTTAATCAAGTCATTATCACTCGTGCCGCTCTTCTTCGCCCAATTGAGATGAAAACACGGCTATTGAAAGTTTTGCGCAAAGAGATTCATGCATAAGAACTTCACTTTACTTCCTATCGTAAAGATAGTAAGAGGTAGTCCATTTAGAAGAACGGCATGAAATAAAGGAGGGGCAATAGCCACCTGGAAACGCATCCTGAAAATCAACACGTCAATTTGATTATATTACGAGGATGAGGGAAAGAGCAGAGACTCTTCAACTACCTGCTGCTTAAGCTGCCTTGATATCCTACTCATCGCCATCGCTTCTCCTTGATGCCATTGAGCTTCCCTACAGACCCAGGAAACAACAGCTCCCAAAGGAGTCCCCTTAGTGCTTAGCAGAAACAAGCCTACGTCTACTTGCTAACAGTCTCGATCCTCAGTTCATGGCCGCTCTCGTTCAGGTCCTTCTCATGCTCAACGCCCACTACAGGGGCAACGGTCGCAATTGGTTCACCGAATTGGGCACTGATCTCTTCCAGTGTGAGCTTTGCAGTCTGCAGCGTAGTATCAGTCAGTATTTGTCACCCTCGAACGAGATTACTCCGGTATTGGTCGAGTGAAACTTACCTCGGGGCATACAAATATCATGGCGATGGAAGAAGCGCAACAAACAGAAACCATGACAAAGTAGTACTTCCAGCCAATTTTCTCCATCGCCAGAGTTGCCGGGCTAGTATATGCAATAGCGCAGCTGAAGAAGGTGACGATGCCGAGGGTGTTGCCGTAGCTTCGAAGGTGGGTAGGCCAGATTTCGGAAATGTAGATGTAGGCTGCGCAGTCGACGGTGCACCCGTACACAAAGATGAAGAGGAAGTAAAACGCAACGGCCGCACTTGTACCAGCAGCGTTATCGGAGCCGAGGTAGTACTTTTGCAATACGGCCTCAACCACGAGCATCGCGCTACAGAGAAAGCCGCCCCCAACTACGCCATATGAATTAGCATGAGTCCTACGCGCGTGGCCGTCGTCCGAGAAGACATGTACTTACCCAGAAGCTTGACCCTCCCCACCCGGTCCACAAGAAGTGCGTTAACATAGCATCCAAGTAAGGCACAAACGGTCCAGACGATGGATAGTCCGAGCTGCAAGGTAGGTCCGTAGCCAAGTTTTCCAAACAGAACAGGAGTCAGGTTGGCGATTACCAGAATACCGGTGGACTGCCCCATTACCCAAGTCAGGATGGAGCAGATGGCACGATGGCGTAGTGCCGGGGTTCGGAAGATGTGCACGTAGCCAACGGGCAGGGACTTTTCAGCCTCAATCTCAGCCTTGATCTGGGCCATCTCGGTGGCAGCTGTCTCGTTATCGACACCATCCTTGTGCTTGTGAAGACTCTGGATAATCTCCCATGCCTCGGGGTACCGGCCTACCTCACAGAGCCACCGTGGAGACTCTGGCAGGATCATCAACGAGCACAAAAGCAAGAGACCGAAGAAGGTGAGAAGGATGAACTGTAGTCGCCATTGGTACGATGTATCCACGTAGTTGAATGCGAGAGCCATGAGAGATGAAAAGATGTAGGCGTAAACAATCGAGATGGCGTGGTTACCGACCAGCAGTCCTCTAACATGAGGAGGAGAGATCTCGCTCATGTAGACGGGACAGTTGGTGATGACGATCCCGGCTCCAACGCCACAGATGAACCGGCCTACTATGAACATGGCGATGTGGACGCTGCCAGCCTGCAAGGCGCCGGACAAGACGGTGAGAACTGCTGCAGAGCCAGTGGCAATGCGTCGTCCGAATCGGTTCGAGATGGGAGCTTGGATAACGGATCCTATAAGTCCTCCGCCCAGGAAGCTATTTCAGACAAGTTTGTTAGCCAATGCGAGTTGCTACCCAAGCTCTTCCCAAACGTACACTCCGAGAATGCCTCCTATGACAGAATCGGCATTTCCGTCACTAAGAAACTTGCTGACAAAGGATTGTTGCACAAGACTTCCGGCGATGGCATTGTTGGCGTATCCAAAGACAAAGCTTCCCATGCCTGCTACCAGGATGGTCTGGTTTTCAGGTTAGCCGACGACACGGAGTTGATACTTGACTACCTGTCAGGAAACGAGGGACGAACATAGATATTTCCAGTCGTGACTTTCGGGTTGGCCGACATGTTGAAAGATTGAGAGTCTGGCTGTGTCTTTTTCTACCCAGTTCAATATAGCGCAAAGGAGGAGTCGAGAGTGTTGAAATTGACATGGACACGGCGAAGCATCCCCTGTTTTATACAATGGAAGTTATTCACTTCAACAACATATTTGAAATGCCTGCCAAAAAAGGGCAGGGTGCTATAATGTCCCGAAATCAAGCCGTTAGTTGGTTAGGTAGTTTGCTGCCAATGGCAAAGAGGTGAGGCTGAACGAATAGCATTGTGAACAAAAGAAGCAACTTAGACTCTTGACCCCGGATGTCTTCGGGTCAATGTGTCGTAAAGTGTAGCAGAATCAAGATAAACCCTGGCTGGTGCAAATATAAAAGGCTCCCTTTTACTGCGATTCGACTCCTTAATTCACAATGGCCGTGTCTTCTTGCATCTTGTTATTCTCAGGTAAACCACCATTTCTAAAATCTACTCTGTAGGGTAGCACCCACATAGCTGCACAGACCACAGGTTGTCTGCCAGGTTTCCCTCAACCTCCACTATTCAAACAAGGGGCTCCCAGAAGGACGGAAATCCCCCTCCGCTCACTCACATCTTTGACCATTGACATGGACACGTTTGTAATTAGGCCGACGTGAAATTAGGCCGATGGGGGGATCACACCCATCAGGCTGCGGAGGAGCCAATGGCGTGGCCTGTTCCTTTCCCCAACTTTCGCCAAGAACAAGTTGGCGTCTGGACAGGGTTCCCCGCTTCGAGTGCTGATCCCGGGAGTCTGGGGAAGCCCTTGGCAGCCAATCAGTGTGCATATTTCTTAAGCCACAGTTCGCTTGCCAGGGAGTCCTCTTTCTTTTCCCTGTGATCCTATTGGTCTAGGTCCGACCGAGGGCCGGGCTTGCCTACCAAGAGTCGATCTACAACCTCGAGGTCTGGGGCTCGCGCTGTCTCTCTTCATCCTCCTTCCTACCAACACACTCGTCTAATCTCTGACAACAAGGGCTCAAACTCGGAGCAATGAGCGAGCACGCAGAAAGACGATGGTCTTCAGACCACGGGTCCCGCAAAGAGATCTCCGAACTCGCCTGCAATCTTTGCAAGAGGCAAGTCAAACCCCTGGACTGTCTTTGAGATGACACACGGCTAACTCGACTGGCTCTATGTAGACGCAAGACGAAATGGTAAGAGAAGTGATGAATTGGCAGCCATGGACGAGCCTTCGAACAAGTCGCTGACGAGCTGGGGTAAAGCGACCGCGTTATGCCCTCCTGTGGTCCCTGTGATAGGACGTCACAGTCTTGCGTCTACCCATCCAAACGCATGAAACCTGGGCCGAAGCTTGGTGAGTTCTCAGAGAGAGTTCTCCTATATGGGAGTTCTATCCAGGTTGCTGGTCTGCCAATCTAGCTGCTGACGGGATTTGCCCTCACCCCCAGGCTCACGACTCCGCGAGCGCAGGCGGCCTCGCAATAGATCACACCATGGACAAAGCAACTCGAAAAGCGAAGGTCACAAAGATGGCGGCAGTGAAAACGCGTCCAAGGACGCCATGTCCATGTCGCAGGCTCCATCCGATCGTGACACGCTGCAGGGTCACGTGCCCATTCCACCGCCTGGACATGAGGCTCGCCCCAGCATCACCAGCCTCATCGACCTTGCCTCTTACCCCCCTTCGCCCATCTCCACGGTTTTTGACGATGCATCTACAGATGTGTCAGATTCTTCAGACCAGGCGGCCGCAAATTTCGTCCGCGCCATCAGCCTCTCCTCCCTCATCCATCCTACCCATGAATCGCGTCAAGAACCCTCATCGCAGCAGTCGGCAGCTGCAGTTTCGTCTGATGGCTTCTTCATTAACCTCGTTGGAGCCCAAAGATTGATAGATCAGGCTTGCGACACGCTGAATATCTCAGTCGACAACCTCCAGACACTGTACGCCAACCACTCGCTCATTGTGCAATGCCCGCGATGCCCAGCTGACGCGTAACCTAGGACCGATTTGTATCTCGACAATATGACGGCGTTTTCCTTATTTCATCGCCCGACTTTTGGGGCAAAGATACAAACCATCACGTCCCTTTCGACCTTGGTAGCCCTTCTCGCTTCCATGTTCTCCGTGTCAATCAAGTTCTTTCCAGCGTGCTCGGATTTGAGTAGCCCTGACACTGGTAGCTTGCCATCATCAGATCAGTTCCACAAGATTGCCACAAAAGCGCTTGATGATTCACTCAGAGATACGGACGATGAAGTTCCCTCCCTTTCTGTCCTCCAAGCCATGGTCCTTTGTACCTTCAACGAGTTGATTCGAGGTGTTCGAGGCAAGGGATGGCGACTGCTGGGCTCTTGCGTTCGGGTTGCCTACGAGCAGCATCTTAACCTCATCGACTACGGCGCCCCAATACTCCCTCCACGCGATGAGGACGGCATCCGAAAATGGGTTGGCAAGGAGGAGGAGCGACGTTGCTGGTGGGCTATCTGGGAAATGGATGTCTTTGCTTCGACGATAAAGAGGTGTCCTTTGGCCATAGACTGGTCAGTGAACGAAACATACCTCCCGATCCCCGATCGTGACTGGTTCAGTGGTCAATACCGCCAGAGCAGTTTCCTTCACCCACAGCCAGGCGAAAGATGGAAGAAGCTGAAGAAGTGTGACAACGATAGCCCGACTGCCTGGTTCATCGTCCTCAATTCGATAATGCGGGATGCACAGGCTTTGGCGAGAGGCAGTCTGCAGGGCATCCGGTCAGATTGGAGAGGGCAAGACGAGACAACTGATCTACAGCAGTACTTCAAGAACGTCTTTTGCAAGAAGTCGCCGGTCGCCGGTGACCAGCAACTATACTTTCTCACCCAGGCCCTGCAGCAAACCGTCTCTGCCTTACCGACGACACTCGCCTATCAAGGAGAGAGGCTGTTTTCTCACGCTCAAAGTGCGCAGGCACCACCGAACTCCGGGTCGTCGGCTGCCCAGGCGACGCTGGTGGATGTGGCACGCTATTCGCTCTTCCTCATGACACAGCTGGCACGCTTTCAGATTTTCCACCATCAAGCGTTCGGCGAGATCGCATCGGGTACCCTGTTCACAGAGATTGTCCCTGATCCGCCCTTTGGTTGGACTTCAACCCCTCGGCCACCTGCAGGCGCCATGTCAAACTGCGAAGGCCTGCGGAACTGCCTCGAGGCTGCCGACAACATACAGTTTGTCTTGCAAAACGCTCCCGAGTGGCATGTCAAGTGGATGAATCCCTTCCTGGCTAGCACTGTATGGTTGGCGGCGTCCCTGCAGATCCTCCGCAAGGTGTACGGACTTGGCATAGAGGCGGAGACTGAGTCTAAGCTTGCCCTTCTTCGACTCACCTGTCAACGTTACTCGCTATTCTGGGGGACGCCTCTTACGCTACTGCGCAACGTGGACTCACTGGAGAGGCTTCTGAGGCACAAGAGAAGGCTTCTGGCCGAGTTGGAGGTTCGTTCTGCCGAGAATCAGCGAGGGGCCAGGCGGAGGTCAGGGGCTGCACCCAGTTCAGTCTTTGCGGACACGAAAGATGGCTTCGAAGGGAGTCTGGCTAATGGACTGGGCGTCACTGAACAGCTCGCACCTGCCGATTTTATGCCTGAGCTTTTCGATCCGTCGGCCTTCATTCCGGACCTCGAAGGCCTTGCACCAGGCACAAGGACACAGACTTCCCCCATGACAACCAACTGGCTCGGCATACTATCTGAAAGAGGACAGCTAGATGACATGTCTTTTGATTCCTACGCCGATCTCTTCTTTCCTCTTGCTCCACCCCAAGAAGCTGACCAGTCACCGAGAACTGGCAGCCTTGCGATGCCAAGAGGTTAAGGACATTATGGACGTCCAGATATTTGAGGATAGGGCTCCTTGCACTTACGATCCAGGCGTTTATTGTGTCAAAGTCACAGTCATGAGTGTCAAAACGTTCGCCATCGAATTCATGAGCTATCAAAGCATCAATCGACACGCATATGCTAGTACAGCGAGAAATGAACGTTCCCGCCCGTACACAAAGCTATCTGAACTATCTGAACCTATTCGGCCTTCGATACACCCTGAAAGGCATCGCTACGCTAGCTTGGTTGCCTTGACTGGGTCGAGCGAGGCTGTGAAGTCGGCTTGCTTGGTTTTCATGTCGGTGGGGAAGCTCAAGTGCTCATGAATCCACTTCCACTCGCCCTGGCTATTCTTCCTCGCGATCCCAGTCCTCCTGAAAGCTGTGTCAAACGGAACTCCGCCGGCAGTACCCCAGGTATGCTGGATCATGGTGGAGAAGGCATACTCTTTGGACAGGGCAGTGACTTCGAAGTCCTTGTACTCCATGTGCCCATCGTTCCAGTATGGGAAGATGGACTCAAAGTGCTCCTTGAAGCTGCCTCGGATGGTGTTGCCAAACATGTCATAGCTCAGCATGTCTTCAAAGTCATAGAAGCGGCGTGCTCCATTCATGCCGTTGGCAAAGTCCTGGCGCGACTCATGGTTCCAGTAATGGAGCCAGCCACGGTAGAGCTGGTCCGTCACCTCTTGTTCTTCTTTGGTAAGGCTTGGGTTGTGGTACTGCGGCTCAAGGTTAATATGAAGATAGTGTTAGGTGATATGAAGGCATACCTTGGTCGGTGGCATGTGCAAGAAAGTCAACGCCTTGCTCGCATCACTGTAGGCGGCCTGATCGGCGGGAAAGTCAGAGACGACACGATCTTTTTCGGCGGAAACAGATACTCACATCATCTTTAACAAAACCGTTCTTATCCATGTTGGCGGGCACAGCGAGTTTGTCTTTTCTGAGAGAGAAGGAATCGAGGCAGATGGTGCTGTTCTGCACACGATTAAATGCAGGCCAGCTGTCTATTAAAACCCTGGGATCGCGCTCTGCTATTCACCAGATCAAGCAGGATGCGAGACCCGGGGCAATGACTGTTCATTCACGCTGAGGCAATTGAACCGAGGAGTCGCCAGTGAGAGCAGCCAATTTCACTCTGCACAATGCACGGTTGCGTCGCCTGACTTGTTCACCTGGCTCGGTGGAATCTGGGCATTGAACCGATGGTGATAGTTGGTCCGACGGATGGGACAAGATTACTCCGCACCACACCGAAAGGACGGAGGCGTAGAGTGTACTGGTTGAACCCTTGCACAAGGACTCGACTTGCAAGTCTATCGAAGTAGTCAAGCCATCTCACACAACAGGCAACTGGCTTGACTACCGCCCCTCCTGACAAGATGGTAGCATGTGTCTGTCGTATCTATAAAGGAACAAGCCTCCCTTGAGAGTCTTGGCTTCAACGAGCCAGCGACCGCAGCCATTCTTAATATAGCCGACAAGCAACTCGAACAAACAACAGCGTCAGCAAGAGCAACAACAAAACAAACACCCCACCGTCAGTCATGGGTTCCATCTCCACCCCCGAGTACGATGCCATCATCGTAGGCAGCGGCTTTGGAGGATGCTACGTCCTTCGCAGGCTGAGAGAAGCCGGCCTCAAGTGCCTCGCCATCGACGATGCCGGTGATCTCGGAGGTGTCTGGTACTGGAACGCCTACCGAGGTGCCCGTGTCGATACCCCCGTACCCCTCTACGAGTTCTCGGATCAGCAGTTGTGGCAGGACTGGACGTGGTCGGAGAAGTACCCGGGCCGTGATGAGCTGCGAAAATACTTTGACCACGTCGAATCCAAGCTGCACCTCAAGAAGGACATCCTCTTCAACACCCGTGTGGTTGCTGCTGAATTCAACAAGGCTAACAACATTTGGAACGTTGTCGACAACGTGGGTGTCAACCGCACGGCGCGCCACTTTATCCTTTGCACTGGATTCGCTGCCAAGCCGTACATCCCAAACTTTCCGGGCCTCGGCAGCTTCGCCGGCATCTCTTGCCACACATCCAAGTGGCCACAGGAGGGCATCGACTTCAAGGGAAAGCGAGTGGGCATCGTTGGAAACGGCTCCAGCGGCCTTCAGGTCATCCAAGATGTTGCCCCTGAGGTGGCTCACATGACCGTCTTCCAGCGTAGCCCGACCTACGCCCTTCCCATGCGTCAGACGCCTCTGCAAGACAAGGACCAGATCAAGTCACAGTATGCCGAGGTCTTTGAGCGTCGCGTGACGAAATTTGCTGGCCTTGACTCCGAGTTCAGCCCCAAGTCGGCTGTCGAGGTCTCGGACGAGGAGCGGGAGGCCTTCTTTGAAGAGATCTGGACCAAGGGAGGGCTTTCTTTCTGGCTGGGTACTTATCAGGATGTCATCCGCCACCCGGTCGCCAATAAGTACGCCTACGAGTTCTGGCGCAAGAAGACCCTCCCTCGAATCGAGAAGCCCGAGATTGCCGAGCTTCTGGCCCCTCGGGAGCCCCCCTACTACTTCGGTACCAAGCGTGCGACCTTGGAGCAGAGATACTACGAGGTGTACAACCAGGGCAATGTTGACTTGATCAGCACCAAGTCCAACCCCATTGTCAAGGTTGTTCCCGAGGGCGTCATCACAGAGGACGGGACGCTTCGAGAACTTGATATCCTGATCTTGGCGACCGGCTTCGACTCTGTCACGGGCGGTCTCCTCTCCATCGACATTAAGGGCGTCGACAACCTGACACTTAAGGACAAGTGGAAGAACGGCACCTCAACCGAACTGGGCATGATGACAGCCGGGTTCCCAAACATGATGTTCCTGTACGGACCCCAGGGTCCAACCTCGTTCTGCAACGGCCCGACCTGCGCCGAAGTCCAGGGCGATTGGATCTGCGAGACCATTCTTCGACTCCGTCGGGACAACTGCCAGTTCATCGACGCCACCCGCGAGGCCGAAAAGGAGTGGCGCGATCTTGTCCAGCATATCGGTGATCAGACGCTGCTGCCCCAGACAAAGTCGGAGTACATGGGTACCAACATCCCCGGCAAGCCAAAAGGTATGTTTGCTTGCGACTTGAAGTCTCAGATTTGTACTAACTTTGTGATGCAGAGATGCTCAACTTTCTCGGTGGGCTAGTGGAATACACCAAGCAGATTAATAGTGCTTTTGAGAAGGGCAAGAACTGTTTTGTTGTGTACTAGTTGGTATCGGATTGTAGTAGACGATCTCTTCCCATTTCTATTTGAAATTGAATGAAATTCCTTGAATATCATAGTCTTTTTCTTCTTTGCGTAGTTGATTGTGTTGAAAGACAATCCCAGTATCTCCCAACTCGCCACTTCCAACAATAGAGCGTCTTATTCAAGCCAAATCACTTAATACTTGGACTTGAATCACTGTGGCCTCAGACTTCGATATTAGCGAGTTTTTATGAAACCAAATAAGAAGCTCTTGATCTCTTGATAGGTATCTCTAAAGCGCTTCTCTATTATTTACGACATATAGCTCACCTACTCGTCACTCACAATCGAGCTTTCATCACCCAAACTCTCATACACTTTCATCAGGTTTCATAGACCAATTGTATTCAGCATGCTAGATATCCTCCATCCACGTTCCAATGCGCTGTAAAGCCCCCAGATTTAGCTTGGTTCTGACACGGATGAACAATGGAACACTCACCTCCTGTCACATAGGAAGCCTCGTCACTGAGAAGGAAGCAAAGAACGTTTGCCACTTCCTCGGCCGTGCCCATCCTCCCGAGCAAGGTATCCTTGGAGATGCTCACCGAGTCGAATAGGCCTGCTGATTCGCCATCTCGGAAGATCTTTGTGTCGATCGGTCCCCTGGAACTGTCTGTCAACACAAGACACTGACGGGTTGAGACGACTCACGGGAGAAGAGCGTTGACTCGGATGCCTTGCTTGGCGTACTCGCCTGCCGCCGACTCTGACAGTCCGATTACGGCAAACTTGCTGCTTGAATATGCCGCGTTGTGAGGCAAGCCACGCCTGCCAGACGTGCTGGCGACATTGACTATGGAACCACCAGGTCGGTTGAGTAGTGGCAGCTGTGCCCGCATGCAGTGAAGGACACCGTTGAGGTTGACGTTCAGCGTCCTATCCCAATCTGTCTGGTCCTACGAAAGTCAGGGCCAGCGTTGAGATGTAACAAAGTGGGACACTCACGATCGTCTCGATTGTCTGCTCTCCCGTCCCGCCAGCCACTCCAGCCACGTTGGCAGCGCCATCGAGCCTGCCAAAGGTGCGATGCGCTGCATGTACCCATGCCTCTACATCGGCTCGGATGCTTACATTGAGTTGCGTGATTGTGGTGTTTTCGAGCCCCAGTCGCTTGCCTGGTTAAATTAGGTTCTCATCACCTCTACCATCATGCTGACCAGCTTACACTCTTCGGCGGTAGACTCGAGACCGCGAATATCCAAATCGCTGAGAGCAAGACCCGAGACTTTCTTTGAGGCCAGGCGTAGGGCGGTAGCGCGACCAATACCCTGCAACAATACAATTAGCCACCTTGCTAAGGTGCACGGCGATGGATAGGCAGAGGGTCGGCTCACCGACGCGGCCCCGGAGATGCAGTAAACTTTGCCTTCGAACATGGCTCAAAGCCGTCACGTGGGTCGTTATAGAGAGATTGAAATTGAAGGCCAAACGTGATTAATTTTGCTGTACGCCATCAACATGGCCTTTTCAAGTCGCTATGCTTCCATCGGCACCTCACCGGCTCAGCTGTGTGCCGAAGCCCGATAACACGGCCCCACTGCGGGGCCCCGGACGGACCATCGTCGGCCTGATTTCGCTCTGATGATACTGACGGGCGGGGCACTTAGCGAGGGCCGCTGGTCGGAGAGAGGAGCTGCGGCCCGGACTTGGATGCTTCTGTTCAGGTATATCCCCGGGGTCAATCTCTGCTGGCGGCAGTGTCCAGGTAGTCCCCGATGAGGAATTTGATGAAGGGATTCGAGAGAGACTTTGAAACCAATTAACACTTGTCGAATCATTCACCTATTACACCATGCGGGGAAAACTGAATGGAAAGGTGGCTGTTGTCACAGGGGCATCGTCTGGAAGTAAGCTTGTGCTCACGAAGGAGACCAACCGATCGTCCAGTCGGATCAAAACTAACCTCGCTGCCAGTGGGACGTGCGATTGCGATAGCCCTCGCCGGCGAGGGTGCCAAGATTGTTCTGTGTGATCTGCAGGAAAATGCCAATGCCAAAGGCTACGAAGCGGACGTGGACAAGACCACAGGCGATATCATCGCAGCCCGAGGTGGCGACTCTATCTTTTCGCAGACAGACATTGCGAGCTCGACGGCCGTGCAAGAAACCTTTAGCCGAGCCCTCGAGGCAAGTTTGACTACCCCTATCACTGGATAAGGCTGGCTAACAAAGATGGGTGTAGAAGTTTGGAAGAATCGACATACTCATCAATTGCGCAGGCTACTGGGCACCCTTCTGCTCATTTGCGGACGAGTCAGAGGAGCTGTGGGCCAAGATGGCCGCTGTCAACACCCTCGGTACGGCCAGAATGAGTCGCACCGCCATCAAGCAGTTCCTGAAGCAGGAGGTGGATGAGAAATGGGGCAGTCGGGGACGCATCGTCAACATCTCATCGTGTGCCTCCGTAACAGGCTTCCCCGGCGAAGTAGCATACTCTGCGACCAAGGCCTCAGTTGACCACATGACACGGGCCGGAGCATTGGATCACGCAAAGGACAGTATCAATATCAACTGCGTCGCGCCAGGCGTTGTCGCCACGGGTATGGCGCGAGGGAATCTCGAGAACAGCTCCATCCACCAGACCATGGTCAAGGCAACGCCCTGGCCCCGTCTCGGGACGGTGGATGACATTGCGGCCGCCGTTCTCTTTCTATGTCTTCCTCAGTCGCAATGGATTACTGGACAGGTTCTTCCCGTGGATGGTGGCATGACTATTGGTGTCTCTGCGTGAGAGGGTCCAAGTTTAAAGACATCTAGATCGTTGCCTAAACAGTATTCTGCTCTTAGAGAGCTATTTCGGTAGAAAGATACAATAACTACCCACCTATGTACCCATATCGAACTCAAGTGACGTCGTGAATGACTTATCCTGCTCTGTGAACGCAGTCTCTGTTCTCTGTGGCTGATGGACTCTTTTGGGGACGTCAAGGTGGGCAATGTTCCACTACACCTGATCCTACCGCCAACTCCTCGCCCGAGTCTGTCTGATCGGAGGGATTTGACCCTGTCTTCGGCGGAAATCTGTCGGGGTAATTCTGCCCGAAATGCATCTTCCCAATCAACCTTGACCCGCTCACATGTTCTGTACAAAAACTCTAGGCAGACAGTCTTGAAGAAAAGTCGAGCCAGCCCAAGCAGTATCTCACTGTCAATTTCGCTCATACTGTCTCAAAGGTTACGAACCATGGCGCCCAAGTGGACACACCTCATCCGTTTCATCGCTGTCGAGGATGGCTTGATTCATCGTGGCCAGCTTTGCGACACATCCATCGATGTCGGTCTTGCATGCAAGGAGAACAAGAAGGTGCAAGCGAAACTGATAAATGGATCCGTCTTTGACGGCAACGTGACAGACCGAGTTATGACGGTAGATCAGGTGCGTCGGTCTGCTTCTGTCACTATTCAGTCGTCCTGACCTACTCTTCCGCAGCTTCTCGGTCCCCTCGACATCTCCGAGGTACCCTTGATTCGATGTATGGGACTCAACTACCATGACCACGCCAAAGAAGCCAACATGCCCGTGCCCACCCATCCTGTCCTCTTCATCAAGCCTCGGACAGCACTCAGCGGGCCTCATCCTCGCAAGATCTACATTCCCAAGTTTGTGCAAGATGAGACCACCGATTACGAAGCAGAGCTCACAGTAGTCATCTGCAAGGATGGAAAGGACATACCTGAGGCCGAGGCCATGGACTACGTCCTGGGCTACACCTGCGGCAACGATGTGAGCGCCCGGACGGAGCAGTTCCGTAACAGCCAATGGTCCTTCTCCAAGGGTAAGTGAATAAAGCAACGCTCGAGGACAACATTTGGCTGACTATCGGCGTACTCCCAGGACTGGATCATTCTGCGCCAATCGGCCCGGTCCTGGTATCTCCGTCCGCGATCCAAGATCCCCAGGCCCTCGGTATTCGGGCCACCTTGAATGGTTCAACTGTGCAGGACTCCCACACTAGGGAAATGATCTTCTCAGTCGCCAAGACGATTGCGTTCCTCTCCCAAGGAACCACACTGGAGCGCGGTACTGTTATCATGATGGGCACTCCACCCGGTAAGCAGTGCACGGGAGCCTTTCACTTGAAGCTGCTGACACCATGCAGGTATCGGAATTGCCAGGAACCCCAAAATCTGGCTCAAGAACGGCGACGACATGCGCGTATCGATTGATGGAATTGGTAGGTGGGATTAAACCCCAGTGTATTGTGTTGCTAACATAGCTATTGCGCAGGTACTCTCATCAATGAGGTCTTTTACGAGTAGATAGTGACTTGTAACACTTTTTGAATAGATTGTAAATAGACTTATCTAGCTCTGCTAGGATAAACTTATGTGTTTGGATTTTCTACAGCTTAAAACAGAGTCAGAGTGACATCTCCTAGGCGTGCTCTACGTGAACAGCCCTCCCTCCATAGCCAGGGGAGTGGCGGCATTCTAGGGTAACAAGAATCGGAGAGAAAGAACAGGTCTAGTACTTGGGAGCAACTCTATTGCATGAAATACCGTCATTGGGTGTTTGCAACAACCACAGAAGAGTCAGAGAAGCAGGAAAAGCTGTTGGTGACGCCCTTCAAGAGGTGATCAGCTACGCCAAGAAAGAACAAACTATCAACCCAAACAGAGAAGGGGCCCGCGCCCTTGGGTTGGCTTTGCTACGTCAATACCCTAGGTCTAAGAGAATCACATAAGGCGAGAAGGAGAACTACAGGCCAATTAAAGCCCGGCCGCGAAGGTACAGACGACCCCTTAGGGAGAGAACTCTCGTTGCTTATTGGAGACCTCAACGCTATCACTATTCCACCCTCTTCGGGCTACCCGATCCGGTCCAAAATTTGCTCGATATGCACCATCGACACGCTCCGACGTGCCCACTCCTGCTAACCACCACCGCGCCCCCTTTAGGTGAGAAATCCGTCCGGCAATCGGGGCCCTAAACATGTCAGTACTTCACCTCCAAGGGTCAACGACAACTCACCCCAGACGTGAAGCCCGTCGGGTGTGGCAAGTTCAATGTTGGTTTTGGAGTGACAGTTCACTTGATCCCCATCGACATAGTGTTCGACAATGAAGCCAGACGGGTCGTACCTTATCCCCCAGAAAGTCAGCCACATGCCGAGTAGAAGGGACATCCTTCTTACCAGTAGTCAAAGATCTGGCTGCCTAGGACGTGCCGCCCAACTCCCCAACAGTTCTGATAGCCCTGATCACGTAGGTAGTCGTGCCCAAGCACCTCGACGTCAAAGTCATGGACCTCGAACGAGGTGTGATGGACGTGAGACTTGGGACCTTCAAAGATGAAGAAGCTGTGGTGATCTGTGAAAGTTTCTCCCAGATCCAGGTGTATAAATGAGGCAATGTGCCGCCCAGTCTCTTCGTGCTGAATCTGCGTCACGTTATCAGCTTGAGACTGAATCAATCCGCTGCTGCTTCTTACATCACTTGGCACAAAGTTGAAGTTTGTGGTGTAAAAGTCAAATGTCTTTTGGAACTGGGTTACGCAAAGTCCAAAATGTCCCATCTTGTGGATGAGCGCCGGTCCTGAATAGGCACTTCTTAGTAAATGTGGCGCGTTGTGAGTGCTTGTGTAAGTTTTACCCTTCTCAAATCGTTGGAACTCGTTCCCGGCTCGGTTCTTCTTGTGAGGCTTAAGAAGGAGGTCAGCTTCAATTCAGTTGAAATGGAGGAACCAGCTGACAAAGTTGAAGTCCAGATACCTGTAGTCCTTGGCAGGTTCCACGGGTGTTTGGCCATAGACCAGATGTAGAGGCCAACCATCAATAGGATCCTTTACTGTCACGCACCGCCCTCCGCCTGGTGCCTCGTCGAGGTCGTAAATATCAGTGGCATCTGGAAAGATGGCGCGGGCCTTCTGGAGGTCCTCGGGGGATTCCACTACCAGAGCGGCCCCTCCAAACTCATTGGTAGAAGACTCCTCCAGACAGTAGAGGAAGGGTTCGCTGCCGTAGCCTCTGTAGTAGATCCTCTTCCCCTCTCTCTTAACCTCTATGAAACCAAAGGCTGCCAGGAACTTCTCTGCCTTGGCTGAGTCCTTGTGTTTATAGTACACGTGACCCAGTCGCAGGACCTTGATCTTAGAATTGTTGGGCTTGGTCATGGTTCGTTAAGAAATTGGTCTTGGCGTGTCTGGTCTGCACAGCAGTAGTATAGGAACTGTTTGTCCAAGGACAATACCGACCTGTCACGGCCGCGCCCTCCTTATGAGAAGCATGCGAGCTGCCAAGTCTTGCTCTACCAGATTATCAACCGAGTCGGCCGATGTGAGTTGGAAAACGGAAGCCGGCCGGTGGTGCCGACCGGCCGATATTGTGCCGTGTCAATCTCCGGAGGATTTTCGGGGCGACTTCCGGCCACAAGGCGCACCCGTCCGTTCGAACGCCATGACCTTTATTCCAGTCTGTCCGAAAATGCTCCACGAGAGGCAAACCTTTCGGCTTGCTCAGCAGCCATGAAGCCCTCATGAAGCCTTTTGAACAGGGTAACAAGCCGAGCATTTAGCCACTTGCCTCCGCTCCCTTCGGACCAGCTCCAAGCTGCTTTTCACTCCTAGTCCCACTCACACACGATGAATCTCAGTATTTCCTTGTCATTCGCCTTGATCGGCCTTTGTGCCGTAATCTACCGCGTGTTGCAGATTGGCAAGCGGGATCCTCGCATGCCGAAAGGCCCCCCAACGGTGCCTATCCTAGGCAATGCCCACATGCTCCCAACCACGGGACTCTACAAGAAGTAGGGACGAACTCAATGGGTCTTGTTCAATGCTGACTCACGTGTCATGTGGCAGGATGAAAGAGTGGACAAAGACCTACGGCCCAGTCTTCTCCCTCAAGATAGGACCCTCAAACACGGTGGTGCTCTGTGATCGAAAAGCCATCCATCAACTACTGGTAGAGAAGGGTAGCATCTACTCCGACAGACCCCCAAGCTATGTCGGGAAGCTTCTTACACAGGGTGATCATCTTGCCTTGGAGCAGATGGACGTGACATGGAGAGAAAAGCGAAAGATCATTTCGCACAATTTCTCGCCAAAGCAGCTTGACGAGAATCACTTTCGCGTGCAGGAGGCAGAGTATGACTCCATCAGATAAGATTAAATATTCCCAAGGCTGACCTTGTATAGGGCCACCGTGCTTATGAGCAATCTGTGCAACAACCCCGACAACTTCTACAGCGAGATTCGCAGGTACACGGCTTCAGTAGTCACCTCCATCACCTATGGATGCAGAGCCCCAACTTCCGACTCATTCTGGTGCAAGGTACTTGAACTCCATCGGGTCGCCCCTCTATAGGGAGGTAAATGCTGACCGGGTCGCAGGGTGTTTACAATGTCATGGACAAGGTAACCAGAGTCATCAAAGCGACACGTACAGGGTGAGCGCATGCTAACCTCTCTTTCTCGGAACCTAGTGGACTGCCGCGATGGAGCCTGGAGCAAACCCTCCCGTAGATGTCTTCACGTGGCTGCAATACATTCCCTCGTCGTTTGCTTTCTGGAAGCGTCGCGCCATTGACGCTGGCAAGACTATGGATGGGACATGGGGCGAGGCTCGTCGTCGAGTCGAGGAGCGCCGAGCAAAGGGTGAGAAGCGAAGGTGCATCGTGGACACCCTCCTCGACGAGTACGAGAAGAAGGGGTGGCCCTCTTCGATTCCCCAGCATGCCTTTACGAACCTGCTTGGGGAGATCATTGAGGGAGGTGCCGATACAACTGCCGCTCAGCTTCTGACCCTGATTCTGGCATTTGCCTTGCATCCAGAGGTGCAGACCAAGGCCCGAGAGGAGATTGATGCCATCTGCGGCACGGAAAGATCGCCGCGATGGGACGACTTTTCAAAGCTCCCTTTCATCAACTGCATAGTCAAGGAAGGGATGCGATGGAGACCTGTGTAAGTCTATGTGCAGGCCAAAGGGAATTGTTGCCAGCTGACACTTAACCGATAGTGCCGTTACGGCGTTGCCGCACAAGGTCCGCCAAGGTTTGTTCTGCTTCTACGGATACCAGGTTGAAGGCTGACCTTGATGTACGTTCTAGACGATGAATACCAGGGCATGTTGATCCCCAAGGACTCCACCATCTTCATCCCGACCTGGGCAATCCACCACAACGAGAACATCTACAAAGACCCCGAAACCTTCGACCCGGACAGATACGCCCAGCACCCAAGGCTAGCAAACGACTACGCTGGAAGCCCAGACTGGGCCAACCGCGACCACTACAACTACGGCGCAGGCAGGAGAATCTGTCCGGGAATCCACCTCGCGGAGCGCAACATGTGGCGCATCGCCTCCAAGCTCCTCTGGGCCTTTGAGTTTGCCGAGCCGACTGACCCCAAGACCGGCGAGGTTACGCATCTTGATCCTGAGGCGTATAATCCGGGGATTTTGCAGGCTCCCCTTCCTTTCAAGGTCAGCATCAAGCCAAGAAGCGAGGCACATGTAGCGACAATTCTCCGCGAGCACGAGGGGTCTCTTGAGTTTCTGAGTCAGTATAGCTAGGAAGCCGTTGTTTGTGATCCTTCGAGGGCATATAAGTCTGCAGTTATTATAGAAGGCATTAACCCTCCCAAGCAATGGCAGAGTGTAACATTGGAGGTGAGTGTATGGGATGGCGTTGAACACAGTTGCGTGGGGTCCAGCCATGGGCCTTATTAGAGCGATTTCAATTTTTCTATGTTTACCTCGGATAGAAAATGTCGAATCGCATTTGTGTTTGTTATTCTTGCGATGGAGCAAGGCTGGACATGGCCCCGTTCTATTGTCGTGGTAAGCGAAGGTGCCTTCACGTCGCGCATCACTGGGACGCCATTTGACTCCAAATTCACAGACAGCTACGTGATACATATTCCGCACCGTATTGCCTTCCGTAGCCTAGTATCACCCATCCTTTGTCGTTTGTGCGCAGCTCCAACCATCGCCAGGCATGAGATCGACCGTCTCTGACTGAAGTGGGCGGAAACCGTTGATGTTTGTAACAAGATATTATCGGACAGCTACCATGATAAAACTATCTCCCTTAGGTGTATTTCGGTGGTTTCTTGCCTCGCGGGTGGTCGATTGATGCCTTGTGTTGGGCGTTGATTGCCACATGTCTTTGTTCGCTTGGGCCTATTCTCAGGCTGGCAGACGTGTTTGGGATCAATTTTAAGGCGTTCGGGTGTTGTTCCAGAGTCTTTTATGTATTGACTAAAAGGTGTTTGGCATGAATTCGAATCACTACACGATCCTCGGGTCCTCAGTTCGCTCGTAAGCTTCTAGCCGTACGCTTTCAGCACGAACAAGCCCGAGGCGTGGTCAAGGCATTCACAGATGTTCTTGGGTAACGTTTGTATGTCTTGCTCGAAGCTAAGTAAACATTCCTTGCTTATCCCTCGTCGGTCGAATTGCGTCGTCGCCGTGCCTTGACCATTCTTCCACCGACCGTCATCTATCGAGGGTGGGTGCCTTGTTTGTCTTTGCTAAGCGCCTTTGTCGATGGGCTTCTCTTTCGGTTGGTCAGACGCCATCCTTCTCGATTTCGCTCCCTGTGAACAAGGTTAGGCCGGTTAATCGAAAGCCCAGCAGATGCTTCACTCACTCCGCAGCACTCCAACGGTTTCGACCTGCTGGTTTCATGTCGAGCCATTCACTTCCTGCTGCCGCTCCCCTTGCGTCCTAGCTTCTTCACCAAGCTCCCGTTCATGGTTCTCGTCAGCCTTCTCAACCAGCCTCCGCCTTCCGACGCCCCGTTCCGTGGTAGCAGTACCTAGCATCCCTCGGTCGCATTAGATTCGTCCTCTCCGACAACGTTCCTCCCAGACAGCACTCTCTCCGACCTCCTCGCAAATCCTCTCCCTCCTCTCACTCCCTAGACGCATCGTGCCGAGGCAATGTGGAACGCTGTTGGAGCAACAGTTGCCACTGATTCCGCAAGTCGTCCGTCTGCTGATTCAGTTGCTGCTGCAAAGCCCGGAAAAGACATTGCTCCAGTCGCAACAAATCTCGATTCTGCTGCTGCTCTAGCTGTAACTGGTCTCGTCCCACACGCAGTAGCTCCTCTAGGACCCAGATCCTCCTATCTTTCTGCGAGATTTCTTGATCCCGCTGGCGGATCTTCGTGTCCTTCTGGGAGATTTTTCTACCCTGCTGTTGAATTCTCTTGTTCATCCGCTCGATTCGTTCATCTTGCTACTGCAATTCCTGTTGTAGCTGGTTCACCTGCTCGCTCAATTCCTGCAAATGATCACTCCCGTTACTTGTTTCAGCAATGGTCAAGTCTTGGGTCGTCGCGGTAGTCTCGTTGCCTGAAGCGTTGTGTTGCTCTGCGCTTGAGGTACTGTCGCCTTGCTCTGGGACCTTCACCAGATCTCCCTCCCTCTTGTAGATATCCAGCCATTTGTCAAAGGACTGGGAGAGCTCCTCGAGTTCATCCGATTGCGTAGGACATGGCCATGGGAATGGCGGAGTATTTTCCAAGTAGCCAACTAGATAGAGATGAAGGTAAGAAGCGATTCCAGGGATCAGGATGAGGTCACTTACGCCATGTATGCCAGAACATCTCATCAATCAGCCATTCAAACTGCTCCGCGCCAATCTCGACCACGTTCTCGTTGATAAGCTTCATAGCTACTTTTCGTTCGGCCAAGTCACGCAGCTCTCTCTCCTGCTTCTCCATATCATCATGCGGCAAGCGCCACTTCACATAGTCGTGTATGTACTGGCGCCTTTCGTCGAGGGTAGGATTATCGCCGATCCATTGCATGGGAAAATTCCCAGCGTTGAACATGGAAGGAATCACGCGATGAATCATCACGTCCGGGATGCTGTATTCTGCCATGGCAATGGATGGGGGTGGATGGGTGAAGTTTGAGTGGTGGTTAGGTGAAGATGGTGAAGAGAGAGGAATTTCGGCCGAACCCCGCTCTTACTCGAAGGAAATTGAAAAGGCCTGCAAGTCTTGGTGAAAATTTGTTCTGGGAGAAATGGCAGCTCGCTACGGTCTTGCCAGTGCAAAGGACCGTCTGCCAGTGTCAACTAAGGCCATGGCCCCAACCACCGTGCCGGGCGAAATTTAAAGCTCAATGACGTCTTGAGTTGGTCCTCACTTGGATAAAAGCATTAATGCTCCAACGGGATAATTCAGACAAGCAGCACGTTTGAGGAGGGAGGTGTTTACTCTCACGACGGAGGTAGCCTTGTTCATGTCCATGACGGTTTACACTAAACATGTTATGCGGATGTGCCCAAAATCACTAGGATCATAGAAATCAATAGTTTCAATACACGTTTGACTAACTGGGATGAGTTTAAGTATAACGATTGCAGCGAAAAAACGTGAGTGCTGGTGATGGTGATGGTGATGTTTGTTTGCACCTCGCTGAGTATCAACCTCCGATAACGCTAGAACTGTTTGACCGAAAATGCACTGCAAACCCTTTTGGGTTATTTGATAATTTTCCCAGTTCAGAATCCGTATCTTGAGCTCGCGCCCTGTTCAGTCTTTGGGCACATTTTGTCTTGTTCTGTTCGACGTCGCCCGCACCATCAATCAACCATCACACTCAAACCCCAACTCTTTATCACAGACACCACCTCTCTCCTCTCTACCGCGATATTTTTATCTCAGCACCACCTCATCTTCTTCATCCCATCATATTCTACTCAGCGTCATTCCAAGATGAAGAAATCGGCATCGCCCGAGCTGTTCACCCCTCGCCGACCCCGCGACATCTGGCCATCGGTCAAGCGTCCCAGATATCGCCGCAGTCGCACCAAGGGCGCTCGCGCTTTCCGCCATCGTGCTCTCCAGAAGATCGCCATCGAAAAGATCAACAAGAACTGGCACAAGGCTTTTGTCCAAGCCCATGGCTTCTCCGACCCCGTTCCTCCTGAGTACCCGCGAGAAGAGTTTGACGACGCCGACGACCACCTTCGCTGGGCTGGGCGTAATTCAGATTTTCCCGAAGGCCGATGGAACAGATCCATGTTCAAGAAAGAGTTGGATGAGACTGCCAACGATCGGCCCAAGCTTCTTCTTCTTTGGAAGCTCTCTTTTCGCCTGTATCGCAAGGATCCCCTTTACCTCTTCAACTTTTACGCCAACGACATTGACTTCAACGACGATCCGGGCGAGGATTTCCTCCGAGACAACGCCAAGTGGAATCGAAACCACCTTTTGAGCGAAGACTTTTGCGACAAGCTCATCAGAATCATGGCTCACCCGATGAGCAAGGACTTGTCCTTCATGCTGTTCCTCCTCAAGTGGGCCGTCATTTGTCGCACCGACGACCGCCGTGGTCTGAAGGAAACCGACATTCAGATGCTGGACTCTTTCCAATGCCACATTGACCCATCCCTTCACTCCGAATCGCTTGGAGTTCGTCATGAGGACTTCCAGCAAGAGATGTGGGAGCGTGGCGGATGGCCTACCGTCGAGGCCGAACTTCTATCCATGATCTGGCAGAAGACGACTCCTTCTGAGATCGGCCACGTTCTTCTCGACGGAGTGCCCTACCAAGTCACCGCTTCTGACCTCGACACCATCATCGAGGCCCTCGGTGCGACCGTTGGAGGAGTCAAGTTGGACTACGGCATCGACTTTGAGGCCATCGCGCAACTCACTGCGGAGGATCACCCAGTTGGGCCCGAAGAGCTCAAGGCTGTCTTCAAGCAGGCGTGGAAGGTGGTGGATATGCTGTAATGGGGGGATGAATGGGAAGCTGTAGTGCTAGGGTCCTTGGTGCTGCGAGGGAGCCTCCTGCTGATGGCCGCTGTTGATTAGGCGCTCAATGAACTCGGCGCGCTGTTGTGGTGTGCTGTGAGCTCCGAGGTGGCGGTCGTTGTGCTGGTTGTTGATTGTTGGGCCTTGTAAATAGAGAGCAGTCAAAACGAAGGATGGCCAAACTGACGCGCCAATATCAACACCATGATTGAGGAAAAGACCGCCGACAAGGCAGGAGAGCTAGCCGCCACTATCGCTGATCGCGTTACATGACGTGATGGATAAGCTAAATGAAGAACATGTGAAGCACACGGGAGACAATTCCAAGTACCTAGGTCTTCTATTCACCATGTTCCTAGAGAATCTCCTCCCATGGTCTTGTCGCGGTGCTTTGCAACATGGTGCCGTGATGTCCAATCACGCGCCTCTCGTATGAATGTCTGCTATTAAGCAGCCGGCCTTTTGAATTCCATGACCAATGGTAATAGGCGAGATAGGCCATTACATTTTCCATTAATGTGAGCTTTTGGATTCTTACTGACATGATGGATAATCCTGGCAGGCACTGGGTTGAATAGATAAAGGTACCTCCCCGATCAAAGGACCTCTCTCAACTACCAATCACTCACTCTCAAGGGAAACCTGTATCCTTCACCTTTTCAGCCGCTCTGGTAAATTCCACACGCCTTACTCGACTTCGACAATACAAAACCAACATTCATGGTGCATCTATCCCACGTTTTGTCACCGCCGCCATTGACGACGGGTACCACATTGTACACAAGGGCCTACTTGCGTGGGCTCGGATTCCCTCGCCTCAAAGGAGACGACGGCGCCGACAGCCCCCGAGGTTCAACAATCATAAAGCCCCCTTCAAAACATTCCAAGCCTCACTTCAACTTCTTCCAGCACTGACATCGATTACCCCCCAAAACCCACCACCACCCACCCACAATGTGTACGGAACCATGATACGCGCATCCATCGTCGGGCCTACTCTAGCGTGATCGACAAGGCTGAGATCATTCCTCATATGAACGGATAGGGCCAGCAGCATGGTCATCGGTCGGCATAGTGGGAAGGCTTCTTGTAGACTGTGGTGCTGATAGTGATGGTGGTGATGGTGAGCCCTTCACAACGAAGCCTTGGAGATCACCTTCAGCTACCACATTTCCACGATACTAAGGCGTCTCTGTTAACAAATGAACCAAGTCCCTGTGAGTTAACAGTAAACGCTTTCAACTACCATCAAGAGAAATGGGAATAAGGCGCCAGAGACGATATTAACCTGCTCAGATATTGTCGCGAGAAGAACACATCCAAACAAGTCCAAAAAGAAGAAGAAACAGAGGCTAAACGCTACTATCAATCGCGGTTGTCACTCATCAAAGTGACGCCAGCTTTGAATGTGCAAACGCATCTATTGAGCCGAATCTGAGAATGTTCTGAGGTCAAGGGGTGCAAACGCATTCTCTATTGTTGTGCAGTGTATTGTTGACAGCTGCCACCAGCTGCCAGGAACTTCATCTTCTAAACATAAAAAGGCATCTTCTCTCACTCAAAACTTTCACCATTACCCTCACATCTTCGACCAGCTTTACAACCAACACCGCCAATCCTCTTACTTGATTCCTTCTTATCCCCGACGCGACCACTGTAGCTTATTGCACTAGCATGTCACGGGATTCAAGCAACGCAGACCTTCTCCCGGAGGACGCTGAAGACCAAGAGGAATATATTTGGCATGTGACTCTTAGCATGCGATGGGAGCTGAATGCTCCAGATTACCCTCGCCGACAAGTTTATGTCCGCGCAAGGCCAGAAACACTACGGGTGGCTGCAGCCCGGGGACTCAGAGTCCCCTTCGAATTTGAAATCGATCCACGCGACGCCGTTCATGGGATCCGCTTCATCGTCATTGCTCATGACCTTTCGACCATCTTGATGCCAATTGTGGCCTGGCTGCTCAACGAGCCGGAGGAAGACCTTGAGTCTGGAATGAATTGATCAAGCACGGAAGTAAGAGTTCGCCTTTTTCCTCTCTCTGACTACTTGCTAACGAGTCCGCGACAGTCGGTCTATTGCCGACGGCCGGTCTCCGACATACAACGGGGGAGATTACGGTTGGGAGGGAGTCGGCTTCATGCTGGCCACCCAGAGCCCGCGGACTCTTGAGGCATGTTCTTCTAGTCCGGATCGTGTGGGTAGCAGTCCTTCAGAAGGACATGGGCCGTGTTACGGGCGTCGATGATACGGGCTCGATACTGTGCATCCTTGAGAAGTTCTTGGTCGTTGAATGACAGGAGATTCAACACTACCACTTTCGATCAAAAGACATAAAAAGGAAGAAAAAAAAGAAACCAACCGTATGTCGAATGCGCCGCCCCATACTTGACGCCCATCGCTGACGGAAGCCAGATGATTAAACGCGACCGATCCTTGGAGAATAGAGAAAACCCGGTCGCCGACTTTTCGAACATCGATTAAAGATACAGGGTGTAATGGCTGTGCGACACTCTCGCATGTGGGAATGTGTTTGTGGAGAGAATCTGCTGTCTGTATTCGTTTTGTCATTGAAAGGGATTGGTTTCTGGGACAGCTCATCACCCGGCAGAGACTTTACAACCTGTTTTCGCTTGATCCCCTTATTTCTTTTTAGCTTGTACTCTCTTGGCTGGTCTTGGTTGAGCATCGTGGTTGCTAGGGTTGGATCGTCAAAGGCGGGCTTCGGGAAGGGGATCTGGATGAGTTTTCTGAACAACTGAATCGCTGCGAATTCCGAAGCGTATTGTGGTCATCTTCTCGGTAACGCTGCAGAACGTCGGCTTCCCGTACGCGGCGTCTGAGATCCTCGATCTTTGTGTGTACGCTCACGGCGGTATGCGTGTTTAGCCCATTAAGCGTGGTACACGTGTCGATAGAAGACTACAGCGGGTGCCAGGGTAAACAATATGTGCTTCCCATTAGCTAGTTGGTCCCAGAGGGAGGTTGTTCATCGCAGCAGGAGATCCTTTGTTCAGGTGCATTCTTTCGAACTCCCTCTACACAAGTCCAGTCCAGTGCCAAGCTTCAGTCCATCCGATGAGAACCCCTGGTGATGGAATGCTGCCAAGTTC